TTCTTGTCTTGATAAGCGAGTTTCACCAAAGCTCTCAGAAAGAATATCAAAGTTATTCATTCATAACTTTAGTTTGATTTAACCCTCGGCAATTTCAAGCTCCATCCAGCTTACTTTGTCTCCAAAACGGACATGCAGATAAGGGCTCATAAATAATCATTTTTTAACACTTTTTAAAAACTTTTTTTGACTCATATCTCTTAAACAACTTCAGCCCTGATCTTTAAAAAAAAAAAAAAAAACAACATTCGATGTTACACCCTTTTTATGCCAGTTTTGTGCGCCATGTCACTGCTATTTTTAATTGTAAAAAACACAAAATCGCCATATTTCCCATAAAAAATGACCTAGATGATTTTTTTTTTAACCCACGGAGCATCTTGTGGACAAAAAGGGACATTCTGGGCGTTTTATTTGTCCGTCTCTCAGTGAACCGGTCAGTTTCAAGGCTAGCTGTATGAAATTTTGGCACTAATTTTTTTCATTTTTATTTTCTTAATTCCAAAAGCCTGTCCATTGGAAGTGTTTAGAATGGGAGATTTGCATCACACCGACACTTGTAAACCTCATGACCAAATATGCCCCATTGACTCCCATTATAACCACATATTTGTCATAAGCTATAATCCTAACATATTATCATGCTTTTTCTATTTAAACCTAATAGATCTAGATGTTTGGGCCATGTCAGTGATGAGTAGTTAAATCGACGGAGAACTTCAGGTGACACTGATTTTTTTTGTTTTGTTTTGTTTTTGTTTTTTAATATGAAGAAAAATGAGAACTCTTGCCAAATTTGATGCCCCAATCTTCAAAAATGTGACTATTAGCTCAAAATGAAGACGAAAAAAATGACAAATGTCCTCCAAATGGACATAGAAGGAACTGAGGGTTAAAAGTCTAGATCAGAATAAATAACATTTACAGCTAGGGGTTATACAAAGTTTTTTTCCTATACGGGAGCTTCGAGTTCACTTAATTCTGAAAGTTAATGTCATATTATGAATAGAAGATAATTGCGTTTCCATGGTGGCAGGAAAAGCCCAAAGGGTTTTCTCTCTAAGTGTGATAAAGTGACGGTTTAGATGACAGCTCTTACTCTCAGACATCCTGGTTTGGATTTACGCCAAGACAACAGTTTGAGCTCTGGCTGCTGATAGACTGATGATACAGAGTCTGAAACACACCTCACACAGAAATAATGTTAATACATAACCCCCTCTTAGCCCAAATCTTCATGCTCGCTCTTTTACAGTGACATCCTTTGTAATCTGTGACTTTGAACTTTGAAACTCATGACTTAGATGTAAAAGTAAGGTGACCAGACATCCCCAATTTTCAGTGACAGTCCCCGTTTTTCCCTGGCTGAAGCTGTCCCCGTAAATGTCCCCATAGAGTTTCATATATGAGAACAAAAATGTTGCGTGTAGACAAGAACAACGGTTATTACGGTAGCCGAGTATGTAGGAAGCGCGAGTAACCCGGGATTTCCACCGCAACCGGAATGGCTCAGATCCGGAACGGTAGCAGTTTTCGCTGGACACCAATTCCTTCTGGGTACGTTTGTGAGACGAATTTTGTGGTGGATACAGACAGTGGGAGTCACGAGAACTCACAAGAACCCAAGGATTCACATGCAATCGCGCGATAACAAGTTGTCTTTAGCCACTTAGGCTAACCATAAAAGCAGTAGATTGTGTCCTTCCAGAGGAGGAAATCCTCAGCATCTCTTCATCCATGGTGTCAACAGGATGAAATGCTGTCTATAAACCTTTCACTTGTTTGTCCCTGCCTGTTTGCATGATGTGAAATACGATCCGCGTGTCTTATTTTGAAAAGAAGCCGGATGATTCATTTTGTGTCTGTGCCTGACTTCCTTTCAAGCACGGGTTAATCTGTGCTAAATTTATCCGGCATGCTCTGGCATCCAGAAAAAATAGGACTACTGCAATCAGCTGTGGAGTCCGGCGATTCGCAGCGGAATGGAAAGAAGCCGGTGGAAATTGACGCATTAACTTGAATAGTTACGATCAGCTATGATTGGCAGATACAGCCTTTTTGTAGCCATTCTGGATGCGGTGGAAATTGCCGGTAAGCATGTTGCGCACAGTCCTGAACAACACGGGGGGTTATTACGGGGGTCGCGCACTTCTACCAAGGAGTACCCCCGCCCCCAAACCCCCTGGATATGCCCAGATTTCATTACAGAAATCTGATCACCTTATGTAAAAGTGTATTTCTCAGCCACTTGAGAGTCCGCCATCTCGTTGAATAAACAGGAATCAATGGATATGTCAGGTCACTAATGGATGCACCCAATAAAGTCTTTGTGGTTTAAAGTAGACTTGGCGAAGGGACGAGCAGATTAATATTGAAAAACGCTGTTTAAAGGTTGTAGCCACTAAATTGGGACACAGTTGAGTGACCTAAAGGTTAACGTTGTGGAGGATGCTTCGACTACATGTCGACCATAAAGACACCCTGTTTAAAACTTTTCATGTCTGTCATTTTCAACGTGCAAACACAGACGGTACGTTCGGGGGAGCTGGTTAAAATGACAAGAATTCAAACTGTCGAGGGCTTTGAAATTGGAAAATGAAAAGGAGTCCGGAGGGAACATTCCTCAGCAATGCCCTGGTCACCTGATCTGTTACGAGGTCAAGGTTCAACTAATGAAACCTACCACCGGCCTCTACCAGAGTTTAAAAAGAAACAGCTTAATGGTTTACATTGATGAAACACAGTCTGAAGATTTAACTGGGGACCGTTTTAGCAACTCAGTGTCTGCTCTGACGTAAAATAAGGTGGGTGATTGAAGTAGAAAAGCTTTGTCTGAATAAATTCATTAGAAAAAGAAGAAACCTGTTTGGCTTTTTGACATCTCAGGTTCTCTCTCGAGCACGACCTGACTCTGACATGGTGTTCTTATATGATTTGTACTCCTCTGTCTGCAACTGATTGACTATGTGTGAAATGTGCAGGGTGCCCCCATGTTGGGAGATTTAAGCTGCAGACCCTCGCTCCTCCTCACCCCACCCAACACCCTCCCCAGCGGGAGCAGCTAAGAGGCCGGCCTGAACAATGCCACGGGGGAATGGCTTAATTCGCCAGGCCAGATTTACAGCCCCTCCTGCACAGCACCTGCTCACATTGTTTCCCAGGATTTGGCTTGAAAACTTTTAAGTATTGGTGATAAACACCGGCCTGCAGACACCCCCCTTAGTTAGAGATTGTTTGGGCTCAGATGAAGAAATCAAGTGGGGAAAATCCGACACCATGAATACCGTAAATACTAAGAGGGATGCGGTCAATGGGTTTATTGCTGCAGTGCCATTTATTACCCAAACCATTAGAGTGTGAGCGCTGAGCAGCAGAGTTTAAACCGCAAACCTCTCTGCACACGAGCCAATTATTTATATCTATACAGCACCAAATCACACTCAGGGCTCTATTTTGGTGCCTCGCCGGAGACGTGCCGCAAGCGCAGCGTCAGTCAGATCCGCCGCGCTGACAAGGCGTTCCCAAGCACATTTTGGTATTTTGGTGAGCCGCGCAGCCCGGCGTAAGTATCCCCCCTCCCTAACTCAGCTCCTCCCAGCACCATAAGTCGTAGACGGGGCGTGTAGTTGGTTTAACACAGCCGAGACCTGTTTTCACCAATCACATAGGCTCCTCTCCTTGCCTTTAAATCCGCCACAGGTGAGGCGTATTACTATTTTCATGGAGTAGTCAAAGAGATCAAGAGATGTCTGAAGACGGTAATGCCACAAGATGGCGACAGAGGGCAGCTCCTCAACAAGTGTCCTCCACACTCTCTCATATGAGCACAGATGGATTTAGTGTGCGTAATGTTGGACCCACTGGTAAGACAAACACCCGTTTCCACAAATAAAGACACTCACATAAAGTTGCTCATATTCAAACCTCACGTGACAAAGGTGGGTTGAGCGCACAGATCACAACATAAACTCCAAAAATGGCATTAAAATCGGAACCATCTGTGCGTAAATGACCCATCGCGCTCCGTGGCCTGGCTCTTTCTTTCATAGATGTTGGCATATAAAATAAATTTGGCTCACAAAACTGAATATTATAATATCCGTATGTCGGCTTAAAGTAGATAACGCATCTGAGCACTGAAACAAATCATCTGTTCAGCTGCAGCAGCAGCAAGACGGACAGAGGACACGGAGACGTGTCCAGGTCGAGCTGTGCAAGAAATAAGAGGAAGAGGAAGAAAGAAAAGGAGGGAGACGAATTACATATCTTGTTAACTTCATCATGTGTGTTTATTTACTAGATATTGAATTTAATTTGATGCGGTTTCAGCTGTGTTGATTCGGTCAGGTTGTGTGTCCAAACGCGTGCCAAACGCGCTCATCAGATCAGATATAGATCAGAATATATCGATATAGATCTAAATGTATGTGCTGACTCTGATTAATAATTGATGATTATTTATTGCACTGAAATGTGCCTGACACTGTGGAAACCTGCCGGTGAGGCATCAGTGACGTATGTCGATACGCCGCCGGTCTACCAAAATACTACAAGACCAGCTGCGTTCCGCCTTGCGCTGAAAGCTGACCAGGTTTGAATCGGCGAGCATTCAGCGCACTTTACACGCCGTTGGCGAGCACGAAAATGTCACTGCGCCAGCTGATCCTGTCGAAACCTCCCCCTGCCACGCCACCACGCCCAGCTTGGCGGATCTCGGCTCGCCTCCGTGCGGCTAATGCCACGAAAATACCAAACTGGCCTTACGCTGGGCTCCGCCAGACGAAAATACAACTGCGCGGGGCTCGCCGCCCTCCGCCGCCTCACCGGCGCGCACAAAAATAGAGCCCTCAAAGTTAAACTGTGACTTTAACAGAAAGAAGAGCTATAGAAAACACAAATGGACAGCAGCATGCAGAAGACAGGAAGACATCTTTCTTCCTAGTTGTGAGTTCTTGTCAGGTTTGTTTACATTGGCTGCAGCGGCGAATTTAATGGAGCTCTCAGGGGTGGAAGATGTCATTTTGGTTTGGTTGTTTACAAGAAGGCTGGAGTGGTGCTCCACAGGTCCACAGGTCATAATCTTATAGAAACTGTCCGTTTTTAGATAAAGAATTAGGATTGGTTCTATGTACCTGAGAGCAGAGGGGAATCATCCAGACCCTCCTGCCGGTATAATTGACTTTAAAAGGGAACTCAACCTCCAACCCACCAATAAGAGAGTGTATCAAGTACCTAAAAGGGGAGCTTAAGATCATCTTAAGGGTCAGCCAAGGTCGCCAGTTGATGACTTTATTATTTTATGGAATGTATGAGGAGAAATTTGAGGCGATGGAAATAGAGGATAAAAACTGCACGGTATGGTAACAAAACAGTCTTGTCAGTGGTTTGCACACATAAAGAAGGAGGAGAAGACAGGCTGTCAGAAGGAGAAATCTTGGCTGTCCTCTTAGAAAATGAATGCTCGAGTGATAAGTTTCGCCTCTCTCCGCTATCCCGCCGTCTGCCCAAGTGCTTTGCATTGTGGGTAACAGTAGGCGAAGCAGACTGGTCCAATGCATACTGTGAAATTTTCCCGAATCAGTATGCCATCCGGGTATTCTTGGCATACTGCATACTGCATACTAAATTTTGTGCAAATCAGTACGTACTGCTAATATAGTAGGCGAATTCGCAAGTATTGGTGGCCAATACTGCAACCAGCCACTAGGGGAGCTCTACATGTTTTAGCTCCACCTTTAAGGAGCTGTCATGTCGTCTGTTTTCAAACACTCTCTAGTCTAGAACAATGGTTGTCAACTGATCTAGCCTCAACACCCACCACCACCCACCGGCTCTTTCATGACGACTATGACCTTAATCTCTGAAATGTGTCATAATGATGGCTGACAGCCAGTGTTAAGGTGCACCACCCGTACACAGTAAAGGTGGGTATTAAACACCTTATAACTGCAAGATATCGCTCACGTAAAGACTTTCGCCATGGTTGCAACAGAAAGCTTGGATTTAACAGGAAGAAACCCCGAACAGAACCAGACTCACTGGTTGAAAGTCATCTGCTTTGACATTAGTTTCTAAAATGTGTTTGTATTTGTAAGAAAAACTCAATCAGACCACATTCTTCTGCAGCAAGTTCAATAATAACTTACCAGAGAGAGTGAGGACACCCCTTGTGTGTGTGTGTGTGTGTGTGTGTGTGTGTGTGTGTGTGTGTGTGTGTGTGTGTGTGTGTGTGTGTGTGTGTGTGCGTGTGTGTTGGTTTGTAAAAGGCACATTCCTGAGCTGGCCTTGGAGAAAGTGAGAGGCTCCACTGAGGTGAAGAGAGAGGGACGGCTGCAAAACAGAATTCCCAGAGCAGTTTGAGGAGGGGACGAGCGGAGAGCAGAGGCCCCTTTTGTCACCAGTGCCTTGTTGGTGCCTCAGGGGCCATATGGACGCCTGCCTCTGTGCGCCCTCACATCAGCCTATTCTTCATCCCACCCCCCTCCACCCCCTCGTCTCAGTGACAGGACCGTCCCCGTGAATGAGTCATGGCCAGAGTGAAGTCGACTCACTTCTGCCGTGGGGAACCCTCTCTTGTCTTCCATCTCTTGAATTTTAATTATATTTTTTCTCCTTCTGCTCTGAATCGTTCATTTTTCCATTCCTCATCCGTGTTTTCCAGTCCTCTCTCTTCCCTTTAGGGACGTCTAAGGCACAGTGTGAAAACCTGGCTATAGACAGCTGCCCCTGTACTCTGCAGTGACCCCCTCCTTCTATCCCTGCGGCCTTTTTTTTCCTGGCAGGACACCGGCTGTCAGCTGTGACTAAAGGTCTGCTGAGCTGCTCTTGACCTGAGGTGGACCCAGAACTCTGAGGCCTCCTTTACTTATTCCCAGGAAGGAGCGAAACTAATGAAATCCAGCAAGTTTTCAGACCTTTTCCTTGAGGTGAAAAAGTGAATTGATGAAAGAACTGCACCTTCTCTGCTGCTCCTCTGTTGTTGTCTTCAACACCATCAGTGCAGGTGAAATTTCCTGCTTCACGCAAATCAGCTCTCTGGCAAGATCCTCATTCAAGCAACGGATTTACTCCTTCCTTCCTCCAACTGCCCCCAAGGGACAAATAAAGTTTCTAAATTGAATTGAATTACATTTGAACAATGTTGAAGTAGCACTCTATAAAATCTGGAGACAGCACGACCACTGTGAGGATTATGAATTATTTACTTTTATTTTCTCTTCTTTTACACGTCTGAACAGTCCTAAATCAACATCATACAATATGAGCGGATAGAAACACAGGAGGAGCTTTCACCTGAAGATAAATATCACGGAATTAAAGAGGTATAAAATTACTCCCTGTCAAGGTCAGATCATTGATATTCCACGGTGGATCCTCGGGGAGCTGTGATGACGAGGGCACTAATGGATGGCATCTCTCGGTAATTAGATCTCAGATGAGCGGATAAAAAAAAAGGAAAAACCCTGCAGCTCAAAGCTCCAAACGCTCTGATGGCTGAATCAATTCATGGGAATATTTACGGCTCTGTTTTAAGCTAGGGTGGTGACAGAAAACACTTATTGTTTTTATTAGACTATGTGGTTTAACATTTTCTCCCTCTAAGGATCAGGGAACAATAACTTTTCTTGACGTTTAATGCTGCTGTTAGAGTCTTTTTGTGTGTGAAATAGTTTTAAAACTCTGTGAAGTTTGTGTGTGATGTTTCTGTTGTTACGCTTCAGCAGGAGCTTGCCAGAGGCCTAAGCCCTTTAGGATGTTTTCCTCCAGTGTCAGGTACTCTTTGTATTCCTTCATCTCTATTTCTTCTTCCTTCTGCTCCTCTGGGGTTTTTATTTGCTTGTTTGTCTCCTGAAAAACAACAACAAAAAAAGTGACGAATTAAGGTCCTGACACACCGGGAGTGTTTTTTTCGTGCAATTATTTCGGACATCAATATTTTTTTTTTTAACCTATTTCCTGTCAATACAAGCGTTCACATCAGCGACGTTTTCCCGTCCTGCGATATTGTGGCATTTTTCTAAAGTTTTGCATACTGTGTGTCCACTTCTGACCAATCAGATTTTGTGTTGTTGCGACATCGAATTCACCGGTATATCCAACATGGCCGATTGTTTACATGTCGGAGAACAGAGTGCTTTTTGATAAAAAAACACAAATATTACAAAGATAACGACCTGAAGGACGACTTGTGGAGAGTCATAGCGTCGGATTCCTAATATGACGATGGTTTGTGTGCTTTAACAGTTTGCTAAACGTCTTTGTTTTAACTTTTATTTGTGCTAAGTAACTTTAGCTCGTGAGCTAACCTGTTCAGAGACAACATACCATATGTATTTTCACTGTCTCAAACTCACAGCACCATTAGGTCTCTGTTGTTACCTTAAGTTTATGGATTATAGTTTAATGTGCTTATCTGGTACTGGCCCCAACTCAGTACATGCTATCATGACAGACAGACATCTCAACACTAGAGTCTAATCAGAACTGAAAAACACTCAGTCTGCTGTTGTATCAGTTTTCTTGCTTCCACCCAGGACATGTTTTTTTTTCCATCGGAAAGTCGCGAAATTGCAGTGTGCTTGATGTGTATAGTCAGGTGCGTCAAAATTCGCCTCTGAATATTTTGTAATTTTGCTTCATATATTTGCGTCATTCCCGGTGTGTAAGGACCTTTTGAGTGACACTAAGATTTGGTATTTGGTATTTTCTATTCTTTCGACTGTTCCACGCTGAAATATTGAGGTCATTTATAGAAAACATGTCATAAATCAGACATTTTTCAGCTGTATTTTCATTCCTCTTACTTTTATTTACTCGTTATTTCATTAAAGCAATGCAACTATTCAAAGCACTAGTTTCAAGCAGACAAGTTCTTCTCCTCTTGGAAAAATTAGGGCTTCTAGGAAAGGCTTGACAGAATTAACAAATTAGCTTAGATGAAAAATGCACAATCTTTAATATTAGATTAAACATTTCAAATTAATGCTCATATTTCCTTTGAGCAGAAAATGGATTTCCTTGAAAGACTGTTTATAATTCAGTAACTCCAGGCTTTCACATAAATAAGATTACAAACACATTTTCCACTGACATTTCTTTGAGTGATTTGAAAAGTTAGAAAAGAACATTTAAGGTTTAATATAATGTTGGACTTGTTTGACTGACATAACAAGCAAGAAAACTCTATCCACAAACGTCTGAACAGAAACTAAACTTCACCTTTAACCTTAAAATAACTTATATCTTTTAAAACTTTCAGCACTGACAGAAACTTTCAGGCACTGATTGTCAAGAGTGACCCTTTCTCTCCAAACCTCAGAGTGATATGATGACCTCCTGCTCTTCAATTTAAAGATGAGGAGCAGGAGGGTGAAAAGTATGAGAGAAAAAGAGGACACTTAAGTACTTAAGGACTATTCTGTTCTTTCTCAGAGTCTGGCAGTGAAGCTCACCCCTTTTTTTCTCAGTTCATCAGCTTCCTTCTTCATTTTTGCAACCCTCCTCTGAAAATCCTTCAGCCTGTCTTCTTCCAGCTCGAAGAATTTCTCCAGACCCAAACTCTGCGTACAGACAGAACAGATTGGTCTTACTGCCATTAAAAAAAATCATCTCTACTTTCTCATTCATCAGGATTTAAATATCAGTAAAATAAAGGCAGGCAATAGAGCTACACATGCTTGAATTGTTAGCTTTTAGGCCGGATAGTCTCACCTCTTTCTTGTAGAGAGACTTTGGGAGTCTGAAAACAAAGACGGCGGCAACATCATCGCTCACAGCCAGGTAGTAGTGCTTGGCTTTAACCAACAAAAAGAAAAAACAAATAAAACAGACAGTCGGGCACAGTCGAAGTCTTGGCAGAGGATCAGTTTAAAGATGGGCAGCGATGAGTCAAGAATAATGTTTGGGTCCGTTAACTGTTTTACTTCACAGGGCTTGACACTAACTTTTTTTCACAAGGAGCACACAAAGAACTTTTGGGGCACAATGAAAGTTGATCAAATAATGTGTGTCTTATTGGTTAACATAAGTATTATTATTTGAAATCAATTTTAGATCTTTTGGTCACATGACATGGAAGCTATTAAAGGAAAACAGACTTTTCGGGGAACATCAACCGGTAATTTATTGACGGTCCCTTATTCAACACCAACGTTGACAGCGAGGATGCCGAGTAGATTTAACTGCGCTACTATTACCGGTTATGAAGAGTGAGGAGACACCGGTAGATCCGCAGTGAATGTCCATCGGATCTCCAACCTAAAATTAACTTCACAGCGATTTTTACATGAAAAAACATTTGTTGCCTCGGCAAAAAAATTTTTGATGCACACATGTGCCCCTAAAGTTTGTCCACAGCTCCATAGGGATTGCTGGAGGAGGCGGGATTTATGACCTGTACTGCAGCCCGTCACCAGAGGGTGCTGTTCTAAGAGGCAGGCGGCGTCCATTCTACATACTGTCTTGGGTTTTTGGGGGGGGTTTGGGTGACCTTTGCCACCTTCAAGTGGCAGATGTCCAAATGGGTGTTTTATCTGCAATAAATACATGTATGTTTATATGTATTCAGGGATCTTTGCTGCTGCTCTCGCTCCCTTGGCTTTTCACGTATGTATAAGAAACAGATGAGGGGTGTGCTTTCCTTCCCTTACCTCATACATGGCCATATAAAGATGGGAAACTCTCAGAACAGTACCATACCACCAAATATAACTTATCGCTTGCAAAGTAATCATTCTTTTTAATATAGGTGGTCCTAAACGGATTCAAACAACTGATGTACTCTTCTTAGAAATGTAAAATTTTGAACTCACATGTGGTGGCGCTCCATGATTTGATGCAGGTGATCCTGGCCTTGATGACATGTTTGTACACCTGCACAGGTTCCTTAGTCTTTTTGAGCAGGTCCCATACCTCAATGCTGCCATCCTCATTCCCGATGAAGAAATCAGTGGATCTGGACGGGGAACAGCACCCTGCAGTGTACGCCGTTTCCGAAGTTGGTGATGTGAAAATGGGGCCATCCTGAAAATCGTATTGTTTAAATAAAGTCAAGAGGAGTAATGAGCTTGAATCTGCAACATATATGACCTGGTGTCTTTACCGTGACTCCCTCCTTCCAGATGGCAAAGTTCCAGTCTTCAATTGTCAGAATTGTATCTTTATAGAAAGGCGACCGCTGCACTGTGTTCACAACCCCGTGATGGAGAGACTTGGCATCTGGTAGAAAGAAGAGACAGGAAGACAATGTCCAGTGTTTCATTAGAAAAAAATAAAATAGAAACCTGACTGTTGTGGAATACATAAAACTATTTGAACACCCTGGCCTGCTTTAGAAAACAATGGCTGTCTAACAAAGTTTTGTCTGGAAAAGGCCGACAGAGTACTCACTGTGCAGATGTCCGGACTCTTTGTTGTCTTGTTTCCAGTCAGTATAAACAACCACTCCTTCCTGGCAGTGAAAATATTCACATAATTAGATTTGTTAAAAAGAAACACTGAAAAAGCACGCACAGGTTGAATAAACTTATTTTTTTCCAATGACCATTTTGTTGAATTTTCCTGGATATCATTTCAATGAAGCCACCAACTGGGAGGAACGCACCTCTAAATCAAACCAGATGTATCTCTGATCATAAGGGGACTGATTTTAGATGTCAAAAACAAAGGAACAATGTTTAAAACCAGAGTGTAAATATGTTTACTATCAACAGGGGTGGGTGACTACAGGGGAACTGCGGGTTTTGCACGACTTCAGTTGCTTCACTTTTCACCACCTGAGGCTGCAGCTTGAACTTGAACCACTTGTCTAGCAGCACAATTATGTCCTGTGTTTTTAGGGTGTGGATTCTTGTTTCTCACACATTTGCAGAAACAGAGAGATGGACAGAGGTGAGACTGATGCATGCAGTCGAAGCAGCTAAACCAGACATCCAGAGGGAGCTACGGCATGATGGAGCTCGTGGACTCCTAGAAACGACTTTGGTTGAATATAGTGTGTCATTGTATTGATTAATAGTGTTTACCTGTGTTCCTACATACATCCTAGTGTTGACATCTTCCAGAGGTTTGAGTGTTTGAGCTGAGCGCGTTCTGAGCTGGCTGTAGTCTGGGACGACCTCTGAGCTTTCACCATCAGCCGGATCATCTTCAGAGGAAACGAAAAGGAAGAGAGATTTTGTAGAGCAAGGCGGAAAATAAGGCAGGTTAAAAGTTCAGAACTTTTTCAGCCAGTCAAAACAGGCAGGGCGATCGTAACTTGAGACAAAGATGTCAAAGAAACCTCTTCAGGGAACAATTATCTTCATGTGCTTTAAAACACTCACACACACTTCACACAGCTGCTTTTAGAGTTTAGCATAAAGAATAAATTCCTCAAAATACTCTGTAAACCGAGGAAAACATCACCATAAAGGCGGGACAACATTTTGCTATTGATGTTAAGGAAAAAATCAAGGACAGAAAGTGACATATGTGCAGCCTGCTCTGTAATCTGACCATGAACCAGACGGCAGAAGGACAAAAGAGAGGGACGGGTGGGGAGGAGTACAGCTGAGGTGAATGGGTTGGTAAGAGGGGATACGAGGGGAGTGGGAAAGAAAGGAGGTGGAGGTGAGAGTGAGGGGGACAGTAAGGGAGAAGGGTGGGAGGGTTGAAGTAGGCAGGGCTGGTAGTGATGGAAGAGGCCTTTTCCATCACAAAAGCCCAACTGTCTGTCAGGGACAGTGCGGGACTGTCCGTTCACACCCCCTTATCAGCCGGCCGCTCCCAATCACGTCTCGGCTTCACTCTGTTAGATTAGCTCCTGAAGGTCAGATCAGATTACCCAATCTTACATCTCCTAAATCCACTTTCTTCCAGTTAAGATGTGTGTAAAGATATGAGACAGAGGATACGGCTTCACTTTCACCATCTTGCTCGGCTGCCTAACTGTTGCTTAATCCCCTCGAGACACGGCGAGCAAAAACGTGTCGAAAGCGCCGGTTTAGGACGAAGGGGATCTCTTCTGCAGACGCTTCTCTAATCAAAACTCACCCCTACATCAGTAAAGATAGATAACAGAAGAGAGTCAGCTGAATAAAAAGCTCAGAGAGTGGCAGTGTAGACTCAGTCAATAACAGAGAAACATCTTAAGTGGCTCTGAAGTATTAATCACACAAGTATTCATTAAAACTTTAATAACAAGCTGCCTCAGGGGCTGCTAAAAAAAGCAGACGATTTATTGCTTTGGCTAGAGAACATATTAATTTGACATCCTCCAGCCACCAAAACTGTGTTTATGGTGGCAGACCTTCAGTCAGACAAAGACAGGTCTCTTCTTGACCAGCCAGGACACACACACACTCACACACGCTCACACACCATCATCCTGTAGCCCTTAAGGAGCCTGAGCGGCATATTGCAAAGAGCTGACAGTCAGCGAGGCTAATTCTTTGCAACTATGAGGGCCTTGTTTTGGAAGTATCACTTAATAAAGTGCTATGAAACCGGAGGAGAGAAGAGAGAGAGACAGAAAATGAGAGTCCCCGAGGGGCTGAGTGAACCCTGCCCTGTGCTCAACCATCCGAAGAGGAATCTCGCATCCTGCTAATCACAGACCTGCAGTCACAGACACGCTTTGGTAAGATAAGTTTCTGCACTAATGTCAGTTAAAAAAAAACAATAAACCCTTTACTCGCAGTAGGTTAAGACTGACGCAAAACTCTGACAACAACCGCTTGCAGTCAGGTGGTTTCATCTCCTCAGTATTTGTTTGGATGGGCAGGTAAAATGATAAGAATAGACATGGATTTTGATCAGTTATATAAGGGAAAATGAACAGTTTGACAAAAGTTACAGGATATTGAATCTGGACAAAGAGAGAAAAGACCCCGACACCAACTAAATATATTCCCAAGTTAACCTCAAGAGGATTTTTCTTGATTTCAAAATGATCATCCACTCCAGCATTTCTCTGGCTACAGATTTTTTGTCAGCTAATCTACAGATGAACGTTTTAATTTTTACTTTAATTACACTTCAACCACTTCTGGGTGGGCATAATTAACACAAGGACCCTTTTTTCTTATTCAATCAGTCCTGTAGTACTACCGAAGCCCAGAACTGGATCTGGTTTGTAGTTGCTTTGTGTCTGTTTTCTTTGACTCAGCTGTTTTACCATTTCTTGACCTTTTTTTCTGCCGTTGACTAGCCATCTGTTAACCACCGACTTATAGTTTACTGAATACTGAGTTGGCCTGTCGTGATACACCAGTAGGGGAGAGTGGGGTAAGTTAAGCCAAAGGGTAAGTTGAGCCACCCTCTGTTGCTTGGAAATGGTAAAAGAAATTGATCATGTGACCAAATATTAAGGAGATGGGCATCAATTCATGAAGTCTGTGAAGGTTAGAAGCACATGGGTGAAGAGGGGGTAAACATTTATTTCCAAAATAAAGGAGTAGGGATACGGCTCAACTTACCCCGCTTACCCCATACACAGGGTAAGTTGACCATAGTAGACCACTTTTTTTTGGCATGCTATATTATCAAGACAGTTATGTTTACACTCATTCTGTTGGTTTGCAGGGACCAAGACATTAAATTAAAATGTAAAAGGTCAATGAAGAGGAAGGAATGAGGGTAGGTACAAATAAGCTAAATAGCTTCTACCTACTCCTTTTCGATCTCCAAAAATAGGTGAATTTCTTGTCTAAAATTGTACTGTATGTATATTTGATCAAATAAACAATATCTCTCACTCTCACATCTTGAAATATATGCAGATACACGAGTTGGAGACAAAACTATGATTGCCCTGATGTAGAAAACCAAAATATGAAAAATGGCTCATCCTACCCCATTCTCCCCTACCTGTTTTATGTAAAAACAAACAAACAAAAAAAAAATGTTATTGTGCCTAAAAATAAGCTTACAGTAATTCTTTGAGGTCATCAAGAAAGATCTCTGGGAGATGATTCAGCAATTTTTAAAACTGACAAAATGAATCCAAAAAGTTTTGACACAAAAACAAAAACACAGCTTGATCTGGAGTGTGATTTGTGTGCTCAGGTCGTCCCTCGTGTCGCCTTTTCTGTTCAGAATTAATGACGTCACGGAGCGGTTTTGACCAATCAGAATTAAGTATTTAACACAGTGAGAAGGCATGCAACAGACAGAGACACCCAAGGCCCGGCAGCCTCGAGGGTGAAACCCCTCACCTGTGGTCCCAGCTGTATTATCATCAGTACAGGTGTAGTGTTCCAGGCTGAACTTCAAAGGAGAATAATCTCTTCTGGTATTGATCATCGGCGGGGTAATCTGACACACGGCAGAGAGGACGACAAAGTTTGACACATGAGGAGATGACAGAGAATAAACATGACTAAAAACAGAAACACAGGTGACACTCGCACAACTGCACAATAGAGGGCAACAAATTTTACACAAGTATATAAAAAACATTAACACACATTCAGAAGTTTGTTTAAATAAGTCAAACTTATTACACCGAGACTGTAGTATTTATCAATGATTTATTTGCAGGCTGATCAGCTGTTTGTCTGATATTTTCAGTATCAACATTAATACATCCTCTTTTTTTTGCTTGAATTGCACCCAGTACCTTGAACAGAGGTTTCCACCAGCGGCCGAGGTGTTTGAAAGTTTCTGAGACGCTGTGGGCTGTCGTGTGTTTCTTTCCTGACGCCCAGCTGGACCACTGTTTGGACACTCGCACATCCCAGAACATTATCGCACTTAAGAGGAAAGGACAGGGACACAATTGAGCACAAAAAATATAAAACAGATACTTATTTTTATTGTTAGTTATATAGCAGTTGATTACAGTTGGGTTGAAGAAATGTCTCAAATACAACTGCTGCCAAAAACAAAGGAGGAATAATCTGGTATATAAACATCGAACAGTAAAAATACAAGAAGCTATCTTCAGTCACAGGGTTGTGTGATAAAATGGTTTACCTCATTACTAACCACATGCATGACATGTTGTTATAAGAACAGTCTCACATGCAAAGCCGAAGAATTTGAAACATTTCTGTCAGTGAGTGTAACGAAAAGAAAAAAAAAGACTTTTCCTTGGGTAGCCGAGGAAAACAGAGTCTTGAGTGACTTGTTTTCAGCTCCACAAGACGATGGCCTAAATATTTGACTGGAACAGTTTGTTATGTTCAGTACAAGGACAACACTTGAGTGTCGTTGTGTTTTTGTTTTTACTGCGAGTCCATGCAGAACATCAGTGCGCTGACTGGTGGAGGTTACTGAGGGTCAAACAGGAACTTACAGAGTAATGAAAGCAGTATAATACAATAATATAACATAAGGAGCAATTTTCAAGTCACTTTCGGCAGAATTATCAATAAAAGTATGAGATAGGTGTCATGATATGTTTTGGTATTTAGTTTTTTCCTGGTTTTGGTCATTTGAGTTTATTTTCTTTGTGATTTCCCCTGATGTTTCTGTTCCCTAATGTTCCTGTTCCCCTGTAGTACTGTTTTGTGCGTTTTCAGTTTGTGTCTGACCCTGTTTCCCTCCATATTCTCTGTGTTTTATTCTTTAGATCAGTTTTCAGTGTCTCCTGTTTTATTTCATAGCAGTTTATTCCCTTTGTTTCTAGCCTTGTTTTACTTCCTCCCTCCTCTGTGATTGTCTGCACCTGTGTCTCAGAGTCTCACCTGCCTCTCGTTGCTCATTTCCCTGTGTATATATATAGTCCTTGTCTTCCTCTTTCTCTTTGTTGGTTTATTGTGTTATTTGTATGTTTGTCGCTTACAGTTGCTCCCTGTGATACTTGCCCCAGTGATTTGTTTGGTCCTTTGGATTTTGCTTCTTGTGTTTTTTGGGGAATTTTTCAGCTGGAAATTTTAAGTAAGTTTTTGTTGCTTTTTATTTATTTCATTTTAAATAAATCATTTTTGTTCTGCATTTGGGCCCTTTCCTTTTTGTTTAAACCGGGACCTTGACAGTAGGGATGTCCTTATTTGACTGAGGAGTCACCATCAGGTTTATTAATTCACATGGTTGAGCACAGCTGTAACATCCATAAACCTGACCATATGTGCTGGAAATGCATACAAAAACTCTAAATATCACCTATTAAATGGTTAAAACTCATACTAACGACATCCTCTGTATTTCTACGTGAGATTTAACAACTTTAAGAGCAACTGATCGCTGCACAGACTGACAAAAAGTGCAAAAACAGGATAATAATAAAAGAAATGATACTGAGACAGAGATGATGGATGTTTTCTATCTAGCAGCGTTTTCTGGTTCATCACACAGGCAGGAATATTACACAGCAAGCACACACTGTCACTGCTAGACTTTCCTACCAGGGAGAGCAGGTGACAAACTGAACAGAGATCTTATTCTTGTTCTCCACAGCTTCACCTGTCTTGGTCACCTAATCAGAGAGAGAGAGAGAGAGAGAGAGAGAGAGAGAGAACGACACACAGAATCAGCAGAGGTCAGTCCGGTCTTGTGTTGTTAAACTCTGACAGCAGAGAACGAGGTTCCCAAAGGTCCATGAGAGGTTTACGTGCTCCTGTGGGGCACTTTGATGATTACCTTATTCCACTTATCCACATGGGTGCCAGAGGTTGACATGATTTATTATAGCTATAAACATACAGAATAAGAGCCAACAGGAAACCAGTATTGTAATGTATTCATATTTTCAAGGTAAAGATGATTTAAAGAACGCTGGTTCTGCAGCTATCAGCACTACCTTTTATAGTGATCATTGAAGTTCCCACTCGCAATAATTTGGTTGTTCTACCTTAATTTAATTCATTTGTCAAATAAATTAAAAAGCATGAAATACAGGTAACGCAATAATATGTATGTTGCCCTGACAATCCTTCATCCCTTCAAACCAATAGTGATGATTAAATAAGAGGCAGCATGGGAATAACAGACATAAATAAAAAAAAGTCAAATATTATTTAAAAACAAACTAGTTATGTATTCATGAATCATTTCTGTTCCCTCTTTTAATGCCAGTTCCCTGGATTTTGGGCTTGTCTTGTATTTTAACCAGCCAAGTAAGAGTCATTCATAAAGTGATAAAAATGTTTATTTTGAATGTGAAACTGTGGGAGTTATTCTGTGTGTTTATATGCTCTTTTAAATGTGAGATCTGTCTCTTATTTTATCTAAATATCTGCCTCAGGACTGATGAAATGAAGCGATTTTTCTATTTTAACATTTTAAGATTGAAGCATGCTCATAATGTTGAGTGGTGGGTACAATCCAAAATGAATAAAAAAAGATAGACACAGACACAAAGTAGCTGCTGTTCAGTGGACTGGGAATAAAAACTGTCCTCGATGTGCTGCCCAGAAAATTTTCCACCTGTTGTGTTCTTTCACTGCTTCCTGTTAATTATTTTCATTCCTTTCATCACACCCACAATGTGTTGCAACCAAACTGTCAGAGCCTCTCTTCTGCCTGAACTGATAAGTGATGCCTCATTATGGGTGAGATGCAGGATATGACTCAGGTTATAACTGGAAATACAAATATTGCTGGGTAAAGAAATGATTAATACAATGAGAGGACCGTGACATTAAGACTTTGACTCTACTCGCCTCAGTGCTTTTACTGCGTTTGATAAAATAATGAGAAAAAACAAACAGTGACAAATTGTATCCGCCTCTGTTCAGACAGTTCACACAGATAACTCTCTGCGTAATCAGGGTTCAGATTATATGTATAATATCAGCTGCCTACCTCAAACGTGGGTGGCAGCCACTGGACATCAGTAATCGGTGCTTCTTGGACGCTCTCTCCGGAGGAAGCCGCACAAAAGCGCACAACAGGAGTCTTCTTGTCTTTGTCATCAGAGGCCTGCCGGGAGATCAGATGCGAAACACAAAGCGTGTACAGTGAGCTCAAATCAAAAGACTAAAAAGTATGAAGGCTTGGGGTCAATCAATTAAAGTTTGCATTACATACATCAGAATCAGAATCAGAAATGCTTTGTTTACAGTACTCCAGTGCAAATACAGTAAAGAAGAGATCAATAATAGATCAAATAAAAGGTAAAATAGATAAAATAAGTAAAAAATATAGAGACAAATAGATAAAATAAGTGAAATAAGTAAAAATATAGAGATAATATACAAGTATCTACGCTATAAACAACACAAATAGTGACATCGTATGCATGTAGAATATATAAATATGTAGAATATCCAACACTAAACTGTGTGAGAGTCATCAAAGACACAGGTTGGAGAAAAAGTCTGCAGTAATTTTTTTGTTGGTAGCTGGACTTGCATTTCTTCTAATCCATTAAACTCACTTTGCCTCACTCAGAGTTTTCAAACAAAACTTTTGACCAATAAAAACTGGATTTTATTGTTATTACAATTTTAAAGCCCGCACAAGCAGTAAAAGTGTCTTGTCCTTCCTGTGACTCACTGGGGCATGCATTTCTTAGCCAGATCAACTTGTGGGAGCTTATCAGTGACATGCCCATGCTCTGTGGATTTACTTTTACAGACACTCCTGCTGATCACGACAGGAACTCTTCTCCCACCCCTCCCCAGTCGACAGCTTTTTGCTGTCTTTCTCAAACAGAAGTTGCTGTATACCTCCTGTCACTCTCTAAAAATAAAAAACAATCATTGGGGAGGCGTCTTCCTGCTGCTTATGTTGCACAAACTTGACAGCCTGACAGTTTTCAGGTCCCCCTGTTTTCTCAGTGCCACCACAGGGATCAGTGAATGTGACATGTTGTGAAACAAATCAGGCGCTAAATAGCACAAATAAATAATTTACACAGGCTTGTGATTAAGACCTGCCTTATATGTCAAAACCATAGACTGTACAAAGAATGGATGCCGTCTGCCTCCTCGCTGGGTGAAGCCACTCCGAGAACAGCACCCTCTGGTGACGGGCTGCAGTATAGGTCATAAATCCTGCCTCCGCCAGCAAAGCTTATGGGGCTGTGGACAAATTTTTCCCCCCTCTGCTTGTGATGCTTGCACTCAAGTCCTCTTTTTCCTTTGCTCCGTTTTTAAAAGTTATTAAGTGGTTCATGTTTTCTATGGTTGACACCTGATACAGCCTATGGGCGTACGAAGATTGCGTAGCTCACCCAGGGGATACACACAGGGGATACACTGTTTGAGCCGAGCCGAGCTCATCACAGCGACTCTCCTGCCGAATGCGTACAATGCTACTGTGCAACTGGTGGGGTGCGTACAACGCTACTGCGCAATGTTGGCTTCAGGTAATGGAGAGAAAACGCGGAATTACAGAGAGGTTTTTGGCTTCAGATCTGTATACTGGCGGAAGGCAGAACCAAGTTGTCTTTAGTTGAAATGGGCTTCTATTAGGAGTTTTATGGTAACCCAAAATATTGCTAAATCCTGCACTTTTGATTCCTAGGCAGGTTGAAAGAAAGTTTAGTAAATCTATACTTTAACATCAGAGCTTTATCTTTGTTACATAACACTACATGGTAAATCAGGTAGCATGTTTATCCATCTGTTGGTTGTGTGGTGCAGCTGCAGATTGGTTCAAAAGGTGTGAACAGAACACAAATATATACAAGAGCATTTAAATTCTCCGTCCATCTGATAAGAGAGCAACAGGTGCTGGTTTAGTGCGGCTTTCATAACACTCAATATGGAAATAAAGTCTCTTAGCAGATGCTGCTCCCGTTGTTTACACTGCAAACAAACAGGAGGGCAGTGATCGGATTTGCTTGTGTGTTATCTGGTGGGGAGACGGAGGCTGTGTGTAGCAGCTGGAGCTGTATGCTGATGCTGTTGACTCTGGGGAATGAAGAGCAAACAATGAGGGAGAGAGAATAGAGGGAGGTATGGTCATTGGAGAGGGGGGAAAGCAAAAGAGAAGGAAGTAGTGCGGACAGGGATGGAGACATCTGTTCCACTGTAGAGGCAATAAACACAAAGTAAATGAGGGCTGGATAATGGGGGTATATGTGTCTGTTTCAATACAGCAGCTCAGTGGAAGATGTCAGAGGAGGTCAGGCTTTAAGGAGCAGATCTGTTTCAGTGTTTGGTGTCTGGTGTCTCAACAGGTTACGGTAGATTTAATGTTCTTGCTGTGTTGTGGGTTTAAATCGAAGTGCTGGTTTTTGTCACAGATCATTACCTCTGCCCCCTATGGAAGGAGTTATTGAATGAGTTCAATAAAGTTTGACTTATCTGACTGTTTTGTTTGACCTAATGTGCTTTATAATCCAGTGCGAGTTATGTATGAAAATAGATGCAAATTGACGCGTTCATTGATGGTGCGCCTTATGATCAGGTGTGCCTTATAGTGTGAAAAATATGGTATTTGATTGGCTGGATGGTGGACGATTGAGCCAGGAATCGATTGCTCTCCCAGGTTACTCGGATGCTGAGTCGGTCTGTTTTACACTGAATTTTTTTACCTTGAATTTTTTTATGTTGATTTTTTTTTTTTACACATTTTTTTTAAGTTGAATTTTTACTAAACAAATCTTTTGAGCGACTGATTTTTTATACAGAATTTATTTCATCATTGTGAAAAAATAAGTGTCAGAAATAAAAAAGCATGCTTGAAATTCAAGTTTCGAAATTTAGTCTGATTTTCATGCAAAAAAATTCAGCTTTAGAAATTCAAATTCATAATCAGATGGCACAGATTTACTTCCATAGCCCCCCTTTCACCTGCACCCGGTATCTCTATAGACATAACAGCGCTGATATGTCATGAGTTATAGTTTTCGTCACAGTTATTTTTATTCAGCTGGATCACTCCGGCTTGTCCAGAGGCTGCTTTTGTTTATAAGCGGGGTCATGTAATGATATAAACCTGCTCTGAGATTTGCTTCTGGCATCAGCGTGTTTATGGAAGTAGTTTTGACAGCTGTGGCTGGCTTGAAAAGGACCATTAGGGCCACAGCATTCCCATCTAATGAAAGGGTGAGGGAGAGGAGAGAATCCAGGATCCAACGTATCATCATCTCTCTCTGTCATACAGCACCACTGATGAGTGCAGCCTGTCGTTTACAGCAAGCATGCTGCCTGCTTTGATAAACTGACGACCTATACTTGTATAAACCGAGCTGACATCATCATAAGTCAAAGAACTACAGTAACCGACACCACATGTAATACACCGTCACAGATACAGAACACCATGTTCTATTGTCGCAACACTGTGGACACTAGAGATAGGATACAGGTACTTACGAACGTGTCAGTGTTGACAGAGGACTTTTTACCACCGGGTTGTGTTCCCTGTAGGTAAGTGACATAAGCGGAGATGTCCCATAACACAACCTGAGAAGAAAACAACACAACATCAGTGAGGAAGAGCAGCATCTGAGCTGGACTCAGAGTGCTTATTGAAACAGAAACAAACAGAAACAAACAGAAACTTTTCTAAAATTACTTTATTCAAAGCTCCTGTAATAAACTTTTTTGTCACTTTTGGCGCCCTCTGTGGACAAAGCAGTCTTCGCCCATCTCGTCCTCTACATGCTTGATTAGCATCTTCTAACAAAAATCTCATCCTGCTGACTTTTGACGATCAAAATATCATTTATATTAGACACTTAAAATAAAGACTTCATTAGTAACAATAACTGCAAATGCTGCAAGAATATTTTTTAATTTTCTGATGTAAAACCTATTTTAAAAAACTTTTAAAAAAAAGTTTCTTATATTATCTTGAGATTCATAGGCCTGTCAGGTCAAAATAGCAAAAAAATAAGCATGATGAGATATTTTGACATGAAATAAGACAAATTCAGAAGTTTTGAGCTTTTTGCAGGGTAGATATTATCCAATCAGAAGCATGTCAGGAAGTTGATGAAAGTTTATGTGATACAAGGACTCTTTTTTGACTCTCTAATCAAAGTTATGTAACATGCAGCAAAGTTCAACAACTTATACTGAAAATGCTAAAAAGCAAAAGTTTAAATAGTGATTTTAAAAGCTATTAAAGAAATAATAAGAACATGAAATGACTGAATAACAATGATGTGAGATGACAACCATTGTGGATACGGTAAACGTCTAAGAGTGATAATGATTATTTTCCCCTTTTTGAAATATCCTGGAAGACAGAACAGCAGCATAAGCAACAAAGTGGAAAAGCAGAGCGGAGTAAGAGTCAGCACCTGGCCATTCGCGCAGCCGCCAACAATAATATTTGGATCAGAGGGACTGAAGTCAAAGGCAAAAATGCCGTCTGGGCCCTCCAGCAGCAACTGCAAACAACACAGAAAAGCCACAAACACAGAGCAGAAATATTACGTTTCAAAGAAGATTTTCCTAGGTACTGGATTATCCTCGAGAGTGTTTATTTTTCTATCCTCTCTTTACAAAGTTCAGCTTTTTAATCCACAAAACCAAACACATACAGCAGATTTTATTTCCTCAGGCATATAGGGAAAAAGAGCCAAGAGAGGAGGGATGGTAAAACAGAGAAGTTATTTTTTAGCCTCGTGTTTAAAATAAGCAGCTCGGTTAAATTACAACATTCTTCCTCTTATAGCGCTGAATAAAAACATTTAGCTTCCTCGTACAATGCGTCTTATGTCCTTCACATAGTAAGCCTTTGTCGTTTGATATTAGCTTCAGCAGACAGTGAAACAAAGCATGACACATGCAGCAGCGAGGGCAGACGTCATTCAGAACTCATATTACTTTAGAGTGATTTAGCAGCTCAGGTTCATTGATTGGGAGCAAGGGTCAAATCGATAGAGCCTCTCAGATTTTGCTAGAGCACATGATGGTATTAAATGACAGCACTGAGAAGACCTTGTTTTTCATGGGTTTCAGGCAAATGTAGGATAAAACTACAAAGAAATTACTTGTAAGCTTTTACTGAAAGAGGGAAAAAAGATTGAAAAAAGACAAATGTTAACTCTTGGACCGCTCATACCAGGGTAGTGGAGTTTTTGCAGCTATAGAAGAGGATAAAATGTTGTTTGACGGTGAGGTCTGTCGACTCGTTCAACTGCGTCTCTCTTCGCTCTGTCAGCGCCACAGCTATCACACCTAACACGACAAAAAAAAAACACATTAGACAGGAAGTTAAATACATTTTCACCGTCTTAAAGATGCCAATATCTTTTACTGATTCAACCCTGAGATCCTTTTAATAGAAATTGCCTTTTATGGCACTGATGTTCAGTTGAAGATTGTGCTAGAACCTAATTACTAATGATGACAGATAGGAAACATTATAAAGCAGCAGTGGTTTGAAGATTACGATTTTACATTATATATAAGCCCCCTCCTTTGGTTTTTGTTAGCTAACCAAAAATTGTCTTCTATGGATGAGCTGTGGACAAACTTTAGAAATTAATTACACAGAACATAATTTTTTTCCCCCTTCTTGCAATGTATGCATACAATGCTACTGCGCAATGTTGGTTTCAGGAAATGAAGAAAAAATGCGGAAAAACAGAGAGCTCCTCGGCTTCAAATCCGTATACTGGCGGAAGGCAGAACCAAGTTGTCCATAGTATACACAGTCTATTGCCTTGCCTTTATAACTGCGTTTTGTTTGTAACTTTCATGTATTTTCTTAGTGTTTAAATGACCTTGTTAAACAAACAAATATATACACATAATAAAGGAAATATATGAAGTGATATAACACTTTACCTTGGATTGTAGGATGCCAGTTTATGCATCTGATCGTCTTGTCTTTAGTGTAGGCCCGGTTTGCCAAAACCCGAACAAGCATCAGATCTTCGTAAACCTGCTCATTGCTATCATCGTCTTTAGCTGCTGAACTCAGAGCCTTCCTGTCATCAGTGAATTCATCCATGATCTCTGCCTGCTGGAGAGCATGCAAAACCCTGCAAAAGAATGTAATGCATTTATGAGGTTAAGGGAATGAGGTTACAGCAAAACAATGACTTCATTGCTGCAGTAAAAAAATACATATAATACAACAAATGTTCTTTTATGGTTTATAGTACCTGTACACAAAGTTTGAGTTGACTATTTTTTTTTTTTTTACCTGGGAGTCACTGTTTTGAGAAAATTCCTCAGACTTTCGGACTGATGGATGTTCTCCTTGTCTTCATCACTTAGCTCTCTTGGCGTATACTGAGTGTGGATATTCCTCAGAACCTTCCTGTAAAACGAGAGGAGATGAATTCAACGCTAATGTGGTAATGTGTATATAAAACAAAGCTTTATAACCTGTGTTAAATTTTTTTTATCTTAATTCAATGAAACAGGTGAAATTATTTCAGCAGCCTGACAGGTGCAAGAAGAACCTGTGTGTGCTTTCCCCTCTGCAGAACAAATCAATTTTATGTGCACTAATTTACTGGCATACCGCTGTGTCTGAGCGCTGCTGCTCTGCAGAGTGGGAACAGCCTGTAACCCGCAGTCCCTCTGCATCTGCTTGATGCTGAATCTGCTGTCTTTATAGGAGGGGCACTCTATGAAATCAGCGTTGTGGTCTGAAAAACAGACCGGTGCCCCAAACTTCCTCCTCACTCTGGAGAACTTGATACACAGCTGGTGCAAAAAAAAGAAGAGATAGATTCAAGAGAATAAAAGGAATTTGATTAAACATATTTTTTTATGTTTTCAAACTGCCGTACCTTTTCTCGGGTCTCTTTTACACATTCATTCTCTATTTCTTGCTCGCTGCCTTGGGATATCCATTGCCTTGGTTCTGGGGTTTTAATAGCATCGTTCTCAATTACTTCTGCTTCTGCTGTCTCAGGCTTTGGAGGCTGCAGTGAACAAATAGAGAGGGCTAAGAAAAATGTAAAGAACAAGAAACTCTCTGAAAGTGGAAGAAAAGTTTGAGATTATTTGGTATTTAAACCCGAAATCTTCCAAATATCGAAGCTACAACAACACAGCGTTTTTCATCCATCTTCTATCTTAACCCTAGAAAACTATCACCGGGTGATTTTCACCCGACCAAACATGTTTACATGATTTTCATGATGTTGCGTTTGTCTGAGTATCATGGGTCTCTGGGTAGCTTCAGCATTTCCTTTGACATCTTTAAAGACATATTTGTTTCCCTGATCCAAAACCTGCTTTTTCCTACAGGCACATCTTCGGGTGATTTTCACCCAGCAATGGTGATAGAAGAAGAAGTAGTGGAGAAGAATTGGTAAAAGAAGCAATTAGATAACCAGCGAATCCTGGTACCATAAACAAAACTACGGTCCGCTTACATGAAGGATTCTCTCCTTAGCCTCAGGTGTCAGTACCAGGTAGAAACTCTGGCCATATAAGAAGTCCCTGTCAAAAACCAGCAAGATCTCATCCTCCGGGTAGTCCTGTCAGATAAAAGATTTTAAAAGTGATTACAGTCAAGAGTTTTCACAGCTCAGCTTCAATAGAATAATTAATGTGGTGTGTTTGAAATGATTTAGGCAACCACGTTACTTTTATGCATAAGTGCTTTGGTTGAGATATTTAATGAGGGGTAAGATGAGGATTTCAGATATGAAGTCTATGGTTTGAGGTTCAGAGAAGCAGAGTAAGTCAGACAACCACAGACACATCTTCAAAGATCAGATGAGTCTGTGTGGGTCCCTCAGGGTGCTCTCTGGTCTCATTAGAGTAATTAACTGAAGGAGGAGTGGACTGAAAGCATTAAATCAGAGTGGTGGTGTATTTAACCTCGATCAGGGACAGAGTGGGGGCGAGGTTAAACTGGTTACTGGTCCAGCCCACAGCCCTTAACTCGGAATCTGTACATAGTGTCTTGGGAGAATAGTCTGAGTGATCAGGATGACAAAAGATCAGCTCACCAGCACAGTCTGCTTCACCGGGCTGAAATCGGACACTGCAGCTCTTTTCTTCATGTCCTGCACGATGTCGTCTTTTCTCAGGAGCTTATAAGGGCTCTCGCCCGTGACATCCTCATCAGCTCTGCAACCAAAGAGCTGCTGGGTCGCTGATGTCAGCACCATGGGAAAGATGTCATCAGGGTCATCATCATCTTGGAGAGAGTTCGCAATCGATACAGAGAAAAAGACGAAAAAGAAAGACGGTAGACAAAGAGTTAGATATGTAAAAAACAGAATTTAAAGGTTGAAACTTGGACACTGGATATTAGGAACATCTGGACAAAACACTTCATTAAAGTATCAAAGGTTTGTAAGTTTGATGTCTTTTAGAGAATTTAAAAAATAGATTATGTCAGAAGTTTTGGCCAAGAAGCCTCATATCAAAAAATGGAGAAAAAACAAACAAAACAAGTAAGAAAACTCTCCTGAACTAATGTAGGAAACCATTAAAATCCCGAGGCACAATCAGACTGACCAGGGCGCCGTACCAAAGAGGGTACCAGGTGTTTCTGATGAGGCACCAGCACTCAGCATGTTCTCTACTGTAAGGCACTATCCTACCATTCCAACACCAGCATGGCATCCTTCAGGACCTTTGTTTTTTTTTAAACTTTCCTCTTATTAGAATTTCTTTTTTTTTTTTTAACATAACAAACAAACAAGCATATAAGCAAAGAATCACAAAACAGAAGGTAAATTGAGAGTACAACTGGGCAGAGAGGTTGATTTGGTTGACATGGGTCATAAAATGGTACAAATTGGAATGTTCATTTACACAAGCAATGAGTTACACATCACAGAATATGAAGTCCATCTTTCCCAGAACCTTGTATACTTATCGATCTGTTGTCTTATTGAGATAGTCAGTTCTTCCATGCTTTGAATTTCGTTGATAATGGTGATCCAGTCATTCCTTGAAGGCAGAATTGTCATTTCCATGTAATGACCTTCTTGCTTGCAGCCAAAAGCACTTTATACAGATAACTGTCCTGGTTTATAGTCTAACCGGGGTTTTACCCAAATACAGCGTAACAAACGAAAAGCCAACTTTAAGGCCAAAAATTGTCCTAATTTCTCTAGCAAGATCTTGCCAATTTGACCCAGAAAATATGAAAGTGATCTGCCATTGTCTGTCTGGGTTTCCCTTTGTATTGTTTTTCCATCATCAAGGTATTAAAGAAGTCACTACGGCTGCATTTTTCCAAACAATCGGCATCTGAGTGATCCTAGAGGGGAAATTATTCTACCCCGATACTAACATTAATATAATTTCATAGAATATACCCTTGAAGTAAAGCTCCAGAATGATTAATCTGAAACTGGGTACAGGAGAAGACTCAAGTAAGGGATGATGTATAGTTAGTTGGTGGTTATGCAGTGTAGAATCATAACAAGGTGAGACAAGACCCCTCTGCTTTGTATCAAGTCCCCAATCCTCATTAACAGGCTACATTTTTAGGTATTGATCTAAGGGTTAACAGCACTCATGGAAATAGCTGTCTTAAAATAAATAAAACAGTGGATGTGCTGTAACTCCTTCTCTTGTGTTGATTTGATGTGTGTGATCAAGTTGATTATTTAGAATTACTAACTGTTGTCAAAGTGCTGAAAACAGACACACAAACATGGTGGGACACAAACATTGGAGAACATAGATACCACAACTATGAGCCTGAGCCTCACTTGTCATCTGATATTGTCACAATGCACAGGCTTTAAAGTAATCATCGCCTCCGGACCCTGACACAGATTTTTGCTCCCACTTTCGGGATAAAACACCCACCAAGGCCTCTGATCCGTCACCTGCCCCTCCCTGCAGGGTTGGACCACCACATAATATCACAGGATGAAATGCAACCCTTGTCAATAGCTCAGACACAGAATGCTGCTGTATTTTCAGCTATACAGCTTGATCAATAATGCATGAGTTCAAGACACGCGCGGCTCAGTTACAGACATCTATCCAGTATTGTTTCTATAATAAACCGCAGTGCTGCACCATCATCCCAGCAAGGTTTTGCCTTATAAACAATCTTTGTAGTGTTCTCTATACGTACAGCCAGGCTCAGTCCAGGGAACTCTACAGTAAACAGGACTCTGCATAATGATAGTTTTCATCCTGCTCGTGGTCTATCTCTTCAAAGTCTTTCCACAAGGTTGCTGAGGGGACGCTGGGAATGCTTAAGTACAGCTTAAGTAACCACTTCCCAGCTGGGTGTGTCAACCTTCCCAACTCACACCACTTAGGCCTCGCGCCAAATCATTGTCGTGGAAACTCACACCCCTCATTTCACACAGTTATGTGTCAACTATGGCATTTGTATTCATGGGAAATATTTGCTTGAGAGACAAAGAGAGTGTGATGTGCAATGCTCCATAACTCTAAAGAATGTAATTAAACTGCACTCGTAGGTTACGCCGGAGAGGTATTTTTAATTTGTCTGGGCTCTTTCCTGTTGCGTAATCCACTCAAGGCTAGCATATTTTCTCTGAATACTGTAAGATATTTATACTACACCACAGTGAATTCCTATTGCTGTTATTTCTTCACCAGGAAATGAGGTGAAATTTACGAACGATTGCACTTAATAAAGCCAGTCCTTCTCTTACAGACGCTTGACACTATTACTTTAACCTCCCACAGGTACCAATGATCTAATCTATGGTAGATATTAGTGACCTGCATTTGACCAAAAGCCTGTTGACAGTAAACCAGACCATGACAATGAGCACCCAGAGCTGAGTTCAGAGCATGTCCGAAGGCTATGCAACAGTACTCCCAAGATCCTATCGGAGGATTCATTTCTCCATCTCATCAAAGACGCGGTGAAACTCAAACTGTCTGTCATGTGAGTTACATCTCATCTTTCAAGTCACTCATGTTGTGTGATTGAGTTTCTGTGCATTGGTGTAAAAAAATGATAATAAATTTGGTGTAGCCTCATTGTAAAGGACTGTAAGTGCATCAGGCTAATAAATTAAATAATAAAGTATCTATCTATCTATCTATCTATCTATCTATCTATCTATCTATCTATCTATCTATCTATCTATCTATCTATCTATCTATCTGTGTAACGAACTACTACCATCTTTCCCCCATGATAGCTTAAATGGGTTGATATATCAGATGATGTGTGATATTTCCTCTTACCAGGCTCTTCCTTTGGCACATGTGACTCTATCTTTTTACCTGGGCAGAAAGCGACAGTTACTCTTATCTGCAGTGTAATCTTCCTCTGACAGACATTCATTTTTCCACTACCTACTAAAAAGATGGAGACAGACACTCACCTTTACTCTTCCGTTTGCTGCCTGAACTGCCTTTGCCACTTTTAGGTCTCTTAGGTGGCATCCTTACACTCAGGGTGACTTCACTGATAAAAAGGAAGATAGTTTATTAGTAACTTCTTTGAGACCACTTATAGTTTATGTGGCACATGTCCAAGCAAAGCAATCAAATTTTTATTCATCCTTTTTATATGTCTCTATTCATACAAAATGTAGGGGCAATGCAACAGTGCTTCTTAATTATTATCAACTCATGTGGCGACATCTTGTGGAAGCTCAGAGGTGTTGCAGTTAAAAGATAACACAACTACATGTCCCCTTCCGTTAGAATAAAAAGTAGTTGAGAGTGGGGTAAGATGAGCCATTTGTTATATTTCGGATCACTACATCAAGTCAATCATAGTTTTGTCTCTAAGTAGTGTATCTGCATATAAATAACAGTCACTTCTTTGAATTCATGTGTATTTTTATCTATTATAAGCCATTCAACTGACTAAATTCACTTTCAACAGTGAAAAATGTTTTTTTTGGAAATAAATGTCTAACCCCCTTCACCCATGTGCTTCTAACCTTCACAGACTCCATGAATTGATGCCCATCTTCTAAATATTTGGTCACATGATCAATTTCTTTTACCATTTCCAAGCAATAGGGGGTGGCTCAACTTACCCCACTCTCCCCTACAAGTCTTGAGGCTCTTGCTACTCAGTTTTATCCGTCTCTTTACTTAATCCATTTAAAATCTAATTATAACGACAACAACAACAACGCTATCATCATTATTATTATTATTATTATTATTATTATTATTGGTGTTGCAATCTTACCACAAGTGTTTTTTGATGATGGACTCATCTGTCATAGACTTTGTGATGTAAACTACATTTTGTGTATGAAAAGTGTTGAACACACGAAGACTGATTGATTGATAACTTACACAGTAGCCTCACTGGGTGTTATGCTGCCTGTTTTTATGGTCTGAATCAAAGTGGATGTTTTGTTTGTTTGTCAATAGCCTACAAATATGCCTATCATAATATTGCACAGTGTAAAACCTACTCAATTCAGCCGGTAACTTTTGCTGTCTGCTTGTTTTAATTTAAAAGAGATACTCTACAACCAACAAGTTGTCCGTAAACTATTGTAAAAACAGCTAGCTAATGATACGTTAGCTCGCTGCTGTTGATGTCTCCCTGATCTGTTCGAGCAAAAATAACGGCTAAGAGTTAACATTGGATCACATTTAAAGACGGTACTGCCAGATTTGCTCTCACAAAATGTTTAAAATGCTGTTTATTTACAATTTAAGTTTAAAGGAGAGTAAATAAAGTTTACCAGTCGCTTGAAATCCGCCCACCACTAGTAAGTTAGTTTGGTTGCCAGGGGTTACGGAAGACGGAAATAAATGTTGACGGACACATCTCAGAGCCAATCAGATACCGCAGAGAAGATGACGTCATATGACTGTACAAAGTTACCTGAGTTGCCCAAACAGGGTAGGCGAGTTTACCTTGAACACAACACACTGCGGAAGTTTTTCTTTATCTAACCAACTAACTTAAAGATATGACTCTTTTTTTATTTCAAGAACAGTTTTTTGTTGTGTTTACGGATTTTTAGTCGACTGAGAAAGTTTCACTCAACGCGCGTGAAGCAGACAACAGGTGGAAGTAATTAGCAGTCGATTTACCTGCTGCGGGATTTTGGTAAGTCCCCTCAGAGTTGGTGTTCATTTTCATTCATATTAGCTGTTAGATGGAGTTACAAAAATAGAAAAAACAAATTTAATCTGTTACACTTTAGATACTGAATGTTTGAGTTTTAGCTGGGATGGTTGAAGCTGGTCAGGTGTCTGCACGTGAGCTGCCGTGTATTATTCAACAATGCTCAGGTACACCTGACTTTTTTTCCCTTCCTCCTCTCAGGTAGCTGCTGATTAGTAAGTCATTTTCTGTCTGGGTAAAATAAATGCAAATAGAGGTGCATATTGATCCTGTGACACTGGTCTAAGTAAACTTTTATGTAGAGGGAAAACAATATAGAATAGTAACCAACATTTTCCAGAAGTTGTTAGTGGGAGATGTCAAGTTGTCAAAACTGCTTAAGCCTTGTTATAAATCCTTAACTTGAAGCTGTGTTCCCTTTTTTTGTCTGTGGTCCTTGTTCAATTTTTAAGCACATGCTTTCAAAGGTAAGTTTACTGGATTTCACAAAGTAAGAAATCTGAGTCCAGTTTTAATTGTTATTGTCTCTAAGGCTGGAAAATGAAACAGAAATACTCTGTTGACACTAGCTTCTTCAGTTTTTACATGACGTTATTTTACAGCTGTTCGACTTTAACTCATCCATGCTTCAGCTAGGTCAGTGTCTCTTTTGGTAATTGGATATAATGTTTGGAAACAGATATCAAAAACAGAATAAGAACAAGAATAAGAAGAACTCTATTAATCCCTGAAAGGAAATTCAATTGTCTGTTGTCTCACATAATATATCACAAAGTTATCTACTATTTACACAAGCGTTATAAAGTCTGATAGCTGTTTGTACTAAAGATCATCTGAATCTTTCTGGAATCTGTCTGAATAACCAACGACTGGTCATTTGATTTTTGTTTTAAAATAGAAAAAACAAGATTAAAATACAGCTTGATTGTCTGTTTATGTTGTCTGGAACAAGTGAGGAAAAGTCACATAACGTTTTGATTTTCAATTTCATTTCTAAAAAGAAAATAGAATATCACACAAGCCCATAGACTGTATAATTGGCACGGACCAGCTGCTGCCTGGCACTGACGTTACCTGGTCTCTTCCAGCTCCTTGTGTTCAGACTGTATTCTCTCAACAGTCACCTCACTGTTGGCAGCAGGCTGTGTGACGGGTGTGGTGGTCCAAAATATTTACATTTATGCAGTAAACAGTTACATGTAAAAGCAGAGGGTGTGTTTAAAAAAATACTGTCAAAAGTCACTTATTAACACTACAAACTCACATTGATTTGAGTTGTTTTTGTAATAGATTCTTAATGAATCTATATGTGTTGACGGGTTAAATAAGACTATTTAGTATTCCAGACCAGCTGTTAAACTGAGCTTTACAGAAGCCAGCCTGTCTACTACACTCCATTGTTGAACCAAAATTATAAAATTGTTCTCTTTAAATGTACAAATCCAACAAAGAAAAAAAGAGGTGCTATTTTTATACACCCGGCAGAGGCTGTGATATTCCATTTTCTTTCTAGAAATGAAAATTGAAAATCAAACCACTATGTGACTTTTCCTTACTTGTTCCAGACAATAAAAAAGAAAAAAAAAGCTGTATTTCAAGATTGTTTTTTCTATTTTAAAACAAAAATCAAATAACCAGTTGTTGTTCTATTATTGATATCTGTTTCCAAATGTTATATCCAATTGCCAAAAGAGACACGGACCCAGCCAGTTCTGCCTTTTTGTTTGTTTGTTTGTTTGATGCACTTTACTTTTGAGTCAAAAAAAGAAAATGGTGTTTTAATCACATGTATAAGCCACAGATTTTGTTTACCTGCAGATATGGAGGAGTCCAGTGACATGTACGATACATATGAGACGAGTGATACCGCTCCATGGGCTGACCTCCATCATCACTGTCTGGAAGATCAAAACGATGTGGAGCATCTCAGGAGGAAGATCAAATATTACTTCATGAACCCGTGTGAGAAGTACCATGCTCGGGGTCGAAAACCATGGAAACTCTTACTGCAGATCATCAAGATTGCCATCATTACCGTCCAGGTATTGACCTCAGACATTGCACGAACAGGTGTTAATAGTGTTAAAGCACCGAAATGACATCACTTCTCTCCCCTCATCTCAGTTAGTGATCTTTGGGCTGAGCAACCAGATGGTTGTCACATTTAAGGAGGAAAATCTGATGACATTCAAGCACCTCTTCTTGAAAGATTATGTCGATGGAGGCATGGATACATACGCTGTGTACAGACAGGAGGAAGTTTACGATCACATCGATCACATCATTAAAAAAGTAAGTGGGGTTTCAATTTTGCTTTGTCTGCACTTTATTTCAAAGAGCACCAGGAGGGCATGATTATACTTTTTGGAAACTGTTAGTGATTCAGTTTATCCTAAATATGTGACAGTAAAATGTTCCTTTTGCTTTTGCTCATCTGTAAATCATTGTTGAAATGTTATAACTCTACATGCTTATATGGACAGGACCTTACAATGTTCACATAACAAGTTATAGCATGTCATGGGACTGGACTTTGTTCGTGTCTTTTTAAATTAGTCATTTTGTTTTCGTATGCTCTCACTGAACAAACCAGCTTTAACGACTCTAACCCTAGTCAGTCACAAATGCATGTATCGCAGGACTGGTACGTCTGCAGATGTAGGGAGTGTGCAGAAAAAGGATTTCAATGGATATAATAGTTATCTTAGCACAAGTGCTGGATAAACAGGCATATATTTGCCTAAGTCATTATGCTAGGAGTAAGTTGGAATGATAACCCAAAAGTTAAATAAGTTAAATGATAGATAGATGATAGATGGAAAGAGTTAGCTGAAAGTGATAAATAAACTGTTGTAATAATTCGTTTCCATTAGCTAACTCTTGTATTAGCTGGTTTGAAAGTGAAATATCAATTGTTTTTACATTAAAGGTTAAAACAAATTCAACATTTAGTCGCCTGAAGTCATGAATAAGTTGCGAAAAATAACTTAAAGCACAGGACAAACAGTTTAAAAAGTTAGCTAACTGTGAAGGGGGAGGTGTTATTTTAGCCTTTTTTGTCACAAAGTATTAAACTGTTGAAAACTTTTGATGAGTTTACTTAAACTGATGGACTTAAAATCCAGTAGCTGGGTAAAGCGAATGGGTAAAGGGTGACACACTGAAACCAAGAGTGAAAAGTTAATATTGAGACCAAATCAAGGATGGTAGACATTCAGTTTTCGGACAGGACAGCTGAAGAGAGGCAGGAGAGACGGGTAAAACCAGCTGTCGCTTTGACTGATTCTGTATTCAGGAAACACTTTGACCTTTGAGCCTGACTGCAGCCACAATACTTCAGTTTTATCCAGGTGCTTATCATAATGTCCAATTTGCTTTTAGTACGGACATCTGCACAACATCACTGTTGGCAATCATGAATATGAGAGAAAGGGAGCCTTCTACACCCCGCTGTCACTGTGCCAGGAGTTCTACCAAAACGGCTCCATCTACCCCAGCAATGAGACCTTTGAAATAGATGCCAAAGTGGTGACCGGTATGTGTGGGTACAATGGAGGACACTGAAGTCAGGTTTTTGGAAAAGAGGGTGACGTTTTTGTTTGATGTTGTTGTTTTGAACCGACAGAGTGTCTTGAGATTTACCCGATGTATCACCCCACACTACGGGAAAAGTATCCAAACTTCGAACTGCATTTTAAAAGGTATGAGAGTAATTCGTCTTCTCGAGTTTGAATTTGACGTGACAGCCTTCTCAGTGGATGTGCCTGTTCTGTCTTCCAGATTGCTCACTGTCAAGATCAGTTTCGTTCTCAAGGCTATAAATCTGCAGACAGTGAGACACCGAGAGCTGCCAGACTGCTACGACTTCACTGTCATTGTACGCCATTTGACTTATCATGAGGGCTCAATAAACAGCAGAGCAATACACCAGACTTTGTCACTTAAAATCAATCATATGAAATGTGATTGTTGAATTAATGGTTGCAATGATTTGAAAAATCTCCTCAAGTGCTTTTAAACTTTGTCTCAAACATGGCTGTCTGGTTAACAGATCACTTTCGACAACCAAGTTCACAGCGGCAGGATAAAGATTGACCTGGAAAATGACGTCGACATCAACGAGTGCAAGGACTGGAAAGTAACTGGAGCGTGTGAGTTTGTATTTAATATTCACAGGAGAATCTTCTGAATCTGAATCATCAGGCTTTAAAGTCGACGTTCAGGAGTCCTGGGATTAAATACGGCTGCTGTCTTGTTTGAAACTCCGCTGAGCATTAAATCTGAGGATGTTCGACTCTTCGGATGACACTAATACCAGTGTGTCTGTACTTACAGCCGCCAGGAACATAAACCTGACCGTGCTGTTTGACTGCCTCATCATTATAACCTGCATCACTTCCTTTGCCCTCTGCACACGCTCGGTGATAAATAGCATTCAGCTGCAGTTTGTAAGTGATTTCCACCTCATTTGGCAGTTTGATGTGTTGCTTGCTCAGGTGTAAGAAGCCGTATGATTATTAGATCTATATCAGTGTGGTGTTTTGATAAAGTGCCGGTCAGTAAATGCAAAAACTTTCAACGCGTACCTGAAATCAAAACCAAAGGGGAAAGTTGCTGCAGTTTGCAAACATGTGCATCTCTTTTGGTTCTGAACAGGAATACACACTTTACTGCAGGACCAAGTGTGGTAAAGAGGTACCACTGTCCGACAGGTTGGAGTTTCTGAACGGGTGGTACATCCTGATCATCGTTAGCGACACGCTGACCATCATCGGCTCCATCCTCAAGATTGAGATCCAGACGAAGGTAACTCAGATCACAAAATGACTGAGATTGGTCGATCTGTTGTAAATCGTATTTTAAAACACATTGTGTTTCTTTTAGGTCCTAACAAGTTATGACATCTGCAGCATCTTCCTCGGGACTGGCACCATGTTTGTCTGGATTGGGGTCATCCGCTACATGGGCTACTTCAGGAAGTACAACGTAAGACAAAAGTTTTTCATCAAATACAGTTCATGTCGATTAGTCTTTGAATTATTTTGCTTATTTTAACCTTCTTGTTCATATTTCTTCAAACTTAAAAGCCAAAAAATATTAGGAGTATCAATGTAAACAAAACAAAAACATACACGTCCCACATTCATCCTCGTCCTGCTACACTTTCTTTGGTTTCAAACGCTCAGGTAGATAAAGTGTGATTACCAAGTGATTAATTCAGACAGTTAAGACATTTTTCTTTCTTTAAACTTTAGCAGATGCTAATGTTCAGACAAATCCTTCTTTTACCTGTTGTTTTTTTGTCTCCTTTCAGACCCTCATCTTGACTCTCAGGGCAGCTTTCCCCAATGTGATCCGTTTTATCTGCTGTGCTGGAATTATCTATCTGAGTTACTGTTTCTGCGGCTGGATCGTCCTCGGCCCCTACCATGAGAAGGTGAGGACAGTTTTATCTGCTGATAAACCTTTCTTTGTTTTAGCTTTGCTATATTCTGCTCGGCTTTTTTCACAGTGAGGAGCAAGTAAAAACTTTGAATCCTTTTTGTCCTTTTTTAGTTCCGTACGTTAAACACGGTGTCCGAGTGTTTGTTCTCCCTGATCAACGGAGACGACATGTATCCCACCTTCAAGAACATGAGGCAGAAGAGCAGCCTGGTGTGGGTTTTCAGCAGGGTGTATCTCTACAGCTTTGTCTCACTCTTCATCTACATGATCCTCAGCCTCTTCATCACGATCATCACAGACACCTACGACACCATCAAGGTACTGTTTACTCCTGTTTGCGATAATTACAGCACATCACCGTGGATCGTTTTTCTCTCCCTGCCCACTCTGCCTTCATACTCCGAGAAAATTAGAAAGACGAAGTGTGTAATTAGTCCGACACAATGAGGACCCACAAGTGCTTATTGGTGTGAAACTTCAGAGCATCAAAAGTAAAAGTAATGAGCGGTCAGTTTGACATATTCCAGAAAACTAATATGAACACACAATCACTTGTATATAAGTGCATAAAATAAGGAGCTTATTTAATGTTTTGTAGTGAATCGAAAGTTCTGTCATCAAAGACTTATTTTTATTTGGTTTAAATACATTATAGTTGCATTTAAACTTAGATTTTTTGCACAAAATAAGGTACTAAAAGTGAGATTTCTCTCTCACTTTTAAATACCCAATCCGATGAAAATCATGTTTTTCTTGTTCTCTACATGTTCAAATGGCCTTTTTCTGATGCTACAGGACATATAATTAGAAAAATAAGTGTGAAATTGTATTTCTGCATTCAAATCTCTGTGAATCTCCGACAGACCCAAACATCGGGTTCAGATATAGTGAGATTTCCTATGTAGCAAGTCCAAACTCCGCCCCCACTATGCAGGCCAGACTTGGAGAAATAGAGAGGACGATCACGAAACAAGCGTGTGCGTTGACGGACTGCAATGCTCGTAAGAAAGCTAATTGTGATATTAGCTTTCATGTCCCTAAAGACATTAGTGTCCGAGAGCTGAATAGCTCCTAAGTTACCTGCCACTTTTGCTACACCGTCAATGTTAGGCAGCAAGCTAGCGTGAAGAGGAGAAAAAAAAAAAGAACGATCTGAGTGGGACTATAAGAGTTGAAATATTAGGTTAGGAAACAAGTATTAAATCCTCTACACAATTGAAGGGAATCATTTAAGTTATGAAATTACATTCACTTCAATGTGCAACATGTAAAATGATAGGTTATTTAGGACTTTACATAATGGATTCAAAACGCTCGTTAATAAGAGGTGTAGTATAATCCAGATAATACAAAGTCTAGTAGATTTAATCTCTCCGCTTTAGGCTTTTATGCTAATCTATTAGCTTAAGCATAAACTTAAATCAGAACTTTGAGAGAATAGTTTCCGTGCAAAAACCTGAAACGCTCCAGCACCAGGTTGAGTTAATAAACTCACCACTGATGGTTTTCATACTGTTTCCAGAGCAAATGTCATGCTTCACTTTCTTCTTTGTTTCATGCAGCAGCAGCAGCAGAGCGGAGTCCCCACATCTGAGCTGCAGAAATTCTTGTCGGAGTGCAAAGATCTGCCGAATTCTGGGCTGTATCGACTGAACAAGGAAAAAGGCTGCTTTTTAGACTGCTGCATCAACAGGTATGTCAAACTTAGTTTACTCTGCATTTAAGACTGGACTTTTAAAGACATTTTTACTAAGCAGACACTTTTGAATGCGTCCTGTAGTCACTATGCTGAGCTGTTCTCCTCTTTCAGGTTCACCAGGCTTCAGGAAGAGAGTCGAACTTCAGAGGCGTAGCAAGCACTTTGGTGATCTTAAACACTCTAAACTATAAATTAAACTGTAGCCTAACACTAAATGAGCACTTTATTCTATTAACATTGAACAGGAGATTCCTGAATCATTTTAACATTTGACTCTAAACATGAATTTGAAGGAAATTTAAGCTTTTTGGTGCTTTACAGACCAAATCTCAGTAAGACTGTCCTTAATGTGATGCACTGTGGTGGAGAGCAATCTTTGTAAATACACTGTCATATTGTATATATTCATTCATACCTATAAAGATGTACATACATATAGATATCTCACAAACAATTTGAGATTTTCTGTATTTCTGTAACGGTTTGCTCGATAATGAAACAAGATCAAATACACTGTTGTGTAAACTTCTGTGATTTTATTTCTCCCATGACAGGAGAAGGTGTCAATAAAAAAACGTTAAAACCACATTTCTCTTTTTCTCTCACAACAGTTTATCCCTGGTAAAATCTTGTAATAACAAAAAAGTAGAGTCCATGGCAAAATTATTCCACTTAAAAAAAAACAAACTTATGGGTCTTTAGGTTTTTAAAAAGCAACACCTAACAGAAGTAAATCCACTTGTTTACGGTAGAAAGATGGGTGTGGACCTCTTATGGCCTCAGAGAAGATTTGTGGGTCTAAAATCAAGTCCAGCCAAGACTTACTGCTCCTACACGCCAAAAGTATGCACAGATGGGCAGAACAGCACGTTATATTACACTTTGTTGAAATATTCAAAGCTTCATTGACTCGATTGTCCATCATAAAGCAGTATTCCCTTCAGTTGGCTTCCTTCAAGTGGAGTACTTTGAGTCCCAACGTGACCTGCTACATTTTTTTTTAAGAGGTCTGTCAGGATCCTCCCGAGGAGGAACTGTGTCACTGGTCTTTTACTGAAAACAGCAGGAGGGCATCGTAAACTTTGTCAAGATCCCCAGAAACAGCGTCACTTATCTAAAAACATATTCATGTGTCCGGAAAAGCGAAATTTCCCAAGACTTTACATCCATAAAGTTCATGTTTGATCAGTTTCTGATGGCGTCCCTTAGGTTCTTCGTGGTCTCACAGGGATTTTCTCACAACAGCCCGAAAGAGACAAACATCAAGAGAGCTGCTTGTGAGAAAAACTCATGACCGCTCGGTTAGTTCATCTCAGATCCTCCTGAGACACTGAGAAAATCCTTTATGGGTCAGTCTGGTTTGGATTGGGTGACACCGGGGGGCGCCAAAACTCTCTGCTCCTCCATCCTGTTGGACTGGGAATGCAGGATGAGACTGAAAAAGTCTTCATCTGGAACAGTTGGTCCTTTATTTACAGAGGGTGGAGCAGCACATCTCTGGTCGTTCAGCCTGGAGCCCTAAAACGAGATCGAGCAACAATAGAGTCAGATTAGCTGATGTTTGTTGAGAGATTTTAAATTAAGCACATACAGTCGTGGGAATATCCAGCAGTTTGAAATGTAACTCATGCCGTCTTTAACGTCTACCTAGTCTGACAAAAAACTGATTCTTCTCTGCGGGAATGCTCTCAGTGATATCAGTCATTTTTATCTGAACCTGTAAAAGCAAATCGACTTGTTTTTGCACTCAAGCGTCACATTTTAAGGCATCTTAACCCTAGAACACTATCGCCGGGTGGTTTTCAATATGTTCTGAGGAATCCTGTAGAGCTCTTTTTAGCTTGCTAAGGGGATGATGAGGGACGAGAGAGTCAATCTCATGGCCTCATTGTTTAGGAACCTACACTATATATATATTTTTTTATATTATTATTATTATTATTATTATTATATGGTCCCCTCATGGCACTTTGCACCGTTGAAAATAAAAGAAAACTACTTTAATTTGTCATGTATTGTCCTATTTTAATACTTTTTCCTTGGTATATTATTTCGGGTAAAAATCACCTGCGATAGTGATGATGTTACTAGTTTTAGCGATAGTTTTCTAGGGTTAAGGGGAAAATTTTAATTTGCTGAACAATTTCATGTTTTAGGAGAATAATCCCTCAGTCTTGATTAAAGCAAGAAAATATATTAAAATTCATTTGATTAAAAAAAAGACAAAATATTGGATCAAATGAGATCCTCTTAAATTGATGAACAGCAATATGTTCATTAGACCAGAGGACAAGCAAGCGCTCGGCTCAGAGTAAATCCAATTGTTTCCCACAATGCATTGAGCTTCCGCAGTCAGGGAAGAGCAGCTGTGGCCCCTCTGTGAACTGGCACTGCTTGATCCCATGAGATTAAAACTATCTGTGTCAATGTGATACACCAGCGAGTCATGTTTAACGCTGGGCTCGATTTAGCACAGGTCACAGATACATGGAGACGGCCAACAGCTTGGTTTGAAAATATTAAGTGATACAATGGCCATTTGAGAGCGGCTATTGACTCTGATCTCCCTGCAACCACAGGAGGATGAGTCAAAGAGGGTTAGGATCACGGATTAAGGTGCACCAGGACTGCTACTGTCAGTGGCCTCGGGTTGGATGTAGAAAATGTAACTTATTATTGAATATTATTGTAACAGAACAATTAAGCAGCAACCTGTTTTTGTGCACTCATTTGCTCTGTCAAATGTTTGGTATCTGATTCATCGATTAATCGAAAAAATAATCGACCGATTCATCGATTATTAAAATAATCGTTAGTCGCAGCCCTATAAATTTGATCTAATATAACAATAAAGTCTTACATGTATTCATGTCTGTAGGCATGCACATGGAAGCTCAATAATAATCCAAATATATTGAATCCAGATCAGAAAATGTCTTGTGCACAAGTTTATAAAAATTGCATCACTTCCTTTTGAAATCTAAAGCCTTATAATTTTGCCAATAAGACAAAATACTTTCAAAATGATCCAAATGTAAAAAACTCTCCATCCTTGGTTTCATTTTCCCACCTGGCACTTGACGAGCATGTCGAAGAAGACGTCGTCCCCCTCAGGCTGCTCAGCACTCGCCTCGAGGCGACTGAACAGGGAGGGTGTGTGACTTTCTGGATTGGTTATTTGGGCTGAAAAGAAAAAAAAAAAAAGTCTGAAGACGAGCAGTGATAGTGAGCGTGTGATAAAACTGAGCTTTCACACTTGCGCATCATTACCTGGGGGGTGGGCCTTGTCCGTGCTGGAGGTGGATGGTGTACGAGGCGGGTTGGAGGTGCTGAGTCGTAAGCCAGGAAAATGGCTCAAGCTTACTCTTTGGTCGTCCAGACGACGGGCCTGGGAGCTGGCCAGCAGCTCCAGGAAATGACCAGGATCCTGCAATGGTGTTGCGCACTCCAAAATAGCTAAAAAGAGAAAAAAAACATTATTTTTGAACGATTTTTGAGACTTATAGAGGATTTTGTGTTGGGCTTGTACCCATACTTGTACATAGGGCTGGGCGATATGGCCTCAAATCAATATCACGATATATTGAGCAGTTCACCTCGATAACAATAAATGGGCGATAACTACTTCACAAGCAGCTCATCCCCTTCCAAGTTAACATTGTCTACTTCAGTCGCCACTTCTTTCCTCCATCTCTTCACCTGTCTTACCGTCTTCGTTACGGACTGGATAGGCTGGTGTCACATCTCTGATGACGTGAGACCATAGCCTATCTACACACATCCAAAACCAACTTTTATTTATCTATTTTTTTGACACCAAATATATTGACATGGGCAAAATGATGTAGGTTATCATCGTAAATTTCAGTATCGGTAAATTTTCAGTTTATCGCCCAGCCCTACTTGTATTTTTTAATAGTCATTACAATATAGAGCAATATTTAACAAACAAAAACTATTTTTTGAGCATCAAACTAAGTGGACAAATTTTGCCTGACGGTGCAGCAGAAGCCGACCAGCACCGAGGATTAGAAACAGACAGGCTTATTGTTTCAATTACGCTTCTAAAGATATCGACACCTTTTTACCACCTGTTTTCACGGCAGAGAGTTGGAACAAAGGAGGAAAGGAAAACATGGCAGCACAGTCAGGTTGGAAAGTATGCACCTGTGACCTGGTTCCAGCTGAAGGCTGAACTCGACACAAAGCACGAATAAGGAGTGAACACAGCACACAGGATTAATCACACACATCTCATATGTCGATGTATTTATGGAGATGCTGTGTTCACACCATGTTAAAGGCATCAGCCTCTCTCAAGTCGACCAGGAAATGACTGTCAGACCTTTAAGCATTCATTCTGTATCTTCTCCGCTTTTGTGATACGGTGTGAACACAGATGGGATCATAAGGGCTGACTCACATTTCCTCTCAGCTACAGGTGGGGTGGAGGAGGGAGAGGAGTGGGCAGGGAGATGGCTCTGGCCATCGAGTAGGGAGCACCTTTGGTCGTCCATCCTGTTGCCTTGGAAACGAGACAGCAGGTCGAAAAATCCATCTTCTCCGATAGTGTCCCTCGACCCGGGCTACAGTGTGGGGGGAAAAAGACAAATTAACTTAGTTAAAAGGGTCATTGAGGCGGCTGAAGGACAGCTGACGGGCTTTTTGTGAAAACAGGAATAAACCACAATTTTAAAGGTTATATCGACTCTATCGCACACTCTTTGCATTTGTTATGGGCACTTTTTTCTTGAAATTCTGTGAAAACAGGACTTTTAAAATATTAAGGCCTTTTTAAAAATATCTTTGGTCCTTATGAAAACCGAGTTAATCCTATTCTGACATGTAGATCCTTCAGGAGAAACAAAGATCTGCACACCAGGAAGCTCCTGTCAAACCCCAACATACCTATTTTTAGACTTCATGAATAAACCTTTCAACACGGGCTCTCTAGTGTCCATTTTGCTTGATGTTAAATTAAAAATTTCGATGTTTTTATTATTTGCACAGTTTTAGCTGTTTACCTCCCATAGATACTGTTCATACTGATAAGATCCAGTACCTGAGGAGACACTGGCGCTTCCAGCTCAGGAGCTGAGTCCTCTATGTGGTTCTCATGCTGGTCTTTCGGGGGAGATTTGACGCTTTTCTGCTTCTTGCTTTTTAACCGGTGGAAGAGGAAGAGTTTGGTAGAAGCCTTAATGGTGCTGGTTTTGGAAGACCCTGGAAATGAGTCCTCTTCCCAGTCCTGTGAGGTGCAAACAGATACACCACCATTTCAGTCCCTTTCTAGTAATAATAACTAATTCTTTACATAAAATCAGGCTCTTATTCATGCTGTAAAACAAAACTCCTTCATGATAGGACTAATTAAAATCAACACACTTATTGCAAACTTCACAGTTTAAGTATTTTAAAGTATTTTTACACGTACTTGCTGTGCTGATGGGTCTCCAAGCTGAGTTTTGTCAGGACTTGGCCTCAGTTCAAGGTGTTCTGCGGGCTTGACAGCTGGAGCAAAAATGCACAAATAAAAAAATTAACCCTGTGCCCACATGTTAATACATTTATATAACTTCAACACCAGCGGGACGGGATGATTTATGGCAAACAAGAGTAAGTTTATGTGCAGTGTAACTCGATGCGTGTATCCCTAAGGTCTCAAGAACACGTGTACCAGCCTGCAGTCTATATTCCCTTACCTTTACTGGCATACTGATGCAATTCTTGGCACATAACAGCCGGTTGTAAATTAGTGGAAAGTCTGATGCTATTGAACTATTGAACTGTGATCGTAACCAAAGGACAGAAACTACATAAGACCTCTTTTATGATACCTTACAAAGAAAATAGTCTTGGATAATTTCTTGGGCACTGCAGTTATCTACTCAAAATGTTAGTCAGGTCAAGGCGCTGTAGCAAGAAGAGTTCACCTGGGAGGTTGGGGAAGCTGTAAGAGCTTGCCGGCAGAGCAGAGCTGTTTGTATTTGTGTTGCGGAAGACGTTCGGGTGGATGTGGGAATTGGACTTCAGGCCTACGACCAGCCGCAGGTCAGACAAGTTCATCCTGGCCGTCAACTCCCCGCTTTTGTCTCCAGTCTGCAAAATTATCAACACCAAACTCATTTATTCCATGCTTTTTTCTGCAGGTTTTATGTCTCTAAAAATGCACACAGAGGAGCTATTATCCACTGCTGTTTCTACTGCTACCACTAGAGGGCGGTGCAGGCTGATGGCAGCTGCTGATTGGACCCTGAGGGAGGAGGTGAACCTAAACAGTCACCTCTTTGGCAATTTCCAGATGTTTCTCAGCGAAGTGCATGGCTTGCTCATGATTCCCCAGGGCGGTGTGGGCATTTCCTAGACTCCAGTACGCTCTTCCTTCACCGACTCTGTGGAAAGACACAGAGGGGGGGAGGAAACAGGCTGAGCAACTTTGGCTTATAAGATTATGCAAGAAAGGGGAAGGGCAGTCATCAAACTATCATCCAGGAAAATCACAAAAACATGACGAGCGCGTGAGCTGGAGCGCATTTCACAATAACAACTCGTATTTAACAGCTGTGCATTGACTCTAACCTTCAAATCCTTTAATCGTGAAAAAATCCTCATAATTCTTTCCTTACAACATTTGTATGCGTTCACAGAAGTCTCTTGATTTTCTTCCAGTTGCATCTTATTTGTGACTTAAATGAAAGAACAACTCAGACACTTTATTGCGCAAGAAAAAATCCACGTTTCTTAATATAAAAGCAGAGAAATGTCTGCGTTACCGTTCAGCAAAGAAATTTAAGCCTTAATATTATCTGTAAACTGAAAAAAATTAGGTTTTACCACCAGCTACAGTCGACACACCTTTGGGTTATCAACTTTTAATTTGTTTTAAATTAATAACATACTTTAAAATAAAGATTAAAAACACTGTTTTGTCTTCGTTGGGCTCCAGTCTGAGACAAATGTGTTGAAAAGGTTCTTAAGACGCCAAAATACCTCCAGATGAGTCTTCAGAGTGACCAACAAGGTTTAATTCTGATCTAAATGTTTATATTTTTAAAAAAAGTCTTGGTTTTATCTTCAAGACGCATGGTATATCTTACCATCTGTACGCAGACGACACTCAGATCTACCTACCAATAGAGAAAAAGGATGGTAGCTCTCTAAAACGTCTGCTGGACCGTCTTAAGGACATAAAAGACTGGATAGCCTTAAGCTTTTTAAACTTCAATGAAAACAAAACCGAATTAATCATCTTGGGCTCCAGTGGGGCCCAGGAGACCCCTCTCAGGGGGCTGGACCCTCTTGTAACTTATTTTAAACCCACAGTTTCAAATCTTGGTGTAAAAGTTGACAATGATTTTAAATTGGATCAACAAATCAACTCTGAAGTTAAATCCTGTTTTTTTCATCTAAGGCTTTTATCCAAGATTAAATCGGTTTTATCTTTTAATGATTTTGAGCGAGTCATTCATGCTTTTCTTTCCACACGATTGGTCTACGCAAGCATGTCCAAACTATTCCACAAAGGGCCGTGTGGCTGCAGGTTTTTCTTCCAACAAAGCAGCAGCACACCAGACTTGATTCATTTCATCAGCTGATCTCAGTCTTCAGACAGCTGATTGGTGAGACTGCTGCTCTTGATTGGTTGGAAGAAAAACCTGCAGCCACACGGACCTTTGTGGAACAGTTTGGTCATGCCTGGACTACTGTAACGCTCTTAACGTCAGTGTAAATCAGGCTTTCTTCACACGCTTACAGTTAGTTCAAAATGCTGCCGCTCGTCTTTTAACCGGTTAACGTAAACATGACCATGTCACCCCAATTCTGGCGTCCCTCTATTGGCTTCCCGTCCATTTTAGAATTCATTTTAAAATTTTATAATTTGTTTTTAAATCTTTTAAATGGATCAGCACCACAGTATATCTCTGACATCTTAAATGTTTACACACCCACACGTTCTTTGGGGTCCGCTGATCAGCTCCAACTCAAAGTACCAAATCTCGGTGTCCCGAATTTCCACTCAAGATTAAAATATCGCCCACTCTTTCTACTTTTAAATTACGTCTTAAAACTCATTTTTATTCCTTGGCTTTTAGCTCAGCATGAGAGTTGTGTGATCTCTGTCCTTTTACATCCTTTATGGTCCTTTATCACTTTTATTTCTTTTATGCTTTTGTGTTTTTATTTCATTTTACCTGCTTTTATTTATTTCATCTTGATGTTTTTAGCATTGTCTGTTCTTTAGCTTTATTGTGCAGCACTTTGGTAGACTTGAATGTTTTTTAAAATGTGCTGTATAAATAAAGCGGATTGGATTGGAAATAATGTCACGGTTTCGGAACAGATTTATAATTTCTAATAAGAAAGTCTATTTTGATGTAAATGGCTTTAAAATCTGTTGTTCTGCTTCCTTGTGACTTTGCTGTGTTTTTGCAGTTTACTAGTGTTGGCGGTCGCACCGCTAAATCTGTGCAGGTAATTAGTCCAGGGACCACCCACACTCCAACTGCACATGCTCATTATACTTGAAAGGCAGCATGGTGGACAGCTGACACCAAATGTCTCTTTTTAAGGATCGTAACCTGTCGTTGAGGTCCTGAGCGATGACCAGATGTTTGAGGTGGTAATCGATGGCTCTCTCGTAGTCCTGCAGCAGGGTGTATGTGTTGCCTAAACTGTAGCAGGCCTGAGCCTCCACTGCTCTGTCCTTCAGAAGCCGGGCCAGCTGCAGAGTCCTCCTGAGGGCGAAAGAGAGGAGGAGGAGGAGGAGGAGGACAGTGAAAGAATGTGCAGGGTGGGAGCAGGAGAATGATGGTTATCTATTCTTTCTTTGTTTCCATTTTTCTGAAGATTGCTGTGTCATGAAAAAAAGCTGGGTGTGGGATTTTTAACTTTTTAATCGAGCCGCTGAAACTCACATTTAAGATAGATGTGAGACTGATGAACCATCCATTTGGTAACATATCCCTAAATGCATCATTTATCACAATAGGACTAACATTCAAATAGCTAACATATTGTGATGTAGATGTAAGCTTTTTTATGATACTATTATATATTTTCAAAGATGAGTTTCACATCAAGACAAAGACAATTTCAACAGTTTTGAACTTTTGGAAAAGTATCAGTCAAAGCAGCTGAGTTACAGTCATCATTATCAACGTTTAGTGCTGGTAAATAGATGAAATCAAAATAATGAACACCGTCTGAAAGTGTGACGAACGGTTCACAGTGGGGGTCAAAAAGAGGTACCATATTTTTCGCACTATAAGGCGCACTTAAAATCCTTTTGGCTTGTCAGAGCACTGCAGCTACTGTAGCCTTGCAGAGTTATTGAATGAGGTAAATAAAGTTTGACTTATCTGACTGTTTTGTTTGGCTTTGTGCATTTTATAATCCGGTACACCGTATGTATGAAAATAGACGCGAATAGACGTGTTCATTGATGGTGCGTCTTATAATCAGGTGCGCCTTATAGTGTGAAAAATATGGTATTTATATCTTTTCTTGATTTCTTTATGTGTTTATACAGAGCCCAGCATAAGTCAGTACACCCTCTATTAAAAGGAATCTATTACTCAATATCTAGATGAGCAAAAGTACAATTTCCAAAGTTTTGACAAATCTGATTTCAACATTTCATTTACCATAAGATGAAAATAAGGGTGATATGGTAACTAAAATTTAGCTTTGCTCTTAAAACTTTGATTAAGATGTATTCATTTTTGCATCCTGATTTTAAATTGAAAAAAAAAAAGCTTTTCTTGTATGCAACTTAAAAAATCTTGTTTGCAATCATAAGCCTACATTTGAGGGAGTACCTTGTTGTAAAGTCTGAAGTAGAAAATGTTGATTTTTGAAAGGAAACTAAAGGTTTGCTGAGGACTCTGAAGGGGTGTACTCATTTATGCCTAAACTTTGTTCAAAAGTTACTTGAACAACTCAGCTGAATAAGCGAGAAAACAAACAGGTTTTCAGTATCAGTGTTAAAGTGCTGCTAAAAGGAAAAAATATGACAACATCAGCGTGTTTGTGAATCGCTGAAGCGCAACGATGCGTCCACCAATGATCATCACCAGATAAGACAAAAAACCAAAAGCATCACTTGTTTACTCACTTGTAATGACCTGCAGCGACCTCAAATTGACTGAGGAATATGTGGGCGTTGCCAAGGTTACAGTGAGCCCTCCTCTCAGCGGACTTATCTCCAAACTCTTTAGCGATGAGCAGACGCTGCCAAACATGAGGGATCAAATTAAGATTAGGATTAAGAGGAGATGGTTTGAGGTAACCATGACAAACACAGCTTTAAAAAAGTCACGGTGTCTGATAAAATAAAAATAATTCTTTTTCTTCAGAAGCTTGAAATAACTCTGTCCAAAATCAAGCTTTACTGCTGCTTGACTATGAGAGGCTGTGAACAGACGAATTTGAGGGAACAGCAGATTATAACCTTGACTGTCAACACGGGTTTGTCACCGACCTTTTCATGTGCGGCCACTGCAGATTCAAAGTCACCCAGCAGGTAGTAAGTGTTGCCAAGGTTACCATAGGTACGACCCTGAGCTGCCCGGTCGCCCAGTTCCTTCACCATGCACAGGTTGGCTCTGAAAAAAAAAAGGATTAAATGAATACAGTTACAGACTTTATATCAACAGTTTTAATTTCTTATTTTCCACATAATACAGTCGGCAATTACAACAGAAACAAACCTCTATATTTCTTTAGTATAAAGTAACTGAGCTGAATATCATGCACATTTTGGCAAATCTTAAATCCCAAATCGAAACACTTATATGACTTCAGGGGCCAATAACCACCATCTGTTTACTAGGGATGTTTTTTTACACATGTTTTAAGGGACAGCTCAAACTGCTGAGATCGAGACAGAAATGTTTCCTTTTTTGTTTTCCCAGGCTGCCAGTTTGGCCTTGTGGTAAAACTTGCACCTCATGTAAAGAGGTCATACTCTTCAAGGCAGATGGTGATGTTTGGATTACAACCTGAGAGCCCCTTTACTGGATGTTAGTCCCCACTCTCTTCTGTTGTTTCTAGCTCTACCCGCTATCCTGTCCTCTAAGTAAAGGCCTGAAAGCCCAAAAATAAAAAGAATTGTATTTTCTTAAAGGTGCTACCATGGCTGCAGGCTACACTTTCTTTTCCAGAGAATTTTACCTGAAGGCTGATCGATTAGACAAGATATACTTGGATTCAACAGTGACCAAACCCTCACACAGACAACTCTGCTCCAGTTCAATCCCTGTGAGCTGAAACCTGAACATACTGAGCGTCTAGAAACAAGCTACAGGCGGAACTGCTTGTCCTGATTTTGATGGTAAAGCTGTTTTTTGTTGTTTAATCACCGGATCACTTATTAAGAAAGATGAGAAAAAAATCTAAGAAAATAAATCACAGAAATGACCAGATTAATATCTCTAAGAAAGAAAAAAGACTTAAAAGGTAAAATGGATGATGTTGATGTTGAAATCATTCATTTGTTTTTTTAAAAATGTAATTAAATTGCGATGCTTTAAATCAAATGCCATGGTAGCGTAGTTTTGTCAAATCACGCTTAAATCTCCCGTGATCTCTGGCCAGCCAATGGTAGCACACATGCAGCAAGAGAGAGGAGGTGGGAGACGCTGACTGGAAAAGATCACCAAGCACAACCGCTTAAATTTAGTTAGAAAAAACTGAACAAAACTGCTAAAACTGCCGCTTATACAACCCAAACGTGAAGGACTGATTAACCCTGAACACGGATAACTTCAGACTACATACAACGTGAATTGGTGAGTGATATTGCCCACCTGTTTATCATTATCGCTGATTAATTGCATGTCTTGCTGATTAGCTAAGTTTACACCCTGCCACGCCGGCCTTGTAAGTATAATCTCTAATTTGATGTTAAATTTTGGTATTTGGAAAGAATAGTATCATCAACAAGCATTTGTAAAAAGAAAACAGTCCATGTGTAAAGCAAAAGAGTTAAATCTGAATGTAAATGCAGCTAAAAGTCTGATTTTAGATGATGTTGCTTCCCACCACAAACTCCTTTCTTGCCACTAAACTTGCAAATTGGAGATTGATCTGTGACTTTAGAAACGGGCGTGGGTTTCAGAGGAAGCCCTGAAAAGTGGATCAAATCCCTCAGAGGCTGTGAGATGATTCCTGATGAGTTCAAAAAACTGCTTTAAGTCCAGAAGTACAGAAACAAAGTCTAAATGGGTTTTCAAATCATAAATTCTTACGGGACCACCCTCGTAAAAACTGCACCGTGGGAATGAGAGTCTGTAAGTCTTCAGTCAAACTACTGGAAATTCTCCAAAATAAACAGAAGAAGAAGAAGAAGAGTCAGTGTCCAGAGGAAAACCCAACTCACTCGTAGTACTTCGCCGCCTTCCTCAGGGCTGCCCGGGCCTCCTCAGAGAACTCTCCTGGCTCGGCTCCACTCCAGCAGATGTTCTTACCCTTGGCGTGGTAAACGTTCCCGAAATTATACAGCGCCCGAGCCTGCCCAACCTACAGCACGCACAGTAGATTTTAACACACGGAAACCAGAGTGACCAGTGCTATAATTACATACTTAAAATACACTGACACCAGACCTGCTGGTTAGCATGCGGGCTGGCAAACTATTCTAGATGCTGGTACACCGACGCTCTGCAGTCATCGTGCATACCAAAACTGCTCTGTGGTTTCAGGGCATGTCATGTGGGGTGATTGAAAACAAATTCGGATCTATTTTTTCTAATAAAAGCAATAAGGTCTTCTAGTTACAAACACATGGGCTGGATGAATGTTAAACCAGGCAGCTGTATCATAAGAAATCATCAAAACGAGACCTACCTTATCGTAAATGGCTCTGGTGATATCCAGATGTCTTTGGCAACAAACAATAGCTTCATCATACCGTCCTAAAAGTTTTAATGTGTTCCCAAGGTTGCCACTGGCTTTTGCCTCACCAAGCTCATCTCCAATTGTTCTATAATTTAAACAGGAGGAAAGAAACACATTACAAAATAATTAGAGCACAATATTAGTAGACTACTGAAGCATCAGTATGAAAACACAAGAGGCAAGAGAGTAATAACGGCCGCGAGCAGCAATATAGCCGAGTGGAGTCGAGCAATTAAATCACGAAAGGGGGAAATGGTTATTAAAAAGTCTTGGCATTTCCTCTAAATATATTGTTAGAGTTTAATCTTGGCTAAAACTAGGATGTATGCTGGCTCAACCAGCAGGAAACAGGAAATTTGTCCAATTAGTCTGAGAAAAGTTCAGAAAGGAGCTACAGTTTTGGTTCAAGTGAGGATTAGCATGAGAAACCGTTCACCTGGTGAGCGTGAGGTCATGTTGATGGTACTCTAGAGCTTTCTGATACTCTTGGAGGTGAAAGTAGGCGTTGCCCAGCTGGCTGTAGATGGCACTAAGGATCTGGAGGTCCTCTGTTCCAACCTGGATGGCGGACTCAAAGAAGGACACGCCCGCGCGATAGTCACCGGCCTTACAGAGCCGCTCGCCTTCCAGAGCCAGGTCCAAACAAGACGACTCCATCCTGCGAGGGAGAGAGATACAGGTATGTGAGCGGTGAAGAGCTGAAACAGCCCCTGATAGTTAGTACAGTTAATCAGTTTGATTAGCAGAGGATAATCTGCAGAACAGATTTTAAATCAATTGATTAATTGGTTGGTTTTGGTTAGTCTAATCAAGCGATCTACTGAGAAACCAAACAGATATCTTCAAGTGTTGCTTTTGTCAGACAGTCAGAGATTCTGGTTATAATGAAAGGAAACTAAGAATAAAGGTCAGAGGCGGGAACCATCAAATTATGAGCACTTATGCTTTAAATTCAGAGTGTAAAAACTCCCAGAGTTGATGCATCCAAAAGACACAAAGACCAACATCCATTCAGAGGTGATGCTCTGCTACATTTGCCCCAGACAGAGCTGAGAGAACTGTAAACAATGATGTCTGAGTGCAGTCTGCTGGATAATTCTGAATGTGCACATGTTCCTGTTTGTATTAGACCTCTAATAGCTGGATAACATCCTCCTACCAATAAATTAGTCTCTTTCTTTCTAGTGTCCTCAAACTTCCAACTATGATCTAAGGATAGTAAAAACATTCAAATTAGGGCTGAGCGATATGGCCTCAAATCAATATCATGTTCACCTCGATAATAATAAATGGACGAAATGGACTACTCCACAAGCTGCTCACCCCCTCCCACATTTACTTCGTCTACTTCAGCCACTACAACTTTTGAACTGTCCTCCATCTCCTCACCTGTCTTTACCTCTTTGTTACGGACTGGATGGGGTGGAGTCACGTCTCTGACATAGGACAGCGTCTTAAAGAGACATGAGACCATAGCCTACCTACACATGTCCAAAACAAACGTCTATTTATTCATTTTTCGACACCAAATATACCAATATGGGCAAAATGACGTCGGTTATTGTCGTAAATTTTCGGTATTGGTAAATTTTCTGTTTATCGTCCAGCCCTAGCTCACAATATGATTTTCTGGGAACCAATTACACATCTTAACTACCTTACGACAAAAAATATCTTGTGCCCACCATGGGAGCATCTCTTGCACACAAGTTGATTTATTGTGCCCTAAAGTTATTACCTTGTGTAGACAAGTTATAATATTGTATTTACAAGTCAATATTTTGTTCATTCAAGTGCACAATAAATAACTATTTTTTCATGAGGTAATCGTAAATTTCGGTATTATCACATTTTCAGTTTATCAAATTAGTGTCAAATTACTACTATGTCAAAAAAAAAAAGGCAGTGAATCTTAACATGTAAAATCCTCATCACACATGATAACACCTGCAAATTCATTCACAGTGGACAAAGTGACTCCTAATTGCGCAAATTGTAACCAACTTCGTAATTTAACCTCCCAAAGTGACAGAACGCTGACAGCGATGGCGTCAAAAACACCATCAAATTCTGTTCCGGCAAGTAAAACAAGAAGCTGTTTTCTGTGCAGCGTTTCTCTGTTCTCTGTCAAACTTTAAATGAAACACTTGAGTGATTACACAATCTCCCCTAAAGCCTGGATGCGAGGATCTTTTCCATCCCTGAAAGCACTCACGAATGAAGGCAGCAAAAGACGGCAAAAAAGAAGTCTAGACCAGAAACACGAACTATAAATCCAAAATAGGACAGAGCATTTCCTGTCTGTGGGGAGCTCCAAAATAACCCGGAGACGAAATTATGTGCCGTACATTTAACCATGAATACAAAGTAAACTCTTCTGTGTCTGTGGTGAGGACTGCCATTTATAACATCTACGCCCGTCACCCCCCTGTTTAATGGTGGGAAAGTTTAGCTCAGATTACATCAAAACAAATGGCATTTGCCAGCAAGTTGGGATTAGCCATCATGCTCTCAAAGGGTTGTGTGAGTACAGCGCTTTGTTCTGAGCTGACTTTTGATCCCCTGAGTGACCCAGTATTATGGCTCAGACAGAAGGCACCTCCCGCCCACACGGTCTGTCTGTCTGCTGAACCCCAAACAAAGCCTAACAACCTCGGAGGAAATTGATCATTAGAGTTAAGCCTCGCTGCTCCCTCTCAATAACTCAGGACAAACCGAGTGTTATTTGCTACAAAACAATTATCCTTAACACAACCTGAATTAAGAAAACATACTTTTTTTTTGCATTGTTGCAGATGTGAAGCCTTGTTGAACCTCATCCATACTCAAAATCTTTAAGTTTTGGCAAATTCTGGAAAAGCGGGAGATCACAGACTAATTTAACCAACTCAATTTTACTCTTTATGGAGGCGGGACAACACACTTTGGTGTTAATAATTCATGAAAGGCGATTCCAAAGACTCTGGCTCTCACAGAAATCTGTGTTTTGGGGATATACTCCTAAAAAACTTCACAATTGAGGCACTTATGTTGTCATATTGGTTCTATTTGCAGTCTCTGTGGTGCACTGAACATCTAAAAGAAAAACTGATGCAGTTCTGGCTGACACATACTGGTGAAATTACGGAAAAGTTAAGTTTTAGTACAGGCGACATTCTGCAGCTGACGACCTGTTATCAGCTTGTCTGCAACACTTTTGTTTTGGCCTCCAGTTCCCCAATTTTTGATTATTGAGTATCAGCTGATACCGAGTCCACTCTGGTGTTTGCATTTACAGAGATAACAGAGCCGAAAGGTCATTGTTTTGTTTGCAAATGACTGAACTGGTGTGCATGTAATACTGCACAAGTGGGAACCGGAAGAACCAATCAGGCGTGCAGCAAGGATCAGAGCTCCAGCTTCAGTACAGTGGCGTCTAATATTCGGTGTTTAGATGACAGGACATACCATGAATCTAAAAGCTCTAAAACAAAGATGGATGTCAAAGCAACAAATTCAACCATCGTCTCCGCAGTCTCTTTGGCTTTTTTGCTCTCACAAGGATACCTGTAATTCCTTTAGTGCAGCCGTGTTTCCCCTCTGTAGCTGTGACCATGCAATGATCTGCTGCATGTTCAGTTTTTAGATGTCAAATCGAATTGGCAGCATTGATCCCAGCTCTCCTGCTAACACCTTGTGAAATGATCCGATTTAGCCACAGTGTCCCTAAATTACTTGCACATTTGCATTGCCACGAATTATACTCATTTTATGACAGCTGATGCAGATGAGCAGGAGGATGATTGACTCAAATTGCTGATTCCCAATCAGTTAAAAAAATCCCCAAACCTGTAACTATATGAAGTGATATGACTACATATGCGGGTAAATGTTGGAGAGTCTAGCAGTTAGCATAAAGATTATAACTGCAGACCTTTTGTTAACCATAGAACAGGCTGGGGTGAAATGGCCAAACTCGAACTCCCTCAGAATTGTTGGAAGAGTAAATCACACTTCATTGTGCTCAGTCATCCTCTAGTGCACAGGAAGCATTCACTTGCAGCTTAAGCTTACTTCCCCGACCATTCACCTGTAGTACTTGTACAAATCTTGGAGTTAAGTCGTGATCGTCAGCTGGGTAGCTTGGAGTCTTTGCAAAAAGTCAAAGTAGATGACTTTTAACTTAACACTTTTTTTGTTTTCCTTCCTATCAAATACATAAACATGCTTGCGCTTGAATTACAAGATATTATTTAAAGTAAATATGCCATAATTTAAGCTCTCTGTGTGACTAAGCATGCCAGCTGACATCGGACAGAAGAATCAATCCCCTCCAGTTAACACGAAACGCCCCAGTTCACATACCTGCTGCCTCTCCCCATTCTGATGCACTGAAGACAGTTTGACACGACGGACATTTCAAGCTTCTCGATCACTCTCTGGAGCAGGAACAGCTCTCTCAGCACAACACGCATTACCCTCTCTTCCTTCATGTACATGAACATACTGCAGCCTGCACCGGTGTCTCAATTTCATCCAAAATAGCGAGAACATGGCTTCCTGTGGATCTCCTGCTGCTCCTCAGAGCACCCTGCTAACTAGTGGTAACAGCAAAACAAAGGACTTAATCCGCTCAGCGCTCACATTGACCCAGCAATCCGGTCGAGAGGCCTTTAGTTAAGGTGAATACAGATTAACAGCCTGTTGTTACTATGCAGAAAAACACGGAGAGAGAGAGAGAGTGTTTGGCATGGTTTCCGTGTCTATCTGATTTTTTTTTTTCTGCACCACTTAGCAATTGCAAACCTGTATCTCTAAGCACCTTGATGATGTGTGTCACTTCTAATTAGGCCAGACTCAGAGATTATAGCTTCTTTAAGTTGCTCCGCTGAACCTTAAGACTATGCTTGACACTCAGTGAAATAATCATTCAGCAGTCGGCGGCGAGGTTGGTCGAATGACTCTTGACCCTTGAGTCTTTGTAATAAGTTTTAATTAAATGAGATGGTTTACTTCCCAATTATTTCTGTTACCCTTTTCCCACAGAGACAGGGCAGTAAGGCATGAGAAAATGAAGGAGGTAATACATTTCTATAATATCAAAATCCCTCCCTTCCTAAAAGTGTCTGAGAAATCAGCTGGAGCCGATCCGGACTAATGCACTCCTCTGAATTAGGAAGTCTTGAACAATACTCCACAAAAGAAGAACATATATGTTGTTCTGCTATTAGTTTGAGTACAAGCATGAGAACAGAATAAGTGATGTAAGATTAAAGCCGTCACCTGACCTGGCCAAGAGTCAGCACGCTCACCATACGGATGACCAGGGGTTTTTTCTCTGACTGGGAATCAGAGGCTTACACATTCAAAAAGCCTGAAAATCCTCCTACTGAACCCACAAGGTTCAAAGGTGAAAAATACAATCTTGTGTGCACAAGATGATTGTAGTGTATGTGCAAGAAGATAACTACCTTTGCACATCATCTGCAAAATGTAGAGGCATGAAAATACTCCACAGCAGGGCATTTAAGGGATAGGTTTAGGATCTTTTCTTTCTGTAACTATGAGCTGGTTAAACAGAGGTGCAGCAGCGGTGTCATAAGCATGCATTTGTCGGGTGAACCCTGGGGGAATAAGCAGGTTGACAAAGAGACGTCATTTCCTGTCACTTTGTATGAAGACCTGTTGATTGTGGAATTGGGAACACCTGAACAGAGAGCGGGAACTCAGTAGCTGTGGAGTCAAGGACAGAGATGCTGAGAAGACCAGTTTTTGTTTGCACATCAAATGGACGCCTGAATTAACCAAAAGACATTATCCTAGAATTTAGCCAGCGTGTTTTCATATCCAACATCGCTCACACCAGCTCTCCACCACCACCCTAAAACCCTAAAGAGGGAAAGACAGGTGAGGAGATGGAGGACAGTTCAAAAGTTTTAGCGGCTGAAGTAGACGAAGTTAATGTGGGAGGGGGTGAGCAGCTTGTGGAGTAGTTATCGTCCATTTATCATTATCGAGGTGAACTGTTCAATATATCGTGGTTTTGATTTGAGGCCATATCGCCCAGCCCTATTGTGAGCACAAGATAAATAACTTGTTTCCCTCAGGTGAGGACTGGTTTGCACAAAAGGATATCTTGGTCCTACATGTTTCAGCTGGATAATCATATTGTAGACAAAAATTATTATCTTATGTCAACTACTTTTTCTTGCACTTGAGTTTGATGTGGCTGCAGGGGCTTCATACTTCCAGACATCCTTCATTTCGGAAAGTTGAAGCCGTTAGCTCAAACCAGACCAGCGTGTTATCAGGTTGTGTCAATAACCCGCAGGCTAGTCCGTTACCTGTTACTGGATATAGAAAGTGGAATCCAGTCTGAGGGGAATGGGCCGATGTTGCGCTGACTTGACTAGACTTGTATGTAATTCTGAGAATTACAATGGGATGATGCAAGACACGCCAACAACAATGACAACATAGCCTGCAATCACATGCACTCTCTCTCTCACTTGTTTCAGCCATGCGATGAAATATTCAAGTGGCTGCTGTGAGGAGGGACCTCCTGTGGTCAGCTCAGCATCATCATTAGTTAGCCAATGAGGTGTAATGTTACTGCCACTAAAAGCCTTAGAGTAAATGTCAGAGTCTTTACATCTTTGTGGACACACAGGTCTACAAATATCTTCCTAAAACATAAAGCAGGAGCAGATGTTGAAGGTTAACAGATTGAGCATATTAGCAAACAGGGAAAAGTAGAAGCTCCAGCTCCAATTTGCAGCTCTTCTCTAACAAAACTGATAATTTGTAGTTATTTCAACTTAAAAACATAGTCGACACTGAATATATGTAGCCTACCTCTGGCGAACATGAACAAAATGCTCCCTGTCTTGTACAGCGTGCCGAGAAAAGCTGCCATACATGACCGTCAGACAAGCACAGCCGGAGAGCGAACCGCATCGTGAAGCTCTCTGAACACCTGACAGGCTAAAAAGGAATAAAGTCTGTTTTTTAAGCCCAAGCAATAAGAGTTCAATAAGTTGTTTGGGTAAAGCGGAAAGGTGCAATGCCTGCCTGCAATTGGACAATGTGGTAATTCAGGCGTCATCCTATCTCTGTCCCACGTCTTATCTTGAAACCAGAGCTGAGGAGCGACAGTAAACCCTCGCTTTCACTCACTGTCATGTCTGTCACAGAGTTTATAAAAGATTAGGAGAATCTATTTGAAGTGTGGAGACTGCAGAATCCAGTGGATGGTCACCTGCTGACTCAGAGACAAGAAAAACAGACACAGCACCATCAGCCAGGATCCAGAAATCAAAGCTGAAATGATCTCGCTCTAAATTTTGCTAAATTCTTTCAACTGTGTCAAAACAGAAACCTGACATCCAACAGACCAGGCGACTTTTTATCTTCTCTGCCAACCACCCGGTTTGGTGATCACATGACCAGTGTGAGTTTTTGTTTCGATCTCAGCTGCACACATACCGCTGCACTGAGCGGTACTGGGCTTGTTTGCCTCTGTGTCAGCTTCATTTAGTCTTTTATCCTATGACCTCATTCACCGACTGAAGTGTGCTCACCCAAACTTCAGCTGACTGCAGTTTTTCTTTCTCTTTTTTGGCGGATTGCATCATCCTCTGCAGTCATGTGTGCAGGGATCCCAAGGGTGCAGCTGTTTCTGATGCACAGACCACAATGTCTGGCAACAATTGCGCCATGTTCGAAACTCACTTTGGCTCTTTACACTTTAAGTCAACTGCTAACCTTATGTGTTGACTCATCTGCAGTGTCTATATTATTTTTCCGTCATGTGGGTTTAAGCAATCTCTCACCGACCATAACGCCTCTGGATGATAAGGAAGTATGATGCATGGCTGTGTAGGAACAACACTGAGACACAGCTGTCACAATTTCCCTGAACAAGGTCGCATCTTCAAGTAGCTTCTTGTTTCTCCACTGGGAACAGGACAGAAATACTCGACCTTTAGCTTTGAGTTTATCTACAATGAGCTCCATTGATGCAAACTTTATGAAAATGATATTACTTTAGCGATTGTTGTCATGCAGACTTTGATTCTTTGACAAATAAGGTTATTCAAGCTAGTTTTATTATGGTATAATATGATAATGACGAGGGAGGAGTCGATGGCCGAGCTAACCTCCATTCACTGAAGGGACAAGTACCTCACACAACCCCACTTCAAACCACAGTATGCCTTCAACTGACCTTCTCCTTCAATTTCATCTCTCAAAGATTTATTATTTGGTCGGAAACTTCCTATTTAAAGCCAACTCAATTCAACTTCTCCATCTGAGTGAATTAGTCGTAAAAAGTCATAATAAAAAGGTTCATTCGGTGACGCATCCCAAACCCTAACCAACCTCGTCAATCAAGAGACGCTCTCAGAGTGATAACCATCTTTTCTTTTAAAGAAACGTTAAAAGAAACCATCAGCTGTGACTCAACTCTAACCTCTCATGAGGAAAAGAGGGCAAAGAAAAATTTCAAAATAAAAGACTGTGGTGTAAAATCATCACTTGTGGATCCTGTGTAATTATCGGCTTTCTTCAAGCACTTCATTGTGAAGTTAGAAGACGACGTTACCAACAACAAAAAACACAAAGAACTGTGAAGATAAAAAGTAGAGGAACTAATATTTGCTGCCATTGTGTCGGATTCTGGTGAAGTGATTTATAGCGTGTTGACTTTAAGGACTTTGTTTACGTTATTTCAGCAAATTTACACAGTGAGAAGTGTGACGGACAGTTAACAGGAAACAAAACGTCTTTGTTAGAGAGTACTACAATACAAGATCAGGAAAGGGAGGCCAGAAATACATGAAATTTTGCTTTTTAATCGGAATAAGTAGCAACATAAATGTATGCAAATTGCATTAAAACAAAGTGTGTCAGCAGCATTTTGAGAACTTGGAGGTATAGCTAGGATAGTTGGTATTTACATGAAAACCTGAAAGAATCATTTCTACACTCAGGGGAAGGTTTGGTAGCATTTAAGTGTCAAAGATGTTCTGGTTGCAGCTTCATATGTTTCATATTGGTGTTTTTGTCATTTGGCAAATTGAAGTTTTTGGTAATGAACTGTGAGTCTACAAACAAGAAAAAGTCTACGATCAAATAAGTGTTTAGATAAAAAAGCACTGATTTAATGGTATAGGGAATGTTTAGTTAGGATGTGACATGACTGCTGCAGCTAGTTAGGAGCAGAGGCGCTTCCAGGGGTGGCATGAGCGCCCTAAAAGTCTGATCGGCCACGCCAAAGTTAAAATTTATAAGAAAGTTGACAGCGGATCACAACAAAAACAAAACCAGCTGCATCTTTTTCCTAAATCTTATATTTTCCCCAGCAGGATGATGGTTATGACTAAAGCTACAGAATATATAGTTGAGGTGTACAAACTGCTGCAGAGCAGGCTTGTAAAGCTGATCTCTCATGCGGACCAAATCCTACCTTGAAATGACAGTGTAGAAGAGCCTAGAGGCTGCTTTTCTGCCCACGTTTTATTGAGAAAAATAACCACATGGTCAGGTCAGCACAACCAGGTCACTATCAGTCCAACGGCAAGAAAACAAAGAGAAGTAGAAAAATGCTCTGAGGGCACCGTCGTCCCTGGTATGCACAGATACTAGAGTACCAGCTCTGCCAGTCTGGGAAATCTCTGCATGGGAGTTGACAACTGTTACCCCTTTAAAAAAAACAAGATCAGGGACACATGGCATGGCTGCAGGGCTCTTTGTGCAACACTGTTAGCCTGCTGACTGGCAGTGAAGTAGCCTATGAGTTAAAAAAAATCTATTAAAGACTCTCAAAATGAAAATGCTCCCAAGTTTCCACCCTAATCTAAAAAAACTTGGACACACCCCTGGTTTAAAGTTCATTTTTAGTACTAAATAGCTCAGGAAAACTGCTTGGAAAATGAATATAAAGTCGGCTACAAGTGGCATCTATCAGAAATGATCAAATTTAAGCAAAGTAAAGTGTTTGGTATGTTGCATTTGGACATTTCAAATCACTAAAAGTGCAGAAAAGTTGAGGCTGTTACTGAACTGAGAACATGTTAAATACATTCAAGTATTTTCAGAGGAAAGTTGGGGAGGCTGACTGTCTTATCTTCAAGTCCCAGTTTGACACTGCTCTCATGATGAGGAAAGTTTGGGAAATAGTGAACCAGAAAAGCTGGAAATGAGTCAGTTTAGGGGAACATGCCTTCACATGCTCACTGTCTGTTTGTCTGTCTGTGTGTGTACGGCATTTAAATCAGACACGGCTCATTATACTGAGAATGTAAATAAATAAAGACACGTTTATCTTAAAGTTTCACTCTTAAGTAAAACAAACTGACGTCGAGGAAACAGAGCAAGACCACAGCACCATGACTAAAACTTTTCAGGTATTTTTACTTACCTCAGATTGAAGAGTTTGAATCCATCACAAACAAATCCTGAAACTTAAAAAGAGTATTTTCAGCGGCTGGAAACTCTTGAAAACTTTCCTTTAGACCCTTTGTTCATAAACTAAGTTTAACTCCTGTGTGTCTGGGAGTCAGATGTGTCCACGGTCTCGGGAAGCAGAAGTTGAAGAAGCCACTCCTCGCGCTGAAAATCTGCCTCCAATTAGGATTCCACGGTTGTTGCATTCAGATGCTGTCGGAATTATTGGCATCACTCCGCTCACACAAACAGTCTGACAGATGAATCATTCTTACCTGTTAGGTTTTCAATGACGTGTAGAGGCGAGAATATTGCACAACCCCACGAATAGAAAGAAGTCGTTTTTAAAGTTAAAAAAAAAAAAAAACAGGAAAGTGAGCTCAGTGCCCAACATGGGGCTGAAGGTCTCTACTGCCCCCTGTCGTACATAGTTTCTCTTTGCTGGGTTATATCTTCCCCTTTGCAGTATAACAGATTTCAAGTAAATGTATTGATGACAGATAAAGGGTGGCAGCAAATTTTTGAGATAGAAAGTCCACCAGTTTTTCCAGAATTAATCCACAAATACTGGATTAATACTTCAGGACTGCCATACTGTTTACATTACTTTCTCCTATTTACCTTCTTCCTTATACTGTATACTGTTTACTGCTGTTTATATTGTTATCTTTATTTTGTAAATTGAAAGTATTTAAGGTTGTCTTTTGTCTAGCTTAGTTGTTTATTCTTATATTTCTACTTTTATGTTTTATTCTTAAAGTTTATTCTTATGCACCGTGGGTCTGAGAGGACTGAAATTTCATCTGTGCTGTATGTTTAACATGTATAGCATATTTGACAATAAAGTTGACTTTGACTTGACTTTGATTTACTGTCTTATCATAACAGTAACTCATTCTCCAGGTGTTTCACTTTGTTTTCTTCTTCTTCTTTTTTGACAGTGGAGTTTAAAACCTTGGTTTTTATTATTCGTGAGGACAGCATTTTCTTCCTTGCTTCAAAAGTCCCTGTTCTGGATTTAAACCCTGAATCTGTTCAGTTCAGAGGCAGCAGCCTTCCACACCACAGCTGAGCCTTGAGGTGTTTTCATTTCACTGTTTCATTGTTGAAAATAACAGCTTCAACAAGACAAAAGCACGGTCTCAGAACTTTCTATTCATACAAATAAATCCCCCACTAACTTAGATTTTAACTCAGAACCTATTTGCCATGAATCGTCAGCACTTACCCACCACATTAAGACGTTAATATACATTTATTTGTCCATCACACTGTGTTGATTCAGCCAGGTTATACTAGCTTTGAATGGGTCAGTGCTGGGATTTGAACCCTAGAACTGTGTATCATTAGACATCAGTGTTATCCATAACACTTGTTGTTCATGCAAGTACAACAAAGTGGGTTTTATCTACTAGAGTCAATCTCATAATTTAAGATTTGTGTCTTTTTGCTACTTAATAACCAACATCAGTGAAATGCAAACAAAATATGTACGAATAAAAGTGTGAATGAAGTGGAAATACAGTCATCTCAGCGCAATCATCATTTTAGAGTATAGGTAGCAGCTAGGTAGTGTAGGACTAAACCCGCTGCAGGGTGAAGGTGAGAAATGTGTCCATCAGTTGCAGCATGAATGCACACGCATGAATTTATATATCTCACCCAGGGCACCATAACGATGAGAGCCAGCCCTCAAGATACACAAATAACATTTATCATAATAACGCTAATGTAGAGAAGGGAGATCTCTAAAAAACATGTGAAAGCAGCATAAACTTGGGTTCATAAAGAAGTTGATAAATAATGATCTCCATAAACTACTCTGATTTCCAAAAGCACACAACATTAAACCATGACATGCAATTTAACTCATCTTCCAATCGTCACTATACCAGTAAAAAAGTCTAAATTCGAGGCCAGCTACCTGCTAAAGCTATACTACATTATGCCAAAACAGAGTGAGGTTGTTTGGTACACTTTTGTCCAAGATTTGACAGTAAGTACAAGTAAGAGTGAGTGATTTGAATAAGCTCCTGTGGTGATGTAATGACAGGAGTCATGCAAAACCACTCCCACTTTTCAAGCGATCCATCTACCTCCTGCGCTTTTGGAGCAGAGGGGCAGCCAGAAATTTAATGTACCACCATTTTCTAACCGCATATAGCTACTTCCTTGACTTTACCTAAAACCTGATAGAAACTGGAGTTTTCATTGCTAGTGGACAAGGATTTCAGGCTGCATGAAAAAAGAATCCCATGAGGCCCCTGTCAGCCATGAGCCCTTCGATCCATCCAATCTTTTCTCCCCAGTGGAGCTCCTGCCTCCAGTATTTGGCATGAAAGTCTAGAAATATTGAGATAAAGACATGTTGTGTATCCCCAAGCATCAAAATGAAACCTCTGTTACAGTCACTTGTTAGGTTATTGGTAAAAGAATGACTGTCAGCCAAACAACAGAGACCACATCCTCTCCTACACTGTGCCTGAGTGTTTTCAGCCTTTTTAAAACCATCAGTCAAACCACCAGTCCTCTCTGTCAACAGTTTGTTCTTTTCTGTCCCCAAAGGAGTTTCCTGTGTCCTTTAAATGAAGACAGACTGCTGCGCCTGTCTCTACCTGTGGGGTTTGCTCTGTCATGGCTGCGTTGCACCTGATGAATAGGTTTGTGTTTGTCATTGCTGTGGACTACATGCTCCTCAGCTTATGTCTGGTGTGTCTTTTTTATATAAAGCAAGTTTCTATCTTCAGTTGGGTTTGATAAACACAGAGTTTATTGAAGAGCCGACTCTAGCAACCCATAGGGACGACTTATTGCATCTCCACTCCTTATGTCAGTTTGCTCTGTCTGAAAGCTCAAGTTGACAAATCCCTCTTTTGGTTGCCTGCGAGCTTTTAAAGCTTTCATGAGTTGTTTGCACTTGTCTGTCACCTTGGTGTTATTTGGCACAGAGTCTGTGTGCTGAAGGTTGTAATGAACCAGGAGTTTTCCTCTGCTTTACTGGAAATTTGGAGCCACATGAGAAGCCTCCTATGAGTTCAATGGCCACTTCTGTGTATTTCTGCTGACTTAAAGTTGTTTTGTATCCTCTTACAGTTATTTTATCCTGCCTGAGACTGAGTTTGTTTCACTGCAAGACTTGGAGTTCACTCAATGTGGCTACTTCTTACCTGTGTAGTATGTCAGGGCCAAATCACGGTTTGCTCAATGTTTCCATTATCCTGACTGCAATAACAATTGCAAAACTAGGGCCCCGGTGGGGCACTGTCGGGCCCGAGCCGCGTTGCGCCGCCCACAGCGCGACCGCCTCCCCCTCCCGATCGCGTCACACTCAAGGTCCAAAGATGGTGTGCACACTGTCTGTGGTCATTTCCCATTATAATGAATGGGAGGCGCAGTTTCTACCAAAACACTCGCTGCAGACAAACTACATGTCCTATTTGAAAAAAGTCTGGACCATGAGTGAGGGCACAAACACAGCTAGGATATATCCAAACGGCCAGTTGCTCCTTGTTACGGTGTTGCCGGGAGAGCGATGCGATTGAGCCATTGAGTGATGGGCAGGAAAAACTTGACTGTTTCTCCTGCCATGGGGGATGGGGGATGGGGGGGGGATGTGGATTCTTTTAAGAATGTGGATATTTGGGTCATCTTTGGCGCCCCCTAGAACGTGAGCCGTGGGGTGCAGCGTCATGATTTTTACAACTTTGAATGGCCATGGGGTGTAGATTGGCCTGAGCAAATTTGGTGTCAGTGGGACGAAAGCCTTAGGAGGAGTTAGCCACATTCCAATGTGTGCGAATCGGCAAAAAATGCAAAATAGCCCTTTAACCGTACATTTGACAGATACGCGTGCATTGACTTTTTCGTAGATGTTATTGAGACACACGTGATTGTCAAATTTTGTGTCAATATGACAAAGCGTACAGGCGTGACACTCAACAATGTGTATTTTCACCTTAGGGGACAAGAAAAAATTGACTTTTTTCTCCTGCCATGGGGGAGCGCTCTTTTGGAGAGTAAAAATTCCTTCACAAATGTGTTGATGGCTGGACATTGCATCATCCTAGAAAACCTGGAGGCCAGTGAGGACAAAAATAAGAAGTTATAAGACTTTTAAATATGTGGATTTTAGGGTTATCTTTGGCGCCCCCTAGAACCTAAACCGTGGGGTGCAGCGTCATGATTTGAATAACTTTTAATGGCCATGGGGTGTAGATTGGCCTGAGCAAATGTGGTGCCAGTGGAACGAAAGCCTTAGGAGGAGTTAGCCACATTCCAATGTGTGCGGATCGGCAAAAAATGCGGAATAACCCTTTAACCGTACATTTGACAGATACGCGCGCATTGACTTTTTCGTAGATCTTATTGAGATACACGTGATTGTCAAATTTTTTGTCAATATGACAAAGCGTTTAGGCGTGACACTCAACAATGTGTATTTTCATGTTAGGGGACAAGAAAAACTTGACTTTTTTCTCCTGCCATGGGGGGGCGCTCTTTTGGGGAGTAAAAATTCCTTCACAAATGTGTTGATGGCTGGACATGGCATCATCCTAGAAAACTTGGAGGCCAGTGTGGACAAAAATAAAAAGTTATAAGACTTTTAAGAATGTGGATTTTTGGGTTATCTTTGGCGCCCCCTAGAACGTAAACCGTGGGGTGCAGCATCATGATTTGTACAACTTTTAATGGCCATGGGGTGTAGATTGGCCTGAGCAAATTTGGTGCCGGTGGAACGAAAGCCTTCGGAGGAGTTAGCGAAATTCCAATGTGTGCGGATCGGCAAAAAATGCAAAATAGCCCTTTAACCGTACATTATACAGATACGCGCTCATTGACTTTTTCGTAGATCTTATTGAGATACACGTGATTGTCAAATTTTTTGTCAATATGACAAAGCGTTTAGGCGTGACACTCAACAATGTGTATTTTCATGTTAGGGGACAAGAAAAACTTGACTTTTTTCTCCTGCCATGGGGGGGCGCTCTTTTGGGGAGTAAAAATTCCTTCACAAATGTGTTGATGGCTGGACATGGCATCATCCTAGAAAACTTGGAGGCCAGTGTGGACAAAAATAAAAAGTTATAAGACTTTTAAATATGTGGATTTTTGGGTTATCTTTGGCGCCCCCTAGAACGTAAACCGTGGGGTGCAGCATCATGATTTGTACAACTTTTAATGGCCATGGGGTGTAGATTGGCCTGAGCAAATGTGGTGCCAGTGGAACGAAAGCCTTCGGAGGAGTTAGCGAAATTCCAATGTGTGCGGATCGGCAAAAAATGCGAAATAGCCCTTTAACGGTACATTTGACAGATACGCCCGCACTGACTTTTTTGTAGATCTTATTGAGATACACATGTGTGTCAAATTTTGTGTCATTTTGACAAAGCGTACAGGCGTCAGGTGAGTTTTCACCATAGGGGGCGCTATGGAGCCATTTTTCATTTTTTTGTTTGGGCGACTTCAGAATATCAAATTTTTCACCAGGCCCGGTCGTCCTGCCAAATTTCCTGAGTTTTCGCCAGTGGGAAGTGGGCCATTTTCGAGTTTAAAGCGGAGGAAAAATAACGAAAGAAGAATCCATCAGGAACAAGAGGGCTCTCGCAGCTGCTTAGCAGCTACGCTCGGGCCCTAATAATTCAGAAAGTGTTAACTGTGTTACTATAGACCTTAAAATTTCAGGAAAAAAGTTTCAGTAGATTGAGAAGTGGCCTACAGCATTCACAAAGTTTTACACCACCACCACAACTGGTCATCCTGAGACATGTGCCAGTAGTTCAGCAGTTGATGGCATTAGTCCTGAAGTATGTCTCAGATTTCTGGACCAGTGTGCCAGTCTGTTCACTGTTCAGGACCTCCAGAGAACTTTAGCCTCAGCCTGTTGCTAACCTGTTTGCCCAGCCTCCATAACCAGTCAGAGTAAATGACTGTAGATCAATTATAATCTGACATTGAACCACAAAATACAGTTTAATTCATCTTAAAATCATCACTATGCCTGTAAAAAAATGTAAATTTGAGGCCAGCTACAGGCTAAAGCTATACTACATTGTGTCACAACAGAGTGAGGTTGTTTGGTACACTTTTGTCCAAAGTGGTGTACATTTGAGAGTAAGTACAAGTAAAAGTAAGCCATTTGAATAAGCTCCTGTGGTGATGCAAAACCACTCCCACTTTTCTAGGGGTCCGTCTTCCTCCTGCGCTTTTGGGGCAGAGGGGCACTTCTCTGCTGCTCTACTGATTGACCACAATAAAGGGGGCGGGACCAAAACTTGTAACTCTGCCCTCGGCTAGCCAATCAGAAGAAAGTAGGCTAGTGAAGGTGGGGACTGAAAGGGATAGCAGCTAAAACAAAGTGTTATCAGATGGATGCTGAAATTATGGTATTTTAATTCACCAGAATGAGAAACACAGGACTTTTTTTGATATGATAAGCATGCAAAGATATTGAAGAGGTATCAGAGAGGAAGTATAGAGCTGGAAAAAAACAATACCCCCACTTTAAGTTACACACAAAAGTAGAGCAAATAAGGAGGAGCACTCACATTTTATCATAGTTTTCAACAAAGTTGTGGTATACTGGTTGCATATCATACCGGTGGCCCAAAGGGACTACTGACAAACTGGCATCTGCTGTGGCATAGTTCAACAGCAAACTAGCATCTGCTGTTGAACTATGCCACAAAACTAGCATATGGTATTGCCCCTTTTATGACATGCTGTAGGCCACTGTTTGATCTCAAAGCTGCTTTTTCTAATGAACAACACTCAGAAATTAAGGAAGCTTGAGAAAGATAAAAACTCCCAGGAGGAATAAAACACACTGCATTCATGAGCTGATATTTTCAGATGTTTGGTATTTCTCTTCTCATAAATGACTCAGTATTTATTGAATCTCCTCACCACTCACTAATGAGATCAGCTCTGAAACATTCAGCTTTAAAATTCATAATTTTATTGCCTTTTCCACCAAAGTAGATGCTAAAAATACTGCAGTCTGAAGCCGTTTTTGAATGCATAATGGTTTAAGCTTTGCTGCATTGGGAGTAGTAATACAGAAGCAGCATAGAGGTAATTTCAGGGCTGCTGAAAAGAAAAAGCATTCCTCTCATTAGCAGAAATTATTACAAGCCTCCGGCGAGCAGACAGCAAAGCAGTTAATCGGCCCTCCCCTTCGCTGAATAAATCAAACATGAACAGATTGACTCTAAACCGTAGTGAATCGAGAAGGACCGGGACAGGAGCGGAAAGGGGACAGCCCACTGGGGAAATCAGACAGGAAGACAGGGTTGTGAGAGGGGGACGTCTCCATCAGGGCCTGGCGTTTCTTGCGGTCAAGCCTCTGGTAGCGGAAGTTAAATGGAGGTCGCAGTGCCACAGGGCCGCCAATCTCCTCCGATGAAGAATCAAAAAGACCAGTGGACTGTGGCGGCGTCCGCCGGTTAACTAGATCTTCATCAGACTCACTGGAAGACGAGGTGAGAGGGTTGACGGGGTTAACAACAACAGGGGGTTCAGAGGGTAAAGGCAGAGTAGGCGCGGGGTCAAATGGTGGTGGGTGAACAACAGGGGGCAGTGTGGGATCAGAGGGAACAGGCGCAGGGTCGTTAATCGGGTCATCGATCACAGGCGGGATCACAAGGTCTGGGAGAAGGTCGTGACCCTGGGGCTGCACTGGTCTGAAGACGTCAACAGTCTGCAGACGTGAGACAAAAATCAAACAAAGCGTATTTTTCCCAAAACCTCTTTCAGCGCCTGCCAAACGAGTCACAGGCATGCAATATTTCATTACACGCAGCAGCGCCGAGAAATGAGAAGACAACATAATTATAGCACAGAACCGTACAATTTTAAATCTCCAACATACACTCAAACACACACAAACACACACTACATTTAAACACAGAAGGCATGACAGTCCAATTATAGCTCCACAAAGTTCAATTACCATTTTACAAAGATTGCTCAATTTTAAACAACCAGAGAATAAAACATTCATCATTTACGTCATGTGGTAACTAGCCTTTGGGTCTCAGAAATAAAACAAATGCCAGAGTTTTTCTTACAGCCAGCAGGAACTTGTTTCAAAAAGGGATCTGACAGAGATTATGGGGAAAAGACCCTACTCCTTCCTTGATTTGAACAGTTTTTCTTACATGTTTGTGGTCTCATTCACTATTAGTTTTTCAGATTAAAATCTTTTTCATCTCAGCTTGATGTTCATTTTATAACTTTTAGTCTCATTTTAAAAGCACTGTCAGTCATTTCTATGTTGTGTTGATTCTGGTGACCTCTCTGGACAAAATAAGTAGTGTTTTTCTAGGTTGAAGACTACATTTCCCATGAGTACTATCAACCACTGTTTTTAAAATATGGCTTTTGCTATTGTGTGCATGTGTTGGAAGCAAATCAATGGAATACAAAACTTTTTTAGTACTACTTTTCATTGCTCAGGACAGATTTTTGCAGGATGCAGAGTGATGAACCACTGATTTCAGTCACACTAATGTGATCAGACTAATACGCCAGATCAATGTTTTTAACGATATGCAAACATATACGAGTGATAATATTTCAAACTATTCTGAAGTTCTTCTTGAATCTTTCTGTTCTGTTCTGTTCTGTTGAGTCATTTTCTGATGATTTTTTTTCTATGAATATTTCATCCATCTGGTTCTGTTTCCCTGAATGTTGTGACCCACATTTTTCAAACACTGTGACAGGAAGAGTAAAGAATACAATATTTGGGCATCTTTTAGTCAAACTTCACAAGCAGTTCGAAGTTTTTCTATAAATAAATCTTATTTATTTTCAGGATTTTTAAGAGCCTGTTTTTGGAAACTTATAAATATGCATGTTAATACTTAATGAAAGTCCTAATTGCCTTTTTTCCTACTTTTGCTACCCTTAACTTTACATTTAACATACACCCTTAACGCTGAAATTTGGGGTCTGAGTTAATAAGAGTTGCCCTCAGATTTGATCATGTGTTTCTGTATTAGTGCTCTACATGCTTTTCACATGATAAAATCTGTGGGTGAAAACCTCCTCACCATCAACCCTCATTAAAAAACAAAAATATACATTACTGCATCATGTTCTGTACCTGTACTTTGTACATCTCACAGGACACAAGGACTTCAGGATCAACATACAAGTCTCCATGCACGGCTCCTGCACAGAAACCTGCAGTCTGAGGGGGAAAAGGTAGGACATATCATCTTTAGAGCAGTAATGAAGCAGCAGGATAGAACAGAGAAGATCAAAAATACAAAAAACTAAAATGGGAATGAATCAGGGGGAGGAGGAGAGGAACTGTCAGGCATCTTTAATAAAGAACCAATTACTACAGCTATTTTTATAACTAGAAGTGAATGTGTCATATCATCTCAGAAAGTAAACAAGATGCTGGCTGATTGATGTTTGTTTAAAGTAGCTTTTAACAACATCAATTAGCGTAATAACAGTGTCGGATTGTCAGTGTGGAGATCCATTTTTCCATATTAATGAAGTATCAGCTGGCAGCGTTCCTCTGTGATGCTCATTTTTAATGTGTCCAAATGAACACGATGCCAACCCCTGATTTTCTGTGCTTATTAAGTAATGCAGTTACTCGGCATTTTCCTGCTCATGTGTGTGATGTTTGATGTTTTGATCTGCACACTCTCTGTGTTCTTGCTGTTGAGTACCTCTGTGTCAGACTCCTGCGTGAGTCGCTGGCAGGTTCCGCTTTCAGTCACTCCCTCTGGACACTCTTGGACTGTATACTCTACAAAGCTGGCTCTTATTGGCACCTCCTATAAAAACAAGATGGCAAAAAAGGGCCAAACGCACACATAAACACACATATAAGGGGAAACAGAGAGGTGTAAACTTGCTGCAATGCAATTGCTATCGTCTTACAAATGTTACCTGAGGTGAATTATGAGCAAAGAGGAGCAGTATATAGGGCTTTTGTCTCGGAGCAGATTTTTCAATCTCTCATTTGCTCCCCAAACTGAAGCCTGGGCAGACAGTGAGCGCCCTCAGAAATGCTTTACACTTGCCAGACTCCTGCATCATTATAGTTATTGTGGAGCAGTTACTGTTCTCATCTGACACACAGGAGCACAAAAGGTGCACTGCGCCGTCTGCTCATGAACACCAAGAGATTGACCATGAGTGTAATTTTCCAATAAACACAAGATTCAACACATTATTGTGTAATAAAATCAGCATTCGGCTTAGTTTGTCTAAATTAAAGTTAATGACAGTACATCCAGCCGTACCTGAGATGAAGCTCTGGTGATCTTCTTCACTCCCAGCCCTGCTCCCAGAGTAGACTTTCTCTTATAGGCAGCCAGAGTGAGCTGAGCCGCGTTCACGGCCTGTGGGCTGTCTACAGACAGCAGGAGGGGGCAGGTTGGACAGGTCTGCTGGAGCTTCTCAGGGGGATCTAAAGACCAGCCAAAGGTGAGATAATTGAGTAAAAATGTAGAACATGTTTTATATAATGCTCATTAGACAAGTTGCTTTTCTTTGTCTTTGGAATCAGAGGTGACTATATTTGGAGACACAGAGCCGGCCCAAGCCTCAATGAGGCCCTAAGCAAAATTTGATATTGGGGTCCTCTATTTCTGCCATTAATATTGATTGTTGATCATTCACACACCTACTACAGTATAAATTTAATGCGCCTGACATGTCTTTACACATTTAAGGGGATGGCCTAGGTAATAACATAAATAATACCAATGCAACCATACAAGTAATACCAATGAATGACTGATGAATGATGTTCAGGGAGCCACATATGGATTTTAATCTTAAAATGTAAGACATTCAGGATGCTCAGCGCACATTGCACAGCAGGAGGCGCATAACGGTAGCAGAGACCATAGAGCTACATCAGCAGCAGCACTAAAATGTCTTTACTTTATTTTATTTTTACAATAATATATATTTGATCATACAGAAAGCATCACTCATACATGCAAAAAATTAAAAATAAATAAATAAATAAATATTGCTCTTGGGGGCCCCCTACTGGCTGTGGGGCCCTAAGCAAAGGCTTAGTTCACTCATGCTTTGGGCCAGCTCTGGGGAGGCGAACGCATTAAATTAGCAGTGGGTTTATTGTCTATAATAATAATAATAATGTTCTATTAATAATCACGCAACATCTCCTGATACTGATTTAATTTTAACTACACCTTACTTTCCATTTAGCTGTTGCCAATATTCATTCATTCATTCATTTTTCTATCAGTAGAGCCAGAGATGGCAATAGTTGGACACACCCTTCCTTGAGAAAAGCTCCCCTTTCCCCGCCATTAAGAAAACGGAAACGCCATTCTGGTTTGTTTTATCGAAATACTATTACGCAAGTTCTTTTTCGTACGTAGTGACGTTTCGGTAACGTAAATGTCGACGATCTCTGTACGTGATTCGTTTGGCGTGGTTCAGCCGATAGTTAAATGTCACTGAGAATGTGGAAAAAAAGACTTTTTAGGCTGAAAATAATCCCAAGAGTTGACTCAACAGATTACAAACCGTAATTTTTGCCGACTCGAAGAAATCGGGTGTAGTGCGTCGTGTTGTGTTGTGGTCCCGGCTATTTCCTGCCATAAGGATGCTAACCCGATGCTAACCAGAGACTGTGATGCTAACACTGTGGAGTTATTTATCATCCCCATCTGGAGAGGAGGAGGACTGTCTGCATGTTCTCCATTGAAACTGTAAGTTTCACCTAAACTTAAAGTAAGTCACCACTAATAAGTGCATGTAGTAGGGATGAGTGAAACTCCCATGCAAGTCATATTCTTGTTATTGTATGTTTGTTTCCTAAAAATAGTCAGGACCTAAAATAATCCAGCCACTAATTACCCTCTAGTCATAATTTAGTGGTAGTTTCTCTTATGTTTATAATATCCGCTCATGTTTGCATCATTTTGGACTTTTAAACTTGATATTATAAGTTTTAAAGATACTTAGGTGGTAACATATTTTGTTTTATAGCTTTAACAAACAAACAAACAAACAAACAAACAAACAAACAACAGCAACAGCTGTTTTGCTCCAACTCTGATTAAAAAGTTCAGGCAAAACACAGTGGAGCAAACACAATCTACAGTATTGCATCTGTGTGCAACATCCCTGAGAAGTCAATTGATATCTGTCATGGCTGACAATTTGATTTGACATGGAGGGAGACGCACACCAACTAATTATATTAATTAAAGCGAAGCTCCATTTCTTTGTGCCTGGGAGCCATTACTAATGTTATCAGCTACACCTGTAGTGTGTCAAAATGAAATCTCAACAGAGAGGAACCTTCACTCTCACATGGCTTTCATTGCTTTTTTTGAGCTTTGGATATGAATCAGTGCAACAACAACACAATTTCACTAGTTACCTTGCAGTATGTCCTGTACCACAGTCCTATAATATCTTGACTCTCCACCATGATCGTGCAATTGTTTTTCGACATGTTATAAATCAATGAAAAGAGTCAAAATTACATTCCTCAAAGGGTGTATTGTGCAAACCGGTTCTTATTTAACTATCAATCTGTGCATAATATATTGTGACAGTACTACCTGGGATGAGTGTGCAGTCATAGCTGTACAGGTAGGAGTATCCTTCTGGTGTGTGGAGGATGGTGGTGTTACAGTTTCCAGAGATTTGCTGGAAAGAAAAACAAAGCAATATATCCAGTACAGTTTTTAATAGTGAGAGTCATCTCTGCGAGGACTGAAGTTAAAAAATTTAAGAGGGAGAACAATTTTCTTCAGTTGTCTAGCGAATTTAAGGGTTATGTAAGGGTCAAAGTTGAAAGCAAGAAGCTGTTTTTACTGTGTAAAATTTTGTTTCGCTGCCTGTTTATATATTACAACTATCAATTGCATTATATGTTTGTTTTCTGTAGGTATTAAAGAAGTACAGTTTTCAGGGAGCTTAGAATCTAAAACATCAATTCCCAGAGGCTATTTGTTGTGTTTGCATCAGTAAAAGAACTCAAACTTGCACATAACATAAAATTCCCTCTGCAAATGTGCTATAAAATTAAACAGACAATAGTCATTTGCTAATGCAGTATGAAACTGACCATGTGCACGAGTCAAGAAACATAATCTTGAAACCTTATAAAAGTCTACCCCTATAGAGGTGCTCTGTTGTGTGTTTAAATACAAAATTCTGTGACTTTGCCCTTTCTGCAGAGCGGGAGATGCATTACATCAGAGAGACCTCACAAGCGTGATGCAAGACAAATAAATGCGTTATCTGTGTACGGCTGTGTCCCACCGTTTCCATGAATGGTCTGACGTCACAGCGTTTCCATGGTTTTGGGCTGCCGACGTGACACTTGGTCTCCAGGACATCCAGGTCTAGGTAATACACATTACCTGCTGGGCCCTGACATGTACAAAACAAACATGTAATAAGAGAGAGGAGAAAAAGACAGTGCTGTGTGCTCAGATTCTCCAACATTATTAATCAAACACTTGTATCTGTAAATAACTGCAAACTAATATATAAAAACACCATCAATTAATCCCCTCATATATTGATTGCTGTGTTCAGGTGCTGTCTGTGTAATTAACAATAAAACTCTGGACATACTGATTTAAGTGATTGCACCGATAACAAGTAACAACACTGAGCAGGCGTAACGGCAGCTTTTTCAGGCCACAAAATTGAACGGAGCCTCTTAAAACCTTAACTATTCCACAGTGGAGGCTACAACAGCCTTCAGCGGCTGACAGCATGACGTTCATAAAACCTGCTGTGTGCGCGCTGTGCCAGTGGTGCTGGACTGAAATGACCTTAACGTCTCCTGCAGCCCTGAAGGTGGTTTAGTGAAAGGAGGACACAAAAGACTACACTTTTGTTTTAATGTTATTAGAAATAAGGGAAACTGATGACAGTAATTGACAAAAAAAGAGGCTTTGAAATGAAAACAAATATGAAATGTTAGTTTTAGCTTCACACAAGCACCCTGTTTTAAATGCTGATATTTTCATGTAGGTGAGAAAAACCAAGGCACTCTTGTTGAAGAGGTAAAAATACTATCAAATTAGATTTTTGGTGGTTGAAATTCTAAAAACATGTAGAGGTCATGTTAAAATGTTCCCTGAAGGAGGCTGTTGTGTTGTGTATATGTGGGATGTTTGGAGCATTTTAGTCAACTGAATTAGATAATTAACCAAAAAGCTTTTTATTTTAACTTCTGAGTGCTCCAGACTTCCTCCTTTTTTATTTTCATGACTTTGAACGGTTCATAAACTAGTTGGTTTGTGTCTTTGCAAGTTCAGCTAAATATGTGGGAAAACATAAACATACCCTGACATTTTTAGCTCTGCCAATGAATCTAAATTCTGAGTTGAAATAATGATTTACATGAAGTTTGTGTTTGTGTGTGTTAAAGCTTATCAGCTGCAGTGATAATGGTGGTTGAGGTATTTAGTTTCCGCTAATGGGGGATGGTGAAGGAATGGGAATGTCTGAACAAGCTGCTAAATACTGCAAGGTAACATTGCTAGCCAAAGGTAAGCTTCTTCAACCGTGAGCTGAGTTCCTTAAGCTAACATTAGTTTGGAGGAGTCATGTTTGACTGTTTTTTGACTGTAGTGTGAAATGAATTTGTCCAGGGTTTCCTTACTTTTCCATACCCTACTTTTGGAAATACCTACTTTTCATTGGTTGGCATTGATGCCAACAGACCAATGCTTTTTACTTTCACGTTAGGCCTGTCGCGATAATCAATAAATCGCCTTATTGCTCGGTAAATAAAAACGAGGTCGGTCATTTTGCCAGCTTTGCCAGCTGACAGACAGCGGAAATTAAAGTTTATCACTTTTGACATGGTGTACTCGCATTGTTATGCCATATATTATCATTTTCTATAATTTAAAAAACGGTGTCAATAATATCGTTTATCGGCAATAATTTGTAGCACAATTATCGTCCAGCAAAATTTGTTATCGTGACAGGCCTATTTCACGTTGACTGGGCCCCATTTATAATTATCTGAAGTATTTATCTGCATGATATCTGAATGTAATTGGAACAATACGCGCGAGCAGGAGCGTCTGTTTGTGGGTGGGGTTTGCTGGAGCAGAGAGGGAGGGGAGAGGAGGAGCTGAGGGGAAAACTGGTTGGGAGGGGAAGTGTTTACATTCAAGATTTCTCCCCAAAACTGGCACTTCCTCAGATCCTGCCTACCTCATCTTCAAGCGAAAATTAAGATTTGGGCCTACCGACTTGTCAGAAAACACTTCATGTTTAGCATTTTGTTTAACACAGCTAACCATGTGATCATACAGACAGCTATCAAAAAATGGGTTTGCCAAGTGTGGCTGATTTTGGCAGAGCTTACACCGCTAGCTTTGGTCCTCCTGCAGACCAGCATCTACATGCCTGACATTAGCTGCAGCTCCCAGCTTAGACCCAACATATGAAGCGATTATGAGGCTTTCCTTTTCACAGTTCTCTGTTCACATACCACATGCAAATAAATAAACAACTTAGCCTTCAGTGAAAATGAAATCCTCAGAAGAAGTCTCTGAAGGAAAGATGTAATCACAAGATGCAAATCCTATTAGTATCTTCACCCACCCTGACTTTGTATCTGTTGCATTTATTTATACTTTGGAGTTAAATTTCATTATCATATCTCCCAAAGACAGTCAGCTCATCGTGAAAATGTCAAAGGATGATTTGTGATTAGAAATCTCCCAACAACAAAAACACAAATCTTCTCAAGTGGGATCCCACTGACATGAAGATTGGCCTTGGCTGGTTAAATCTACCTTTTTCGCCGGCTTGTTTTGATATTTCAGCAACAACAGAGGGGAAAATAACCTTTCCACCCCTCTTGTTAAACATGAACAAATCACCCACTGACAGAGTATTACAAAAACCACAGGCAGCTTTCCCCCACTGGCTGTTTGTCTCCATACTGACCTGAGCGTGCAGGTGGACGTTTGCAATGCGGTTGAGGGCAAACTTGTAGCCGTCGGTGCGATCCTCATTGATGTAAGTGGCAGCCAGACGTGAGAGCTTCTCCACTGCCTTGTCATTACAGGGGATGGGTGCGAGCTCAATGGGCGACAGTCCAAAATTCGTGCAGCGCACATTCACAGCCTGAAAGGATAGCAGGGAAAATAGCAGTAATAATGTGCAGATGGATTTGTCCATTGTGGCCGATTTTCAGGCCGGAGCTAAAAGGCAGAGCTGTTTTTAAAGTGAAGTTTGTTCTCTTGTGTTTGCGCTCGGTCTCTGCAGTGACTTTTGGAATCAAAACAGGGACGGAGATGTTGAAATGATGCCAAGGACAAAGTTTATTTGATGGGAGCCGGCTGATATTTGTGAATGAAGGTTCCAGTGATTTATTTAACTTGGGCGACGCTCGATCTCATGGACAAATAGAGCAGAGGACAAACATTTCATTCATAATTCATCTAAGTGTGAAAGCATGCGAAAGCTGGGGCAGATGCCATCGTAGTATTAGTGCAGGGTGTGTTTGGACCCGACCAAAATAAGCATGCTGTGTGTTTAAAGAAGTCCGCTTTATTAGTCCTCTTTTCAACCTTTTAACCAGACTCAAAGGTTCCTACTGTGAGTCCTGTGCTGTAGCTGTAATAGAAAAGTTTCACCACAAGGGGGCACTGTGTGTCTGATATGCAGGTCTAAAGGAAAAGCTGATTTTTCCAGCAGGCAGAACTGGGTTAATGTTTTACTGGTATCCAGTTAATCAGTTTTAGACTTAGTCTTGCTGTCGAATCAGAATCCTTTCCCTCTCATTTTTATATTTTTGTCTTGATTTGACCGGAAAATGAGACTCAACAAACTTGAATATGTCTGACAGAAAGCACAGAGGATCATTTCAGCTGCCCCACATCATAGAGTTATATCCAAAACTGATTAGATATCTTTGCACATAATGTGAAGACCTATGTATGTGTCATACAGTAAAAGTGTGGTGCATGATGCATTGTGGTCAGATTAGCCTCATTGTGTACAGCATGATTGATTAATATTTGAAGCCATTGGTAGAACATCCCAGCATCAGCCCAGCTTTAGCAACCTCATCCTGCAAATTACTTCTCCATGTGAAGATACCTTTAAAAGATTTTTTCATTGTGAATAAAATGCATGAGGAGAAAAAAAAGCCTTTGCAGTGGGCAGAGGAAAATAAAACATCTTTATTGAGCATATCAGCATTGTGGCTGCTGGGCTGAGATGAAGAGTGGGTGGGCTGGGGTAACAGAGAGGGGAAGAGCTGCAGGAGGAGGGCTGTATTTTTAGAAAATCTGTCTTTTTTTTCACTTTTTAGAGAGATGTCAGTACCTCTTCTGCTTCTTATGAAACGTCTGGACAACTGTTGGAAATTTTGCCAGCAAATTTGTTCCACACCTTCATGTCCTCAATAGGATGACCTGTAAAAAACCTGGGTGAGTCCCTGACCTGTTATACAGCAATATTTTCAGGTCAAACCTTCAGTTCGCTCAATATTTTTACAACTCTTGCCAAACTGGCATCAGCACTGCGATGCAGAGTTTTGAGGCGAGGGAAACTATTCTGGTCTCTTCTTGTTTTTTTTGAGTAGTAGGCTTTTGGTTGTTCGAGGAAAAACAGACCATATGTCGAGAGTTAAAGTAGCCTTTGGTTCAAAGCAGCTTACCTCTGAAAACAATTATATATTTCAATAATCTCTATTAAAAAAACATTTGGGTGAATGTGGCTGTAGCTGCAACAGGTCTAGTTATTCAGGTTGGAAGAAAATCTTGACACTGACATACAAGCTGGATATGTTCATCAAACACTGAAGTGTCGTCTTTATAAAGATGTTTATGAACTTTTCTGTTGTCATCTAGTTCAGTCAGGACCACTTTTGTCAAAAGAGTATTGATTATGAAGAGTACTGGTTATTTTCACACGAGTTATATTGGTGGTGGTTTGGCTCTGACAGGAGAGTGGCCTGCCCTTCAACATATATACATGTGGTAAACCCATACGTTGTATATACTATGGACAACTTGGCTCTGCCTTCTGTCATTACACGAGTTTGAAGCTAAATTGCTCTCGGTATTTCCAGGATTTTCTCCATTTCTTGGAACCACCACTTGCGCAGTAGCGTTGTACCCATTGGCTGGAATGTCGCTGCGGTGACGCGCGGTTTAAACAGCGTATCCCCCTGATGAGCGACACAGTCTTCATACGCCCATAGGCTTTATCAAGTGTTAATCATAGAAAACATGAACCCCCACATAACTTTTAAAAATGGAGCTGTACAGAAAAAAGAGGACTTGAGCACAAACCAGTCTGACTGTAACTACATGTCAAAATCAAAACCAGGGGGGAGAAAAAAATTATATTCTGTGTGATAAATCTCTAAAGTTTGTCCACAGCTCCATAAGCTTTGCTGGAGGAGGTGGGATTAATGACCTATACTGCAGCCCGTCACCAGAGGGTGCTGTTCTTGTGGTTGGAGATTGGGCCCATTCTTTAAACAGTCTATGGGTACACCAAATCCTGAGGCAGGGACAACACTCACACCCTCCCCAAGGCAGGGAGAGCAGCAGCAAAGACCTGCAGAGTACAAGGCTTCTGCTGGGGCTGAGGCAGCTGTTGATGCAAAGAGATTTGCGAAGGAAGCGAGAAGAGTATGTAGACTAAAGTGATTTAAACACAACAGCCATTTTGATATTTTCCTTTGGTTGTGACTGAGGTAATCAGCTGAGCTGTCAGCTTATAATGGGATGGTGAACTGTGGGCTGAGCTTGAGTTTGTTGCCTGGCTGAACTAACACTTGGCTCAGTTAGTGTATTATTATGTAAATTTAATATAAAGACCAAAAACAAGCTGTAAAAAATCAGTCAAAACAAACTAAAAGACAGTGAACAATTTACCTTTTGACCGGGTGCTACATACTCAGTACTTTATTAGATATTGTGACGTTATTGTTTGATGGCACTACGTTACATTAGTAAAATATCACAGTACCACTGCTTTGTGATGTTATTGTTGTTGTGAGACATGTAAAGCCTAATACATCTTTCTGTGATTCATCAGGTGATTACCCCGCTTTATCAGATACTCGTGATTGAAGTCATGAACTCATACAGAAATTGTTAACCAAGGTAATAAATCAGCTGAGAAGTATAGGGGTCCTTTCCCCATCTGATTCCAGGCGAGCAGTCCTTTCTTTGCAATCAATTGAAGTCTCCTTCTGGTGGCAGTAAAGAATGTAGGTTTAAGGTACTTCTACACTGAGTACAAAAACCCAGAGGCTTGACCCTCCTTTTATATACACTCAGTGGATGAAACACATAACTAAGATGGTAAAGATTTCCTGTACCTAAACATTTACCACTGACGCTGGGAAAAGGAAAGCATGCTGACATTAGCATTTGGCTTACAGCACTGCTGTGCTTCAGGTTACTTTTGATATGGGGCTTTAATTGTTCAAGCAATGACACAGCAGAAAAGCCGTCCTGCTTATCGGAGGAAACAGTTTGTTTATATTTTTCTAGCTACACATTTGTCGTCTATAGTGGTTATTGCTATGAGTTTTTTGAAGTGTTTTACCTCAAATCCAAGTATAGTGGGTTCCTCTGGGAGCCATCTGTCCAGGGATAATCATTTAACCAATTTCAAATATTCACTGAACCAGGTTCAGCTCTCTGCAGAGACTGCAGGAGAGAGAGAGAGAGAGAGAGAGGGGGAGAGAGACTCACTCAGCAGAACAAATTCTGCTAATATCAGGAGAAAAAAAGAGCTGCCTCAATGTTGTGTGTTTTTCATTGTGTACGTGTGTGTTTTCATACGAGAGAACGTGCACTTGTGTTCATCTATGTGCACATTTGACCGTGCAGAGCCTCCACTGCATGCGTCAGTGTTACCAGCAGCTAGTTGTGTTGCAGCAGAAAGGCAGAGGGAGTCTGTGGGGGAGAGATAAGGACGGCGAGGCTGCTCCAAGGACCCGCTCTACCAGCACACAACGCCAGACCCAAGTTAGACAAACCTCCTTTGATGTGAGCACAGAGTAATCTCCCCTTCTGCTCGCTGTGCACAGAGATGCCTCGCTGTAGTGATGCCCAGGCCCTGATAGGACGGGGCTGCTGCCACCGGGGCTCCCGCTGTTCACTTTGTACATTGACGGGCTGTATTGAGGGAGAAAATGAGGGGAGTGGAGAGGAGAATTAAAGCCTGGCGTGGTCTTAATACTGGTTTAAAAGGTTGCATCGGAGTAACTTGTAGCGGTTTTACTGTGACATTGCCTGAATGATGTTCATTAGCGTTGTTTTAGTGGGGAAATTCAGTCGAGCACGGTCTTACTGATGTCCTACTTTGCCAAAAACATGGTTTTGGGGGAAAATGTTGGCAAGAAATATCCTCTTGTGTCACATCGCCCGCCAGTAGGTGAGCAAAAGAATTGGTTTCTTTACTTCCAGGCATTTTCAGGACTTAATAAGGCCAGCGCTGTTTCTCTCCTCCTTGCTTTTCTAACCACTTTCTACCTTGGATTTGCGTGTCTGTCTCGGTCAAAGTATTTGCATTTTGCCTTTTATCATTACTTTGCCCATCTCTCACAGATACATGCAAATGAATAGAGCGCAATTGCAGGAAGGCAGCCGAGCCTTTATCTTTTGCAAATCATCCTCTTTATCTCCATCTCGCAAGCCTTCATTCAAGCACACACACTATCTTTGCTTTTGTCTTCTCTCTGACTCTCACTTCACCGTCTTTTTCTCCCTTTTTTTTTTTTCTATTGCAAAAGATGCTGCTGGGATTTCTTTCTTATCTCATTGGTCACAGTCTGCACAGAGAAGGGGAGACATTAGGATGAAGAGAGAGAGAGAGAGAGCAAAAAGAGGGATAATTCGCCTCATGCTTAATTGGTTTCAAACTTTTCCTCCCCTGTAAGACCTGCCTCCTGCACTGTTGTGACCAAAACACAGACACTGATGCTAAAGTCATTAAATTTCACTGTAATTGGTCAAGCTATGTGCTCACATTGGCAAAGGCTTTCTCAGCTGATTGGTATTCTCTGCTGCAGTGGTCACAAATCCCTGTCATTTTACTGGGATAAAGTAGTCAGCTTTAGACTCTTAATTTCCCCTGTCATGTTTTCAGCCCCTTATTCTGCAGCCACGGGAAGCAAATGAGAGCAGGATCCTGCACTGAAACAAAAGTTGTAATAAGAGAAATTTCACTTACAGGCAGATAAACGAAGGATGATTCCCTACAGCTGTAAACCTTCCACCCTTCATTTTACATTTCCAAACTGTTCTTTGAAAGCGATATTTGTGTGTTTCATTGAATAGTTAAAGCTCCTGTCAGGAGTTTCAGCTGGTTATGAATCAGGCTGACATCGATAGACACGTTTACAGCCTCCGTCACTAAAAATACCCAACTGAAGCAGCGTTTTGCTCCATTCATTAAGACAAGTTTGCAAGCTCTCAACTCTAAATGAGCACTGTTGAAAGTGTCAGAATGATAGTCCTAAAGGGATATTCCAGTGTAAAATCAAGTTATGGTCAAACACATCGTAACACTGAGTTAGACACCCCCTAGAGAATGAATGTTAATGCAGAATGTTAATGTAATGACCGCAGGATAGCAATACACAGTGGTCTACATCTCCACACGCAATCCTCAACCAAAACGCCACTCTATAGCCATCAAACAACTGTTTAACTTTGCCTAATTTCTTCAGCAAAGAGACTAAACACAACTTACCCACTTTCTTCCAGCAGCCGCTAGTTTGTGGGGGAGCCCTAACAAGTGATTACTGAGTGCAGTGGATGATTTCCATGAAGTTATAATCATTTTGCACTGCTTAGCGTCTCAGTCTGATTGCATTTCCATGAAGAAACCATCATAAATGTTCTTCCTTGAGCTGCCAAACTCCACTGCACACGGTGATCGACTTGCCAGGGCTCCCCCACAAACAAGCGGCTGCTGGAGGAGAGTGGGTGAGTTGTATTGGTCTCTTTACTAAAGAAATAAAGCAAAGTTAAAAAGATGTTTGGTGGCTAGCACTATGGCTGGGACCCTATATGTACTGTTGATGAAGTTAGGTGCTGTTCTGAGCATTATTTGTGGTTATAGAGTGGCGTTTTGGTGGAGATTTGCGTGTGGAGATGTAGACCACTGTGTATTGCTATTGTGCGGTCATTACTAAAGTTGGTACAACTAGAGAAGCAAGCGGTCAGCAACACTCATCTCTTGAGGGGGTGTCTAACTCGATGTTACGTGTGTCTGACCATAACTTAATTTATGCTGGGATATCCCTTTAAGAGAACCTGCATTTTGTTATACTGGTACATGATTGGTTGGTACGAAAAGTCTCGTAGACAAAAAACTGTCCTCATATCAGCAATTTGCATCAACTTTTTGCCACAATGCAGCTAATCCATGTGCCAGCTGTCTCCCAAACAGCCGACCAGAAACGCAGATCGATTTCTTAAGATAAAATACTAGCAGTGGGTTTTATCATGTGCATTTTGGAAGCTCTCTCCTTTGGTTCGATGCGCAGGATGCCCATCTGCCTCAAAATAATTTTATTATGATCTTCATCTCGTTAAAAAAAAGTCTTTAAAATGAAATGAAATAATAAACCAAGTGTAAGCAGTTCAGATTTACCAAGTTTTGTCTGCTTGGCTCCAAGGTGTTACCAGATCAGTTTAGGATTTCTGTGATCTCTTACAAGTTGAACAACACCAGAAAACATCCAACGAAAGCATTATGTTCAGATTAAGATGCTGAGGAGCAGCTGCTATACTCTGAGCTCCCTCTGGATACATAGATCAGCTGGAGAATCAAAATCTCTGACCTGTTCGTACACCTGTCTTTCCACTGCGAGGATGTAATTCAACAGACAGCAGTCCGCATTGGATTTCAGGAGAAAACAGAAAAACAAAACTGGACCCATAGAGGCTGTAAAAGTCTGTGGGACTGGGTAAGGTGATTATTCCACCCAGGTATTCAGACGATTCAAATGAATTCTGCTTTGAAATTGTAATGTCTTTCAGCTTGTGAATCATATATTTTTTGGGGAAGTGTGCAAGGACAAAAGTAAAAATAAAACAAACAGATTTGACGAGATCATCAGACTCCCATGTACCTGTAAAACGTTACATTTAACGATGCTGTAAGCACAGAGCTACGGTGTGAGTCACAGAGATAAAATACAGAGGACCATAGTCTATCAGGGTGTGTTATAGGAAGCTGGAGCGGCGATAATGATGCACAGTATGAGAGACCGGCTCAATCACTGAATGTGATTGAAGTGCCATGTGTGGTACTCCACAACTCAAGCCCTCGTGTTGCATGCCCACTCCTCATTTCACCTCCTCGGCCAACTCTTAGATGTATCATGACTGGTCACCTGCTACCCACGACCTGGCCGGACTGCAGAGCTGGGCATGCTAACAAAAAAGAAATTATCTGGCAGCAATTTTGGGGCTATTTGGAAAATGTCCTAGACCATTTTTCTTTCTTTTTGCTTTTTATACTGTATGTCTAGCATGTACATGTACAGTAAGTGCTCGCCTGAGATACTCAAGTGTGTCTGCTGGCATGTGCATTTAGGCGTACTGTGCTTTAGATGTAAGCCCTTTGCACATCTGAAAGTCTTGGGAGCTCTGCCCTTGAAATTTTTTTAATGGTTGTTCACACATGTCCCTCAAAGACATGTCTAAAAGACAGACTTTCCTCCTCCAGCCTCAGCTGGGTTTTCTCATCTTGTTATGTGTCATTCTTTCAGGTTTGCATTGCTTGAAATAAACATAATTTTCCCACTCACCTGCTCACTCGCTTGCTTGTAGTTAATTTTCTCAAATATTAGCATTCTCACATGGGCTAACGCCGACCTCACAAGGTTGGCAGGAAACAGTCCAGAGCGGGCCAGAGTGAAGATTTTGTCTATTTGTGTTCACACATGCAGCCCACCCCGAAATTTCAGGCAGCTTTTTGAATTTGTGCATGTGTGAATATATGCACAGACTGAAAAAAAATAGCACCTTGTTTATAGAAGTAAAGTGACTGTGTTATGAGGGGGTATGATGCCCATTTTCAGGCTTTTTATCGCCCCTTTGATACCTCTGTAGTAATAATATCCATTTACTTTTCAAAAACATCCGGTTTATTTATCTCAGGCTGGTGTTTTTAGAAATTTCTTTAACATTTAAAATGATATTTTTTGGAAGCCCACTTGCTTACAGTAAGCCAGCTCTACTGAAACCTCCTCCACTGTTGCCATGCCACAAAATTGTCATTAACTGGCATTCCTTTAACTAAACTGACAAATTTTGAAACATGGCCGTGTGTTTTTTGGACCCCAAATCTGACTCAGAAAGTTAGGTTAAACTATTTCCTTTATTGTAAACTATCCAATCCAATCAAATCCAATCCAATTTATTCATAAAGCACACTTTAAATCAACACAAAGGATTCCAAAGTGCTGCACAGTATAATAAAAACAATAAAAAGAAATTTTAAAGATCTTTCAAAAATCTTGTTTTTGAAAGTGCTATAAAAATAAAGTAATAATAATATTGATAAAATAATAATAATAATAATAATAATAATAATAATAATAATAATAACAATAATAATAATAATAATAATTATTATTATTATTATTATTATTATTATTACTATTATTATTATTTTTTAAATAATAACAATAATAATTATTATATATAATTATTATTATATTATTATAATAAATGCTATAAAAACAAAGTTATAATAAGGATGATATAATGATTATTATTTTTAACATTATTATTGTTATTATTATTATTATTATTATTATTATTATTATTAACATTATTATTATTAACATTATTATTAATATTATTGTTAATATTCTTATTATTAAAACACAAATATACTAAAGATAAAAGATGCAATAAAACATAATGACTGAATATAATATCCACCCCAGATAAGAGATCTGATATCTACTATGCTTTTATTTTGAAATTCAAAAGAATAGAGTATATCCAAGAGATCATAAATCAGGTCACAAAAGAAAAACAACCAAAAGTAGGTTAGGAGGAAGTATAAATGGTCTATTCATCGTCATTGCTTAATAGACACAGGCTGTATGTACGCTGTTTTGGATTCATAATATATCTTTGATTTTAAAAAGTGTCGGACCATCTTTCAGAGGGCTGCTTAAGCCAGTTTGCTACAAGCTGCTGCTCCTTTGTCTTCCCTCTGTTGTATGCAACTAGCAGGAAGGACCATTACTGTCCACCACTGTGAACCAATTACAAGGTATTAAAGTATGCTTATTTATAGCATGATGTTAATATTTTATAGTTTTTAAGAGATAGTTATCTTGTGCTGCAACAGCCCTAGTCCCAAAAGTCGAGTTATTTTGGAGGGGGCATGGTTACCTGTGATGGAAAAGATACTAACACAGAGAAATCCAATATAGTGACAGGAAATACAACCAGACTCCAGACTCTAGAAGAGGGGGTTTGAAACCAGCATTGAGTTTTTGGATCTGAGATGCCCCTCTTTTGCAGAGAAAGCCTGTAGGCACATGCTTGCCTCTGTGTATTCTTGTATTTTTTACTATTGTGTATGATCGTGTGTTCTCATGTGTGTGTGTGAGGGGTTAGGAAGGAGTCACTGAGTCAATCCATGACCTTGTCTAACCGGCTGGGTATCAAACTCATGACAACTAAAACTTTTTCAGCCCTAAAGCCTATTTATACAGCCATACAGGCCTCTTTGAAGTCGGCACTTAAAAGCACCACTAACTCACCCTGGAGGAAGAGCCTGGCACACTGAGGATGCTCTGGATGTCTCAGCCTCTGTGTGTGTGTGTGTGTGTGTGTGTGTGTGTGTGTGTGTGTGTGTGTGTGTGTGTGTGTGTGTGTGTGTGTGTGTGTGTGTGTGTGTGTGTGTGTGTGAACGTCTGGCTATGTGTAAGAATGTGTGTGTGTGTGTATGTGTGTTCTCCACCCTTTTTGAGTTTTATGATGACTAACCATTTTTAAACTTTTATTTTTCTAGACTTTACACCTCTCATCCCTTTTATGTCCATCTGTTTCAACGTCTGCGCAGCGCTCTTTGTTTTGAGGCGAGATGTTTTAATTAGCCACTTCTTTTCTTTTTTTTTTTTTAATTCCTCCTTATTCAACATATATTTTTAAGAATAAATGCTCCACGGTCCACTTCACTACATCACTGTTGAGCTGATATATTGTGCCTGTGTCTTTTTTTGTCAACAAGCCCCTGTCTGCTAGCCTACATTGTATCTTGGACTGCTTTATATACAACAGACTTGGGATGTCCTTGGCAGCATGCCATTTCAATTATCTTTTGCTTTCACTTTCTCTGGAGTAATCTTTGAATCTTACTGCTCTCCACCTCGGTCTCAGTCCGGTCTTTGAAAATCACTTAGCTTTTTTTCTCCCTTTAATGGCCATCAAATATTGAATCTGTTTTGCAGGTTTTATTCTGTTTGCACGCCCCGCTGCCGTGCAGAAGCCCGCTGCAGCTGAAATACTGTGTGACATTATATTTAGAAAACATCATTTCTCCCCCCTCTGATTGATATGACACAACAGTGAGTCAGCTTAAAAACCAGGATAATGAAAGCCGGTACATCTTCTGTTCTTGGTGTTTTGTTTTCAGGGGGGCATTTTCTGGATTTTAAATCCCTTGCAAACATGACGCTGTTTTTTATACCCACAATTTTCCAGAATACTTAATGGACCACAGGTGAGCTGTAAACAACTTTAGAGTAAATAAACAAAGAGGTGGACACTTAGAAGAGTCACTCAAAAGTCTCCCCTGTGGAATTTTTTGACCACTGGCAGTACTATAAAACAATGTTTTAATACTAAAGTGCTTTTTTTTTTTTCTTGTTAATGTGCCCTAGGGCACACTGTACACATTGTATATATGGTTTAACCAATTCTGTTAATAAACAAGTGTTGGACTTCACCAAAGAAAGCACATTAGCTGTGAATGATAGGATGAAAAGGAGCTGAGAGGAAGCAAACATGCCCTGTTTTAAAACTTGCTCTCTTTATCTTTGCTGTGGATCCTGCTGCAGCTGCACATACAGACTTTGTGCTTTACATGCAGTATGCAAACACAACATTTTATTATTGCACCTTGAACCTTGAACTATCTTGGTCAGACGTGCATTTTTTGATGATCAGGTGACATACCTACAGCTAGGGCTGGGCGATATGGCCTCAAATCAGTATCACAGTATATTGAGCAGTTCACCTTGATGAAATAAAATAAAAGCAGATATTAAAAAGTAAAATATAGTTTTAATGTTTTTTAAAAATAATTTAAAAACAATAGAAACAAATAACTAAAAACAAACCATAAAACACTAAAACAGGAGCCAAGTCTCATGCAGGGTTGAAAGCCAGTAAATAAAAATGTTTTTTAAGATGAGTTTTAAAAATGGACCTATACCCCTGCAAAAGGATTGCAAGTCAGAACAGCAAATGAAAGGTGCTGTGAGGAGTTTTTCTGCTCTCTGTTTAATTTATGTTGTTGAAAATCCCTAAAACCAGAGCAAAATGACTATGAACAGGGTTTAATGTTAATGCAAACATGCTGATGCTTCACTGCCCTTTATTTCTTTAATGCAAAGCCAGTCTTGTTGCTGTATGCAAGAGAAATAGTTTGAGACAACATCACAAGATGAACCATGATACCCTCTGTCGCTGTTGTATGCTACAATTCCAAAAACATGACCAGTCTTGAATCTTTTGTTTGCAAAATGCCAAAAAAGAGGTGATTAATGTGATAATTAGAGTGACAGTGCTTTGTTTCAGCACCAGGTGTTGTCTGCAGAGTACCTCATGCCCTGTTCCCTGGTGTGCCAGTGTGTGTCCATTACTGAATGTCATGTAGTTCCTGATAAGAAAAAACAAGTATAACTCTTTTGTAAAATAATAACTTTGGGCCCCCAGTTGCCAAAGTCGCTGCTGAGATATTCTCACTTGTCCTAGTTGCCGGGAGTTGAGGGATCCCCTAGGGACCGAGGTTTGCTGTCTTCTTGAGCCACTGCATTTTGAGTCAGGTCAGATTATTTTAAGGTCCACACACAGTTATTGTATCAGAAGTCACACACACCCTCAGTGAATGCTTAAGCGGCATGTGGCAAGGTGAAGAAGTGGAACCGCTTCTGGTCACCATCACGTATTTTCCAGCCTGTGCCCTCGCACAATGCCGCTCTTTACACCCTATCATTTTATTTTCATGAGTCAGAGATCATATCAATCATCATTTAAGGCGAGAAGCGCACCACTTCACTTGAACTTCACCTTTCCTCTCCCTGTGATGGATCGTTCCTGGTTTGATGTTTGAATGAAGACGGCTGGTTAGGGTGAAATAAAAATGCAGAACCTGACACCACTCCCACACAGTCTGTCTCTTCGTCTGACTACCACTCTTTGCTCGGCTGCTTCTGACCAACTATCTGCCTGATTGCGCTCTCTCTGTCTCTCTCTCTCTTTCTCTCTCTCCCCCCTCTCTCTCTCTCTCTCTCTCACCCATCAGATCAGTGTAGCTCACAGCCAGCGAGGGAGGAGGTGTGAAAAGCTCATGCAGAGAGAGCAACCCCAGGAAATGCCAGCCAAAAAGTGAGTGAAACAGGGAAAGTGTGTCAGCCCATGTGTGTGCGTGCATGTGTGTTACATGTCATTCCTCTCCCTCTTCACTTTCCTACCTGTCTGATTCTCCTCACTTGAATAACTCTCAGCCTGGCATGTTTATAATGCATGGCTCCTCCAACTATGGAATATTAAAACCTTGTTGTTTCAGTCAAATGGGGCCTCTATAAATATGCTGCAGATTCAAAAATGCAGACGCTCTCGCACACACGCAGCCTTAATTTATAACACATTTACATCTAAGTGTAACCGTCGCACATGACGCTTTAGAGCCAAACATGAAATCAGTTTTAAGATGTGTGCGCTCTTGTGGCGTGGTATCACTCAAGTGGATGTCCAAAGTCAGAATGCACATGAGGAGACATGAGCATGTAGTCATTTCAACACTTAAATGATAGATGTTTCAACACTTAAAAGCTGCAAGAGACGAAATGGAGAGCTGTGTCCTCTGAATGATATTAATAAGAGAAACACTCTCTCACACAACACACACACACACTCTCACACACACACTTCAGTGGCTCCTGAGAGGAACAGTTCTGCAGCTTTATCAACCCTGAAATAGGAAGTGGTTTGTGGTATTAAAAAGAAATACGTGACTGTGGCAAGCAAGCAGAGGAGGGTAGAGTGTCTGTTAGGAGGAGGAGGGAAGAGAGGAGGGGGATGCTGGGCAAATGGAGTCCCTGTAATCCTGATTAACCCTCCTGAATAACCTAAATCCGGGTGCAGAGACACAACCTAGCTGTGTCCAAAATCATGGCTTTTTCCTCATTTCTTGTCTTCTTTGTAAAAGTCCACTTATATCGCAGAGAGGTAGTTAAATAGAGAACCCTTTACAGTTAATAGAAAGGGTTTGACCTGCCATTGTAAGTGCTATTCAAAGAGGAGAGGATCGTGGAGAGAGGAGGGAAATTGGATTAACAGTGAGAGAGGACTACTTCAGGATTTCTCTCAAACTTCACATCACCAGAGTTCAACCAAAGAGGGAAAACAGGCGATAAAACAGTCACATATGTTCCTAAATAGTTGATAATAAGCTGGGATTTGAAAGTGTTTGAAATAAGTATCAAGATATAGCTTTAAAAAGAAAAAAAATGGCCATCACTCTTGAGATTCTGTATAGTAACTTGTCAAAAAGTCTTATATTATTAAAATTGTAGAAATAATTCAATGATTATTTCCTTCTCCTGTTAAATTTTCATTGTGAAACAAAATAATAAAGTCTTAAAGTTTAGTTTGTCTGTTGGCAAAAACACCAGTTATACCAGAGTTTCACATCTGGCTGATCATTAATGAGCGTCAGATTTGAAAAAGTGTCCCACAGGCCCAATTTTCCCTGAAATATTGAGGCCAAATTAAGAATTTTCAGAGTCCCTAAGACATCTTAAGAAATGCTGATGAGATGCAGAGTTCCCAATCAGATAAAAAAAGAAAAAGGAAGTGACTAGTATTTTTTATGTTGGATAATGAGTTGTGCAGGCACGATCAGCTGTTAAAACTGAACTAAATTGATCTAAGAGAATTAAAATGCTAATAACACTATTAACGAACAGCTTTTGTCCGTTGTTGCAGGAAGCAGCTGTCCTGACGGATCGTTCAAAATGCTACAAACCCCTTGAGTCTCAGCTGTCCCTGCAATACAGAGGATACAAGGTAAAATCACTCATCTGAGCTGTTGTATTTTCTACTGCTTTGGAAATTTCCACAAAAAAAGTAAACTAGAAGAGTCTTCAAACTTTTATAACAGCTTTAGTTTAGTATGCCTGTGGGGCTCATGTCTGTGCGAAACAACAGACTGACGAACAGAGTTATGCTCAGAACTTAAAGGTCTGTCTCCCCTTCACTTCTTGCACTCGCTCATTGTTGTTTTAACAAAGATCTATTCTGTTTAAACAATACAAGCGCTCATAATGAACTGCACCTGTCTGCCTTATCTGTCCTCCTTTTCTTCAGAGAGTTCTCCAAGTTAAAGAGAAAAGTGAAAGTGTGAGAAGGGGAAATATAAAGTAGCTTCAACTTGAGGTTTCCGCACGCTGAAGGCCGCACTGACCTTGAGATGAGGCGTGGTTTTCAAATGTTTGTATCGTTGTTGATTCATAAGAAACTGAACAATCTGTGTGACAATTTTCCATCTTCAAAACATGTTTTTTTTTTTTTTTGTGACTTTTGAACATGACCTTCAGTTTGTTCTGAGTAGTGCAACAAATTTTCTCTGACCTCTTCAGCGTTTAATACTCTTAATACAGAGTAAAGTATTAAACTAAGAGGTAACATGGCCCCTCAAGTCAGAAAAGTGGTGTGGACTGACAGATTGAGTATGGCTTTCTGTGAGTCCTAAACTAGAAAAATTGGCCACTAGGTTCTGCTTAATGTGCTCGTACAGACTTTTAAGGACAGTTTGAAGAGTTTTGTCCAAAACTTGGAGAAAGAAGAAAATATGATGTAGTATCAGGGCCATCTAGAATAAAAAATAGATTTAACTCAATATTTAATGGGTGTAGAGTTGTAAATACCTGAATACCAAAGTCTTTTAGGAAAACAGGACCATGTTGTTGTGCTTTAAGGACTCTGAATCCACAGCCACCGTTTGCTCTTGGATCCATTTCCTCAGTTAAGTGCTAGCAGCTGTCCGCCCCTCTTATATCACCCCGCTTAGTTCACGTATTGATAAACAATTTTATGTCTTTTGACTTTTCTCATGAGTCAGATTAAAACTTCATTCTCCCAAATGTTCACCTTTAAACACATCCAGTCATGACTAAAACATTTTCTGAGTTTGTTCAAGTAAATTTATGAACATTTTCCAATAAATCTAAGTGTTTTTGTAAAATTACAAATTTTTCTTCAATAACTTATTCTTGTAAAACTTAATTGTAATGTTATGACTTTATTTTGTACACTCAGGGATTATTTTTGTAGCTTTGTTGGTTAATCCTGTTGTATTTATGACTTTGATCATGAATTTACGACTTTGTTATCACAGAATTATGGCTAAATCCTTTTAAATTTATGTGATTTTATTCATGCATTCAAGACCTATTCTCCAACAACTCAATTTTCATAAAAATCTGTATTTTTGAGATTATGACTTCATTCTGGTAATTTTCTTTTCTGGTAAATTTACAAGTTCGTCTCTCAGGACTTCATGATTTCTCTTCTCAGAATTTTATGACTTAATTTTCATAAATTCACCAACTATTTTCATAATGTTTTTCAATTTTCCCTCAAAAGTTATATTTTGTAAAATTACAGCCTTATTCTCATCATATCAGAGTTTTTTGCTCCTAAATTTTGACTACATTTTTTGTAAATTTGTGACTTTATTGTCAATCCATGAATGTTAATTTATGATTTTCTTCTTTTATTCATTTATCCCTTCTAAGTAACTCCTCAGTCCTCTACTGTTTGGAGTTTATTCTCATGATATTAAGACTTTATTGTAGAAATCTAATTTTGTCATCCTTGATGTGGCTCTAATCCTCACTTGTAGGATATTAGGAGTACATGAGAAGAATAAAGCCGGTTGCATTTGCATATTAATCACATAAAGGTTGAACACCTGGGTACTTTCAAGTTAATTTGGTTTTAGATTTGTGGTCACAAGCGTTTTAAAATAAATGCTGATTTAAAGAGAAATTCCTGCTGTAGTGTGGCCCATCAAAGTGTGACCACAGGTGAAGATATGGAGCTGCTGCACCTTTTACAGCATTGTAATGAGCTGCAGCCATTGTGTCTCTGAATGTATAATTATTATGTGTGAATAATGAGACTGAACTGTGTGGATACTTCCCACTGTGGGTCCCTGTGCAGCCGAGCTTTCACATCTGGCCAGAGCTTTGAAGTAGCAGGTGTGCCATCAACATGCACCACACACACACACACACACACACACAGAAAAAAAACAACCAGACACTGCCACCATATTTTTGAATAAGAGCAAGACGCAGCTCTTTGTTGTAAGTACAAAGAATATACACATTGTCGTTTTGGTGTTCGGGGACTGTTTTTGATACAGAATAATCAGATTCACTCATCTTAGGTTACCAAGGCTTTAGAGCACAAAAGAAAAAAACAGGTTTAAACCCACACGGTTGTCAAGCACTAGTCATCGGGGATGAGCGTCAACTTGACTGGAGTCTCTCTACTCTTGTGTGGAAGACCTGATCTGACACAGCTCCCCCTCCCAGTAGCGAAGTAGGATTGTATTTCACATGAAAAAGATGAGATTCACACACATGCACAAACACCCACACACATGCAAAAATGTCTTGAATTGATGTTCAGGTGAGGCAAATTCACAGTAGAATTACAGAAAAGTCATTCAGATGTCACCGCTCAACACAGGTTCACGTATATCAACGTACTTGAGTTACTTTTGGGGTTGCAAAGAGCCTGAAAGTTTGACGAAACAACTCTGCCAACCAGAAATATTTTGTTCTTTCTCAGGGACGGCCTAATGTAATTCCCGATGAGTCTGAAAGCGGATATTTACGATTTTTCTGACAGCACGTGTTGGGTTTCAATCCCCTGTTTTTCTTGCTTAGAAAGGAAACAGGAAAGAAAAATAACACTGGAGAAAAATATCTTAATGTACCATTTACATCCACCATAAGATTGACTTTTATAGGCTGTGTTTGTATGATCTCACTTTTGTTTGAAGGAACTAGAGTTAGTATGTTTCCCTGCACACTTAAATCAAGGTATAATTAATGCTTAATATGGCAATTCACCTGGACTTCTTAGCAAACTAATTTGACATTGTTTACCCTCAGACTCTGTGATTAAGCTCATTTCTGACTGTATCCTGGAGATAAAATTTATGCCGTAATGCAGCACGTAAAAGCTGTATTAGAATAACTTTCTGTAGTCAAACAGATGTAAAGGCAACGTGATGTTTCCAGTGGTTTTATTGGTTCCCATAGGGTGACCATGCATCCTCTTTTACCCTTTTGTCCTGTTTTTGGGGGGCTGTCCGGCCTTGTCCAGCCTTGTCCGGGGAAGTTTATAAAATCCTTCAAATGTCCACAGTTTTGTATGAAAGTTTCGAGTTTGTGTCACATGGACTTACTGAGTTAGAAGCGCGTAAAAGACACTCGATCTGACCCAAAAACTCTCAAATTTAACTTTGTGCGACTTCGTGATTCCACCCCAGCGTAGTCGTGTCCTCTTTTTGGGAAGTCAGAATATGGTCACCCTAGTTCCCACAAATACGCCATATTGGCTCTTGATGTTAGCTTGTGGCTTTTGACGCCAAAACCCTGAATTTAGTGGGCCCTGAGGCTAAAGTGGATCCGAATATTTGGTGTCTATGTTCCTGTTGACAGAAATAATATTCCCATTCTGATACCACGATTATACAAAGTCTTCGTCGTCCATAACTTCTCAAGATGACTCCATTGCTTCATGAGTTTTGTTTGAAAGCAGTGTAAGATCCGCCTTTAAGTCATGTGACAAACAATGACTTGAATTGGCAGTTATATAAGGTTATGAGTTCGGCTGGATCCCAAAAACACACACGGAGAAAACACCCAGAAACCGCTATACTGGTTTAAAAATAACCACAGTTAAATGAGTTTTCTGGTTTGTGTGTGTGTGAGTGTGTGTGTGAGGGCAGGATGAGGCTGCAGCGACAGAGTAATTAAAAGAAACAAGTCTTTGATCTTAATGAGGTTTCTGTACTCTCCTCAGTGAGAAAGGGGGTGTCTATGTATGTGGGAGAGTGTACTTTCTTAAAAAAAATGAACGCCCCCCCAAAATAAACTCTATCTGAAATCAAAAGTAAACTCCAATTCTATACCAAACAGTGGGGGGGAGTTTTATCTCCGCCCGCTCTGGTGGCTTTCTGCTTTTTGGTCACACTGCATGTCTATTCTTTGAAATAACAGATTTAGGTCAGTGAGGAGAAAAAGCCATTTCCTCCATCAGTTTTTCCTCTCAACTTTCTGACTAATTGACTAGAAGATCATTTGAATTCTGAACGGTGGCAGCAGGAGTCCACTCCATTCAGTGGTGAGATTGATGTATCTAAACAACACCAACAAACATGGCCCGCAATCACTCCAGAGGGGGTACTCCACTGAGAACATCATTACCGACTCTGTGTTGTCTGCTAAATCAAAGTAGCTCCCCCGGCTTTGATAAAAGAGACGGGTGCCGACCGGGGTGGCAGTTTGCTGCCGGGTTAGCCTGATCAGAATTCACAACATAGAAACCAGAGGTGGCCATGTTATCTTGCCCGGCTGAAATTAATGTAAACAAACCGAGACGTAGAATTAAACATAAGGAAAGGTTTGATATGGTCTTCTTGGATGTTACAGATCTGCTGGTTTGGAGCAAGATGACAAACAAAGCCATATCAAACAGAATATAATACAGCTGAAAATAAACTGCACGATATTATCAGACGGAATAAAATATAAGTGTAGTGTAACCCAGTAGTTCAGCATTATTTATTAATAAGGAGAAAAAGTTAGTTACAACGAGCTAATCAATAATCAATGTCACACATACAGTAGGGGGGCAAAACCACTGGCTTTGTCCAAATGAAGGACCTAGCCTACATGACGTCAAACCTATTTATGGACCTCATTTTTGGTATTACTGCTGTGGTCTAGCAAAGGTTGACTGAGTTTTGATTCACTTCGATTTTATCTGCTCTACAGATGTTTGTGGTTGTTGCTTAGCAATCCCAACCCCTTTAATATAGCCTGATAAACTAGCAGTTTAACTCTAAATGGGACCATAATTCATAAAACTGATGAAATGCTGTTCTTATTTGAGTTGTTAAAACTAACCTACTATACAAATGTCACCAAAGTAACAGGAATTGGACAAAGTAATCTCTAAAATGGTCAAATAGTGTATGGCACCATTTAATAGAAGCAAGGGGGGCATCTTTATGGGTCTAATCTGGAAGTACCAAACACTGCAGTTCCTCAAGTGGCCACTGGAGGCTGAGTCAGAAAGTGAGTCAAGCCCATTTAGCCTCATATTTAAATGACAAACTTTGCAGCAGAATATATAAAGTTGAGGATTATCACAGGAATGTTTGCTGCACAATCACCTCAGCAATTTTAATCACATATTCTAACCTCTCTGCTGTGTTTGTGTCTCCATGCAATTACCTAATAAGATAGAAGTGCTTGTTTACTTTGTCTGGAAAAATGTGCTTTTATACTTGAAAATGGTGAAGGAAAAAATCAACAAACTATTTTGGGCTGAAAAATGAAGTCAGTTCCTCAAATGGCCACTTGGGGCTTATATGAGGTCCCTTTGACTTGAAAAACTTTGCCAAACCTTTTTGAGTAAAAACATAAAAACTTGAACACATGCTTAGATAATAGAGAGAGAAATTTTAAGGTGCAAAAAACACAATCACAAAGGTTTGTTGTACTAATTGGCTGTTGAAGAGATCGCAGAGTGAGTTACTGTGGTTTTAGCAAATCTAGACTTGAGGTTTTATTTACTCTTTTAAAGCAATTAACTTTTGATCTTTGCTTTTGTCCTAATTAGTTGCGACCTGATGTTAAACAAAAGAAAAACAAACCAAAAAAGTAAGGTCATGACACGCTGCAGTCACTAAACACCTGAACAGCTTTACATTTAAGGGGACTGATGTGCACAGAGGCAGTTTAATATTCAGAGGAGTACTCAGACACACATAAGCTATCTCTCACAAACTTGTTAAACACACAGAACACACCGAAACCCTCCCTGGGATTCAGACATGCCACTGTGTAAATGAACAAATGTTGCTACCTCTCTGAAATCATGACCTTTAATAAGCGCAGTCTGTTTTCTGTTTGCCGGACACATGGGATAGGTGTCTTAATCAAACTGGAGCATTTGGTCCTGGCTGCTTTTGACAGCTTCAGACAGTTTCTCATTACTGAGCTGGCATTTAGCATTTAGTCATTTTAACATTCAGTTCCACTCCTGTCTGCTGAGTCAGAGCACAGCCTGTACTCCTCTACCCCAAAACACTAAACAAACTCCACAATGGGGCATTAACAAGGTTTGAAAACACTTAATGAAGAATAAAATCAAACAAAAGGACTGATTAGGAGTGTTTCAGAGAAGTACACATTGGTCAAAAGAGAGTGATGAAGCTTTTTCTGGTGATTTGTTCATCTTTTGGTTCATTTGTATAGTTTATTTACTCTTGGTGGCTTGTGGCTGTGAGTTTAGTATTCGTATGTGTACACATATATTTTGTTTCTGTTACTGCGGGGAAAAAATATTATTACATTCCCCCCTAACTCTGCAATCCCAATGCAAACATCATCAACAAGTCAGACTATTCAGCTGTTCGGTTCTTTCAGAGCAGAGAAAACAAACCCGGCCAAACAAAAAGTTGGCCACAGTTTAAGTTCTGTAAATTTCTGGGGCCGTCCGATGCAAATCACCTCCTAACACGTCTTTGTGCCCCCATCATTGTAATTCTGTTTCATGAACAATAGCTGGTGCAAAACGGATGAGAAGCTGATTACAACCATTCAGCGCTCCCCAGATCTCCACCTCTTTGATTTGAAAGGCTATAGCTGCAACAATCATCGAGGTCAACGTTAAAGAACGGCGCATGTATGATTAAATTTTTTCTGTTCATTTCTCGCTTTGTCCTCCAGCTTAGCATCATGTTCCAGCGCTCAAAACATCTCATAGTTTGAGGTCTTTCTGTCCCCAAAGTTGTTTTATTCTAAAAGAGACAGGAACAAGAGGTCTCTATTCATTTAATTGTGGAAATACTTAATTTTAATACAGTCAATTTGTTTGTGTATCTGAGAGCTATGTGGTGACTCTGTAAGGTCAGTTTACACAACACAGCCGACAAAGAATTAGTCTACTAATGACAGGTATTGGTATAATTAAGGGCATAAAAACCTACCAGACACCCAAACTATACCAAACAACAGCTTAACACTCAGAATTTAAAATTTTGGAATGCATGATGATTATGAGTGAATAAAATACTGGATATACATCACAAAGTCATCTGCAAAGAGTGTCAAAGCTTTCATAATGTCAAATAATGGCTTTTAAAGGCTCACTTTAAGCATTTTAGACATAGGCATCTTGTAATTTGGCACCCAAAGTTTTAATGTTCAGGCAGTGGAGTAGAGAAGAAGTGGCTCCGACATAAATACCAGATCATTAAATTAATAATGCATCATGCAGTGTATCACTAAACCCCCAATTGGAACAAAAATCTTTAAATAAATATTTAGAAAAAGTATAATTTTTTTCATAGACAGCGAAGTTGCCCCCTGCTGGGAATGAAAAGGAATGCAGGTTTAAGACACTTGGCTTTACTTTTTAGACTAACTGGGGGGTCATGTAAACTTTTTTTCACGCTCCCATCCAATTAAAAACACCTTTTTTCCTTTCTTGTGCATAGCTATACTTCAGTTATCTTACAGCCTAGCAACACTTAAATGTGGTAGCAAAAAGGCCTAAAAGGCGTGCACACAAAACCACTCCCATGTCTGTCCTTCAGGAGATGCAATTTCTTCCTTTGCTATTCAGCCAACCACATCAGATTACTTATTAAAGGTAGAGAAGTAAGCGAAAAACATGCCATATCACTTGAAAAAATGCTGTTTTGACCATGACTTCAAGAATAACCACCTCCAGTTTATGTCAAAATTCTGGATCATATGTTTAGTGCACTGGTGCTGGTTCTTCTGGGGCATTCGCCATGTTTGATATGGTGTTTTTCTGCCTCTGCATCTGTCAGCACAAGTCTGCACCCGTCTCTCTTAGGAAACAAACAGGCAACCTATCAGCTTCATATGAATTTGCATTAATAAGTTAATTAACAGAAGCATTCAGTACTTCTGTGAAAATAGGAAACTGCATTAAAGTGTGAGGAATACAGAATATACAGAGTTCTGAGATTTTTCATTTCCTGGTTAAATTGGGTTGAATAAGTTTAAATGAAATGAAATCAAGCAGAAGTTCAGAGCATCAAGTCAGTGTTTCTTTTTTTTTCTGTAAAAGCAGAATATTATAAAAGTGTTGTTTCCAAACTCAAGAAGAACATTAAATCCAACTTCTCTTTTTCTAATACTTCTCAAAAGTATCACTCAGTGGTCTCCAAACATGTATCGCTGAGATGGATTTTCCTCCCTGCTCCTCTCTGCAGCAGCTAATTCCTCCTCTGGCTGACCAGCTGGGATGAAACCCTTCACAGAAATAACCTGTCCGACTCACTGCTCTGATCTGTCTCTGCTTCTTAACCTCATGGTGACTCGCTGAGGGAACACATATCTCTTGTTGCCCTGTTGTTGGTAACCCCTGCCTTCTTCAGGTGCAATAATTTGGAAAATCCCACAGCTCTGAGGCTGTCTACTTGCTAGGTAATGGGACTTTAAAATGACTACCACATGCTACCTGTGCAACATGCCCCACTGCTCCACAACACAGTATCAGGAGATTATCCCCCGGCGTACAGTGAATCCTTATCTTAAGGTTTCAGTTGGGATTATTTCGCTTGGTGTTTTGGAGGCTCCAGTAGGAGAGAAGACCTGGTGATGCAATGAAACACAACCCCCCATAATTGGCTACAACCCCCAAGGCAGATATTTTAAGAGCTTTTATGATTTGCAGTATAATCACTGTGAAGAAAACCAGCTTTTGGTTGTAGAATTAAGAAATCTGTGAATATTTGTCCCTATCTTTGTCATTTTTTTAAAGTTACAAATCACAAAACAGTTCAGATAATTACTATCCTGCACTGCTGCTTAAACTTAATTTCTTAATAACTGAATGAGCACAGAATGAGCACTGAATGAGAATGGTCTGGTTAGCTCATACCTATACTTAGGGCTAGACGATATGGGAAAAGGTTTATCATGATATATTTTTTTCATATCGGTGGATATCGATTTGTATCACGTTATAAAAAATCACTCAATCTTAAATGTTTCCTGTTACTATTAAATGAAATAAAGTTATATCTCAGTTTTGAAGAAATAGAGTCTCAGATTTAGGACCATAGTTAGGACCACAACTGAGCAGACTGAAGGGCGAGCAGACTGTATCTTTTAGCAAGGATGTTTAAGGCGTTAACTCCACCTCTTTCTCTGTTGTTGGGTTGGTCCTCCATTTTTGACACCCTCTGAACTTTGTGCTTTCTGTTTGCTTTTGTGGCCATACCTGCATTTGTTGCATCCTTTTTCATTCAGGTCACTCCCTGATTGGCTATTTTCCTGGTCCTCATGACAGTCCACAAAGTGATCGCTCGGCTGCTCTTGGGGTTCCTCCCACTCAACAGCAAATCAGACTGTAACTGTTGTTATTAATAAATGTGATATTTACAATTTCAAGCCAGGGTGACTCTGATCACTGTCTTAGCAGATTTGATGAAGTAAAATTACAGGAAAATCTGAGGAGAATCTCTCAAGATTAACTTAAGTACTGAGAAAATAGGACTTGGTTGACTTTTGTTATGAGGGAGAGAAAGGGCCCCAAATCAGATTATTCTCCTCAAACCACTTGAGGGAGTAATTAGAGAAGTTTTATATATTTCATCACAACGTGTCGTTTCATCATTTTTTATTTTGATGTATTTTACAACCAACGACATAAATTTTCATCTCAATTTGTTTCCCTGCAGTCAAGCCAATTTTCCTATTTTTCTCAGTGAGATTCTTTTCCTTTGTGGCAATTTTGGAGCCGGTGCATCAATAAGTTTTCACTGTGATGAGTAAAAGCTGTGTTGTTGTAGTGAATGTATCTAAAGATTTGAGGGAGAATGAATTAGACTTTATTTTGACTCAGAAAAATGGATGTGATTTGTTTCGACCTTGTAGCTGCAGTCTCTAAAGTTGTTGTCAGAACTCATTTCACACATTAATTCAAATGCATATTTATGCTCTGATGTTTGCCCTTTCTGAGGATTTCTGCATCATATTTCCATTCATTATACATTCATTGGTCGTTGAAATAAATACATATGGTGTGATTAGTCAGAAAGTCTGCAAAGGTTATTCTTGTAGTCAGAAAATTCTGCTGGTTAAATATAAAAACGGGAATATAGACACCTACTGGATCACGTTTGGGGAGAAAGAAAAACCTGTCGCTTCATTTCTTTTGTAGCTGAGCGCATGACTCAGAAAACTGGCACAGCATAACCAGAACGAGCCAAGAAATTCTCCACCATGGCAGCACATCAGCTTCCACAGGTGACACAGAGACTTCCTGTTAATTTCCACAGCAGGAATAGTTAAATGCCATCCAAACACGCACTAAATCAAGCCTGGTAGAAGCGCTTCAATCCAATATACATAATCTGTGCAGGAGAATTAGTGTATTTACCGACGTCTGTGTGCACATGTGCATTCTTGTGTGTATTTCTCTGGTGCTGCACAGAGGGATGCTTGACTCCCAATAGATGTCATTATTTTCCACTTGCAAGCTCTCATCCCAGCATGACTGCAGAGGTATTTTTATTATTCCGTCTGTGTTATTTTCTGCGTGCATGTGTGGATGAGTGTGCAGCGCTGTGAAAGAGGGAAGGAAGGAGGTGTGCACGTTTTTTTTGCGTGTGTTCATGTGTGGGCGCGCGCCTCACAAAGTGATTGAATCTTTCAAAAAAGTTCCCGGCGCCTTCTTGTGCTTTCTGGTTTGCTGAAAAATATGAGAATTTCTCATTTCCTACTTAAATTTCTGCCACAAAGACGCTTTGGTGCATCAAATGTCAGAGTGTCAAGGGAATCAGTTGAAGTCACTGGCACAAATACAATCTTTCATCTGGTTCAGGAGCTGGCTTTTGAATTAACTCTGTGCAGGGTGACTGTCTATCAGGCGGGCAGAGGAGAGTTGGAGGGGATACAACCGAGAGGGGAGAGATGATGGGATTAATTTTATCTGCAAAAGTGTCTAGAAGGTGTTAAAATGGGCTTTTGTGAGCGCCGCACCTGGAAAAAAAAAGCAGCCGAGCGTGTGCTGTGTTTCTGTCAGAGTCTGATCAGCACCATGGACAGCTCCCTGCTCACTGCACCATGACTCCAGTCCTCATCCTTCATTTTCATCTCATTTCTGAACAATTAGTACGGGGAAGTAAATCAAAGAGGAGCTGAATGAATCTGAAGCCAACTGTTCCCACGTTGAATCAAGGCTGCAGCAGGATATGATGTGTACTAAACAGGACGAGGCCTCTCAGGTGGTTACTAGATCTAATGTGAGAACTTTCGGTAACACTTTACTTGACGCATATCTCTATAACGTATCATAAATATATGTATAATGTGTATAATGGGGGGGCGATCAGACGATTTTTTTATGAAGTATATATATAAATACTGTAGATGTAGGCTACTGCTTATTGTATATTTCACAAACTGGTTTATTTACCGTTGAGGTGGACCATTCTCCTCCGTGCGTCCCTGAGCTGCCTGCTTCAGATCCGTCACTCTGCTGTGCTGTGAGGTAGTTAGTGGATGAAGACTGTCATGAAGTTGCTGCACCATCTACAGGATAAGAACCTTTCAAATGGCGAATATTTTCGAGGTGAAACTGAATCTTATTCTCTGGAGTATATTTCTGAAAATATCGGCAAAAATGGGCGAGTTTTGGCCGATCACAGATTAGTCTCAAACGGGCTAAAATTGACCGAAAATTTAATCGGCTCGCCGATAAATCGGTCGAGCCCTAATCGTAACACATTTTAAAGCATTATATCATGATTCACAAGGTCAGGTATTATAATGTGTTATTTTGTTGTAATAAAGCCTTATGACAATTAATGAGTGTTTATAACGATAGTTATACAAGTTTATAAGCAAATTATAACACATCACTAAATTAGGTATAATGCATGGATGGATGGATGGATGGATGGATGGATGGATGGATGGATGGATAGATAGATAGATAGATAGATAGTGGTCATATAACATATGCAATCATATAACACATCAATAATTCAGTTATAAAATAGGAAGAATATTGCAGTGGTTTTGCATTTCTGTGTGTTACATTTCCTAAGAGCAGTCTATCGCCCGAGGGAGAAAACTGTGTCTTAGCCTGTTTGTACATACTCGCATGATCCTCAGTCAGCCTGGGGGGAAGAGTAAAGTGATTGTCCAGGGTGAGTCGGGTCTCTGAGGATCCTTTTTGTGCATCTCGGCAGGGAGTAGAAGTCCTCTAGCTTAAGAAGAGGAGATCTGATTATCCATTGTGCTGTTTTGATTACATGCTGCAGATTCTAACAGTCTGTAGCACTGCAGCTGGAAAACTTCACTGTATGTACAGTACGTCAAGGTGGTCTCTGTGGAGCAGTGGTAAAAGTTCATCGACTGCTGTTTGGGCAGTTTGCAGAGATTTACACAGCCTGATTAAAAATACGTTTGACTCAGGAATCGATTCTTTCTCCTTATAACACGCCTGTTTGTAAAATATCAAGTTTCATAGCTATGTGGATTTGAGGCGTGGCTATGCATGTGGATGGACAGGTGCAATGTAACTGTTTTCTATGAGACTATTGGCTTCAAAACTCCTCTTCAGAGAACTTGCAAAAACTCTATTGTTTATGTTAATTCCAATAAATTCTAGTTTGACAACAGGATGAGGCATAATGTTAAATGAATAAAGGAAACAAGTAGAAATAGCCTACAGATGAATTTCTCAGTGATGCCTGCTACACCAATACATCAATAGACCGATAAGCTCAGCTAATTTGGTGATAAACACATTTCATATTTCATTGACTCCTTAAAATAAAAGTCCCTTATTCTTCTGTCGTTGGAGTTAGGGCTGGGTACAGCTCCGTTTTTAAAAGTTATTTGGGGGTTCATGTTTTCTATGATTGACACCTGATACAGCCTATTGGCGTTCAGGGATTGCGTAGCTCTCCCGGGGGATACGCTGTTTGAGCCGAGCGTCATCACAGCGACTCTCCTGCCAAATGCACACAATGATACTGTGCAATGCTGGTTTCAGGAAATGGAGAGCTTTTTGGCTTCAAATCTGTATACAGGCGGGAGGTGAAACCAAGTTGTCCATAGTATATACGGTCCATGGTTCTAAATTAGCCTGCTGGTTTTCTGATAGAGCAAAGTTCATCATAGACATAGAGATAAGTATTAAAAGGATTCAAACAGTTACTAACAACTAACTTTATTGAGTTAACAATGACCTCCTCATTGAGATTACCTATTCGTGCTAAAATTAGATAGTTTACTCTTTCTGCAAGGAAAAAAAAAGACTCTTTTATTGATTCCAGACAAACCGGCAGAAGCTTTCATCTGTGAATTCTGGCTTTGTTTCACACACTCTGCACTCTTACATCACCGAGGAAAAAAAGAAAATAGGGATATGAAAAGCCCCCAAATCTCCTAAATTGGCATCAGCAGCTCTGACAGGATTTAAAATGACCAGGATTGTCACCAGCAATAATCATGCCAGAGGAGCCAGTGTGGATAACCTTTTCAGGCGACTGGTTTGCTCCAGAGGAGCTGGACTGAGGCCTGGTCCTTGCTATGAATCTCCCATGGCTTAAAGGTCATGAGGGCTCATGACATACTGAAGCCTAAATATTGCAATCAGTGTCACAGGGTCCCTTAGCACCTCATTATCTCCTCCAAATTCTTTAAAAGCTATTCAAAGTCAAATTGATGTGTATAATGTGTTAATTTATCTGTGTTGTAATATTTTAAAGCTCTAATGAGGCTAACCAAATGGGGCCACAGATGGCCTGACAACAGTTTTACACAGCGGAGAAGCTGTATCACAGACATCTGAGGTCATGGAAATAGCTAATGCTGAAATTCCCAATAACTTTATTGACCAAAGAGACCTTTCCACTGGCAAACTGTACATAGACACAGGTCTCTAAAGTCTTGGTCAGACATCACAGAAGTAAACTTTTCTCATCATCTTGCCTCCAGCCTTCGTCCTCCGGTGTTGCTCCTCTTTCCCGTCCTCCAGCTCGCCTTTGGTTTGTTGTAGGTCAGATATTTTAGGCGCACTGCTCCAATAATCAATAATCAGTTCTGCTTTTTCTTTGTCCTTCTGGTCCCCAGTTGTTCTTTATCCTCCTCTTTCAGAAGTCACTCTGCTGTATTTTTCAGATCTATGTCTGCTGCACGGCTGTTTTCTCTTTTTATTGGGCTAATAAGCTGTTTTACAAGCGAAATCATCAATGTCCATTTTCTGTATGTGCAAAAATCATTCCCACCCTCTCCCTCACTAATGATAAAAAATGAAATGTCTACTTTCCGGATAAAGCTAAATAAAACTAAAATCTATTTCTATGTTCGGCTGCTATTTACTGCGTCCAGAGTGTTTATATTGGGGCAGAAGATGAGCTTGTTCAATAAAAACACATCCATGAGTCTATAACTTCTTTTAATGGTCTAACACTTCACCTTTTGCAGGATTTCACTGGGCTGCAATTTGTAGTTGCACTCAGTTTCACATCAGTTTTTATATCAGGAGCAGCAAAAAGGAGCAATAAACCCCCGTAAATGAGTCAGCAAAATGGGCTTTTTGTTTTAAGTCTTGACAAATGGTGGTTAACTCGAGCTGAAGGGATTTTCAGGTTTTGTTCTACCAGATAAAACATGTCAGCAAACATCCCTCCTGTGAAATGGAAGCTTTTCCCCGTCTGGAGAAAAAAAAGACAATTGTTGTAAAGTGGCAAAATAAGACTTAATAAAAGATGGCAGGTAACCCAACTGTCACTCACCGAGCTGCCGAAACTAAAAGCAGAGCTGCGTTTGAGCTGAGCTGTGTGTGGGGTGGATGTTATTGCTTTTGTGTGGCTTGTTCGCTGCTTTGTCCACAGAGGGTACAAACATTAAAACAAAACAAAAGGTGGCCTTGAACAAAACTCGAGACTGCTGTAACACCTAAATCTGGAAAACCTCATCTGCATTTTGTCAAAGAATCAAGGTGGTTTCTAACTTTTGTGCTGATCTATGCCAAAAAGTCTTCGCTGTAGCCTTCTAGACCTATTTCAGGTCTAGGGGCATACGTATAAAGAGAGTGTGTGTGTCACCTGCCTGTATTTGCATATCCAAATGTCAAGTTCAGATATGCACTGGGATGTCACGTCTCATTAATGCAGAATACTTGTACAATGTCTCAGAAACTTTGTAAACTCCTCGGTTTAAAGTTTCAGGGAAAATAGAAACGACGTTTCACTTTTTCAAACCTTTAGCTTGTTAAAAATCAGCCTGACATGAAACTTTATTTACAGAATAGTAAGTGTAACAAATAGGTGTAAATTTTGATGAACACGAAAACTCCTCTCTCACATGAAGAAAAGGAGATGTTAATTAAGAGGAAAATCAACGGGGGGAATAACTGATCATGAATATTTCTACTCTTATTAGTCCATGATATTACACCTCACGACTTATGATTTTGTCAGATGGTGAATATGAAAAATGAAAAATCTGATGAACTTGGGGGTTATCCTCTATTTTATTGCTTTTATGAGAGTTATGATGGATATTTTATGCTTCGTACTCATGTACCGACCGGAAACCGGTCTATGTTTATGATCTGTCTCAAGGCTCGCCTTAAATGGGGTACACAGTACAAGATCATCTTGCTGATTTTGCCCCTTTCCAACCAAAGTCAGTGAAGGCCTGATTATCAGATGGTTTTAAAGGTTATCTTTCCAGATCACACTGCAGAAGGATTTTGACATTTTACAAGGGGAGTGCTAAAGCGTCAGCGGGCTCCCGTAAAAGTCGAAAAATAACATGAAGAAAGCAAGACAAGTGTGGTGTGGGACCATTCCAAGCTGAAAAATGATAAAGTTTGCTGCAAACACTGCGATGCTGTGTACAAGTCCAACACGACAACGACCCCAATGATGTACTACTTGAACCTTATACATCCAACTGAGGTTAATGAATCCTCCGAACCTTCTTAGTCTCAACCTGCCATCAGATCCTTGACAGTCCCCATCTTGGATGACTTGTCCCCGGCTAAAGTTGTCACCAGAAATGTTTCTGATTTTTTGTATTTCAATAAGGAAAAACACCTTTTTTTGCGTATTTTCAATTAAATTGATGAATGATCGTTAATCCATCCATTTTCTACCACTTATTCCTGTTCCAGGGGTCGCAGGGGGGGCTGGAGCCCATCCCAGCATCTTCAGGCGAAGGCAGGGGACACCCTGGACAAGTCGCAAGTTCATCACAGGGCTGATATATAGAGACGAACAATCATCCACGCTCACATTCACACCTATGGGCAATTTGGAAGTGGCCAATTAACCTAACCCCACTTAGGCATGTTTTTGGGATATGGGAGGAAACCGGAGTAAACCCATGCAGACACAGGGAGAACATGCAAACTCTACACAGAAAGCCAGATTTGAACCCGGGACCGTCTTGCTGTGAGGCGACAGTGCTAACCACTACACCACTGTGCCACCCATGATCATTAATATATATATATATGATTAATCTCAAGGCACTCTCTTAAAATGCCTATTCCTAATTAAGAGTAAATTTTCTTCGCTCCAATCTACGCTGAAGACGATCAAAACCACCAAACTTGGAATAGTAAATATTAAACAAGTTCAGTATCTGTCCATTTTCCTGTCGAACAACTCAATCAATTCAAAAAGGAAGAAGGAAGTACAACAAATGTAAGTACGGCAACGATACAAACAGAGACTGATGTCAGAAATGTAGGATCCATTTGTTGATCCACAGCAACAAGACCAGCGTTTTCACAGCATGTTTGGGAAAATGTTTGCGAAAATGATAAGGAGAGGCGTAGAAAAAAAAGAAAGCTAAGCAGTTAGCGACAATAAGATCACATAGTCTGCCATGTCTTGTTTACTCTAAAATCACTCTAAAATGCGTTTGGTTTGAGAGGTGGGACTCTGGTTGCTCTTTCATTGTTAAACCTAAGGGATGTGAAATCTGAGCTGCTGCATTGTCAGTGATATTTGATAAGGAAGCATGTCTGTTAGTAAAAAACATGTCTATGAAGGCTGGTTTAGAGTATCCTCTTCTGTCACTCCTCCAGTTTCCCTCCTTTATCCTCCCTCCTTTCTCTACACGTTCACCAAGGACAGACTGGCCTAGCTCAGGGCTTTAGGATCCAGAGATGGTCAATAGAAGTAGATGTGTAAGAAATCCGATAACCTCATCGTATATAATCAGCCCTTTAAAAACAGAGCTGGAGTTCATGAAGTTTGTGCACCTCTCTTGGCCTTGATGAGACAGGGCGCGTGTGAGGTGAACAAGTATTTGTGTGCTTATGACTCAGACTTGGACTCAAACTGTGACTGCATTCAGACGGTGAAGAAAATAGAGCGGTGAACTCAGACTTAGTAATACAAACTTGTAGCTTTTCTGAAAAAAGACCCTCATAATTTAGGAGATCCTGCCGGGATCCTGAAAGAGGTGCCCCAAATTGTGCATTTTGCTTTCAGCAATTTTTCAGCATCTTTACACTATTTTTTAATCCAATACTTAAACCATCAAATTCTGTTTTTATCAACATTTCTCACAAAGTCCCAACTCTTATGAAACTAGAGTTGTACATAACTGTGATGGCCTTTTAGCCTTTGCACTTACTCTCAACTCCAGACCTCAAAACTGTGTCTAATTTTATGTTGAGTAACTCTCTGCAGTAGAGATAGAAGAAGAGAGAAAGAGAGAGAGAGAGAGAGAGAGGGAACGACTGGGAGGGCAGAGATGGAGAGAGCAGTCAGCAGAGAGACAGATAGAAAGTGAGACAAAAGAGAGGGAGAGCAGCAGGCAGAAAGAGATGGATAATGAGGACAGACAGAGCAGAATATTTCTCCTCTGGAATATTTCACACTTCACATAATATTTCATTCGTCCCGTCAGAGTCCTGGGTCTGAGATCCTAGCCAGGGCAGACAGATTGACAGACTATTTTTCATCAGCCATGCTTTTCCACCCCGGCTCCCGCAACTGTAAACCTCTCTCTAAATGACTGCCATAAATCCTCCACAAATCCACATGTATTTCTGCCATATTCCTGGTGACAGCTGATTATTTCTGCTGCGGCTAATGTGTGTGTTCACAACTAGAGTGTATTAATCTAAATAACATAATCAAATCGACAGAGCCATCAGCGTTTAGTGGGAGTGGAATGATTCATTGTTATAATGAATGAGAGGTCATTTAGGAATCAGAATAAGTTTCCTGACCTGGAAAAACTCAATAATTACTTTATAGAGTCCCCAGTGATTTATAAAATCATATTTTTAAAAGATATACGGCGTGTAATTACTCGGGTCTGGCTAGATTGACCATTTATGGCAGCTAGCAAATGTTGCTACATCAATCAAGAAGCAGTTCACAGTGGCAGTGGCTGGTTTTATATTGATACCTATTTAAAACTTTGGGGATTTTGTAATGAGATGACTGAAAACAAAAGCAGGATGCTGAGTTTAACCTGCTGACCTACAATCAACCTGCTGAACTGGGACTGTTGCTAGTTTACTTCATCAGTTAGCTTGCCCGCTGTTTACCCCAACATCGTCTCAAACTAACTTTTACTGCTTCTGTCGAATACTTAACATTTTCACACAAAAATCTCCAGATGAACCAAAAGTGCCTTTTAAACTCTTTCACATTGCTAAAGCTAAAGTAGCCCCCAATTACCACTGCATCCGGAGCGGCAATTTTCACTGTCCGCCAATTCCTACAGGGTGCATTTGTGTGGCGAATTTTGTGATGGATTTTGGACGTCAAGAATCGTGAAAACTCCAAAAAATTAGAGGATTCCGTCCTTTCAGCGGAGGAAATCCACTTCTAGACTTCTTGAATCAGCATCTCCTCATTCATGGTGTAAGTCAGGTCCGCCGCGCCTGCGGCACGTCTCCAGCAAGGCACAAAAATAGAGCCCAATGACTCTAATTAACTACATGTAAGGTTAAAAGAGGTTTTAAGTCGCTTAAATGAATGTCATGGAGATGTTAAATCACAGGTTATTGCTTTTAGTAATCATGGTGTCAATCAGGATTATGGTGATTTTTGCCATTATCGAGCAGCCCTACATTATTGAGCTGTTTGAAGCAGACACTCATCTTTTGACACCTTTAACATTTGGACATTTACACCTTCACTGTTTTGTTTCATGGTTTTGGAAACACTATGACAACATCATGCTGAACATCTTAAATAACCACCACAGTAGATATGTCACATGTAAGTACTGCCACCTAAAGGAATAGTGAAAAGAGAAGGGGAACATGTGTCCCAGCCTCTGAAATCCATCCCTAAAATTGGTTATAGCAAAGTAAGATGATTATAATGATGTGCTGCCTGTCTTAAATGACCCTGTGACCTTTCTTCTACTCTCCAGGCCATAATATCCCCAGAGTCTTCATTATACTGTGCTGGAAGAGCAGAATTAATAATCTCGTTTTCTAAGCGCATTGCTGCATTTCATCCTGCAGCTCCAATCTCCTGCAGAGGGGAGTTGAGCACACTCAAAAACTCTCGGCTCTATTTAATCATCAGTCTTTGCTAAACTATTTGTGATACCCTCGTATAATCAGTGTAAACACATGACATCATGGTAGGGATGATTGGTCATGTGAACCTTGCACCAGTGATGCTGCCCCGGCTAATGTTTCTCCAAATTAAGACTCTTATTTTCCTCAGACCGATAATCTTTAAACCCTTTCAGCAGGGCGTAACTCTTCTTCTCAATGAAAAAGATGATCCCTCCTCTAACAGATATTTTCTCTGCTTTTTCACTGAAGAGGATAAACAGCTAGAGAGTGATTTTCCATCTGTCTTTTACTCCTTCTACCATCTGCCTTTGTGGGTAACTCTCAGGCATTTATTTTGTCTGTGCTGGAAGAACATTAATCTCTTCCTGGTTTGTGTCAAAACACATCTCTCGTCAAATTTGACCCAGCATGTGATGGAGGCTGCCAATCGTCCTCTACATGCTCTCGCTCATTTATGGTTAATATCCTCAAAACAGCCGGCCAGATACAAACCGACTGCAGCTAAATGTTGGTGCACTCGTCTCTCTTCTGGCTTCAGAGGACCAAATGTTAGCCAGCCCTGGCTCCTGTTCCTGCCAGATTTGGCTAAGATGTTGGGGTGCAGAGTTTGGCGGGAAAACAGCTCCAGTTAGCAGCACTCAAGCTGGTGTCAACACCTGGAAGAGGACCAATAAAACCTGGGACGATTTGGGGATGTAATTCCTCCCCAGTCTGGCACATAAGCAAATTTTGGCCTCCTGAGCTTAAGGCAGAAAAAAGCTTAATGTGTTAGAATAGATTCACGGATAATGTTCAATGTTCTTCAGACCAAAAGAGATAAATTCTAATTTTTCATTTTGTGGCAGCAGCTTTTGTTTTTATTAACAGTGAGGGAAAAAATGGTTGATTTTCCCTCTACATTTATGAACAACTTGTTTTCAATCACTAAATTAAATTTGAGTTAATGAACAGCCAGTTACTCACCGTTTTAAACAACAAAAGTCATAACCTTGAACATTAAACACAAATTAGTTTTCCATTAACGACTTCCTCGTATCTGCCATCCAAGCCCTTACACTCAACTCAGCAGAAGTCAGCAAGGTTAATCTGCGTTATTGAAAAGACACCGAGGCAATCATGCATTCAACAACTTATGTATGGATTTAAGTATGAAACATAATCAGGTGTACATTATTTTCAAAAAGAACCACTTGATTGACACCCTTGAGATGTTTTCATGGGGTCCCATCAACTATTTTGATATGAGACTAGTCTGTGACTATTGAAACGATTATTTGACTAATCAGAAAATATCTTGCCAAGGCTAGTCTAAATGTTCATCCAACATTCCAACGTGCCTTCTCCTGAAATGTTCGTGCATCACCGATGTACTGCCATGATGCGCAAGGTCTGCTTTGCAAACCATGCATGTTTTTTCTTCTGCCTTATCTAGGCAACAGTGCTCCCAAACTTTTTTAAGCGCGTGCTCGTAGCTGCTGTCTAGGACGCCAGCACCGCCACGTTTGAATACCGTACCGCTCATTGGTAGGGTATTCAAACATGGCATTCAAACATCCATTCAGCTCTAGGCAGAGATCGTAATGAAGTAAGATGCCTCACTCCACTGGAAAAAATACGTCTGGTGACAATAGACAATGGAATTCATTGTCGACGTTTTTCAACTAATATCGACTAATCGTTGCAGCCCTAGTCCCAACAGAAACCTCTCTCCCAACATGACAACAAAAGTTTGGCTATGTCAAGAAAACCAAAAGAAGATTTATTCAAATCTTTGAACAATAGACTGACAACATAAAACCTCATTCATAGAAAAGACAACAGGACCAAAAGACGGCTAAAGTTTCAGGAAATGTTGAATAAAAGGGGTGTGGCTGGTGTATGAGTAATGGCAATCTCAAAGTAAGAATACAGAGCATTTTAAAACACACTGAATAATGACATGGATCCAAAGTGAACTCGTACATTTTCAAAACAACAGGAGCGTTAAACCTAAAAGATTATTTTGCCTCTGCAGTCAGCAACCATCTATAAAATGTTGCTCTGCAGTAGGGCTGTAAAGTCCTTGTTGAATGGTCAACTTAATTGGTCAATACGTGCTGAGTTGACCAAAATTCTGATTGGTCGAATCGATTTCTTTCTGCGTCAATTTACAGTCTATGGTTAATTTCATTGGGAGGAACACGCCAAGTGCTAATGGGGGTGTTTTCAGAGCACCTACATTTCACAGGTAACAGCTTGTCTCAGAACACCCCCTTGTTTTCACCATTTTAGACTCGCCCAACCCACTGGAGTCTGGCTGGAGACAGGAAGATCGAAGAGCGTCCACGTCAATCAATGTCCGGTGGTTTGCTGAATATTTATACTTATTTTGCGCATTTTAACCTGCCTTTGTGTTTAATTGCCTTCTTGTGCTGATATCAAGATATTATCGCCCCGCCAAGCCGCATTTCGCCAAGCCGCATTCCGCCTAGCCACGTTCCCCCAATTGGTCGATTTTTGGTCAAAAACTTTAGGGTTTTAGTCAACCAAGAATCTCTTTGGTTGATTACAGCCCTACTCTGTAGAAAACAGGATGTAAATGAAGCTCAACATCTTGTTTGCAGACATTTAACTTCTTTACAGCTCCTCCTTTTCCTCAAGGTGACAGAAATGTCAGACATCATCTGAACTGAACAGCCAACTCTGCAGTCCGTCCTTGCGCTCACGATTTTGTCAGGAGGGACTGACTCGGCAGATAAACCCGCCAGACTTCGTGACATGGATATTTAACCCAGGAGCCACCTTCTCAGTGGCATCCATGTTTCTGTCTCTCTCTGTTAAAGATAACCATGACTCTGCGGCAGCTAATTTCACTGTCACATTACATGACAGTGTCAGTGTAGCAAAGCGCTGTAGAACAAAACTGAACAACAGGGGAACCTCTCTCCAACAATCTGAGTGTCTCCAGCCAGACCCTTTGGCTGAGCTGGTTAGTATGGTGATTCTTAGCTGGAGGTTAAATGAGGAGAAGACTTTCCTTGTGGGATGGGACCAGGCGTGTGCTCTGGCTTCTTACCACGTGAAATATTAACAAGGCCGGGACTGAGGAGGAACAGCAGCTGCACGGCCGTGGCCTCTGCACAACGTGAAGACACAAAGACAGAATAAAAAGAGACTTTGAGGATAAAGAAAAAAAAGGAGAGAAGCTGCAGAGCAAACGGTGCTTTGTACAACTTCATGGCTGCAAGAAAAAATGGTTGAAATTCAGAGAAAGAAAATCTGTGAACTGTTTCTTGGTGACTCATGACTGAACCCAGTCATCCGACACCTTTGATGAAGTGTTAAACAGGTAATTAATCAGTAATTTTAAACTGATTTTAATTTAAAGTAACCTTCTGAGCTGTTTGCTGCATGTGAGTCAGACTAAGCTCAGTGCGATGTGATGCAACAATCCTGCAACGGAGACTCACAGAGGGTAGCGCGCAGAGTACGTCGCTTAAGTATGCATCTCTTGTATTTTTAATAATCCTCCGAAATTAACTGTGAGCTGTGTAAGTCCTACGTCTGGGCCTAAGTAAACCAGAAGCGGGCGTAGACTCAGCTCTGGTGTTGCAGAGTTTTCTGCCTCTTTGAGGAGTAACAGTAATTCTCATATCAGCAAATTGTGTGCTGTTTTTACCACTTCAAGCAGAGAGCTGAATCCAGATTTGTAGTACAACAAGTACACTTGACATTTGTTTACTAGAGAACGCCAAACAGAGAGGAAAAAAAACAGAGATAAGGTAGCAGAGGAGAGAAGAGGATATGAAATGTAACAAAGGATGGAAATTGGATTTCAATCTGCCATATTTCAAGTTCAGCCTTGTGGTATATGCCAGCTCCTTTTTTCTTTTTCCTACTTTGTTTTTAATCTTGACTTTTCACGAGCAGAGCTGGAACAAAGCATCTCGCCGCTTAAATGTCTAATTTACCCTCAGACATGTACAGGGAGCCGACTCAAGAGCAGGAGTGCGCTTCGTAAACGAGGAGGCAGGGGCCAAATGAGGCTGGCTGATTGCTATTCTGAACCGAGGCGTTGTGCAGAAAGGAAGACGAGACTGGGAAGGGAAAGCCGCACACTGACAAAAGAGGTAGACGTGAAGTGTCTGTGTGTGTCTGTGTGTGTGTTAGCAGGTAAAAAGGTGTAAAAAGGAGATGTAGGCCACAATTACTGCAGAGATTCATTCTCATGCTCATATGTAGTATTTCACTCTCTCTCCCGTCACGCACAAAGATACTGTCAGCGAGCTGTCCCGTCTTTTCAAAGATGATTTTAAAAGAGATTAAAAGAGAGAACCAGATTTCTCCACACTCCCCTGTTGCTATGGTGACGCCAAATTGAGTCACTCCTTCATTCTCTCCCTTTCTTATGGTCAAATCATCAAATCAACATGTAGGTGCAGTCCTGAACAAGGAGGAAGACTAACTGCAGGGCGTAGGGTGTGTGTGTGTGTGTGTGAGTGTGTATGTGTGTGTGCACGTGTGTGTGAGATAGAGACACTCTTGTTATCCTTTCTCACTATGCCGCCTGGCGCTCCTTGTTGTAGTGACAATGAGGGGGGTGTGGATGAATCAGACTGGTGTGATCTCATGTGAGGGGCTTCCTCACACCACTGCTGCCAGGATCTGACAACCGTGTATCTGCAGAATTCCTGTTTTTCTGGGTGACAATGCCAACAGATTTCTGAAACGTGAAGTTAACAATCATGTCGTGTATCTTTTTTTCCCTGACCATTACTTCTCAAGTTTGTTTGCCCTGAAGGAGTGCACTGCCATTTTTGAGGGATTTGAGTCAATCAAGGGAACACATATAAGTAAGATAAGGATATGTCAAGGTCACCGTCAGCAAGCATGTTTCATCCAGCCCCCCTGCTGGATGGAATTCCCCAGGGTTTGGTTCTTGGACCAGCCCTTTTCTTCCTGGACATGCATCCTCTCGGTCATCTGTTCAGTCGATTCCTGGATATGACACACACTTTCATTTTTCTGCAAATCCCAATAATCTCGATCTTTTTATAGCTGTCTTTCTGTTGTGCATAAGTGATTATCAGACACTTTCACTACTTCTGTTCAACAGCTTATAGGTAGATAGGCAGTGATCCTGTCTAATAATTTACTGTATGTTTTATTTGTTGCCATACCATGATATATACCACTAAAGGCAGAAAGACATTGATTTACTTCTTTAGTATTTATATCCATCTATAGAGCCGGCACAGTCAGTGGAGCTCTCCTTGTTCTTCCTGTAAATCAGTGCGGCTCATTCACACCTACATGTTGCTCTGTTTAATTCTCAGATCCCCTCCTTCTGCCAGTATGGGAGTCATCTCTTTACTGTCTTTCCTCTCATTTTTGTAAGTAAAGGAAAATTTATTTTCTGTTGCTTTTGCTGAGCAAACTTGACAGTATTCAGGCCCTAGTGTTTTCTCTGTGTCGCCATGTTGATTTTGGAGATAAAAGAATGAAAAAAATCAAGTTGTCGCAGCATTGTAAGCAGTGGACGAGGAACAGTGTGTGGCGTTTACAAAACCTTGTTGAAACTTAATATGAAATTCCAAGGATAACTTAAGTTCCACTACTTTAACGAAGAATTACAAAAACAATTAACTGAGCTTGTTTTAGGTATATATGTGGTCAACAACTGTATGAAACCACAGCCTTCACCCGTCCGACATTGGCAGACTGGCGGTGAAATTTCTCAGCCCTGGTCACTTCAACAGGAAACATGTATTCCAGTGTGATTACTGATGCAAGTTCCTTGTATGTATTTAATGAGTATTTTGATGGCTATTAACACAATTTGTCTCTATTTTCAGGATGTTACTGCTGACAATTTTTTCCTGAGTTACCACCGACTCCCACCTCTTAAGGTGAAGGTGGTCGCCCTGGAAAGGAAATAAAAGTGACTGAATGGGAATTTGTGGAGGAGGGGGCACACGCTCTGAGAGCGCACAATAATTGCAATGCTGCCATTTCCGATGTTAAAATGTATTCTTTTCAAGAACCTGACAGACAAGATAGCAGAGGATGGTAGCTATATAATCAAAAATTATGGGATTTTGAAGTTTGGTAGCAGGCGTTCCATGCTGTCCCGCCATGACACCATGGTATACCACACCTCCCCTGTGGATGTCCCAGCTAGTCTAGAAGAGGAGGGTAAACACCTGGTGTGCCTGCCAACCCAAAACCCAGGCTTCAGGACATCATGATGTGCATGTTCAGCTGACTACACATCCTGTTGTAGGTTTCTCTCAGTGGAGATAAAATCATAGAGCTCCAGTATATAAATGTATGATGCACATCACCACTGAATATCACTGTTAATTTACTGTTTTGATCAGCTCCCACCTAACCATAATGCTGCGTCACTTTTTTACAAATCATCATTTACTTTTTCAATAAACCAAAGTTATTGCTGGTAATTTTCAGCATAAGCCTGTATGGAGAAAAACAAGCATGAGAGTCAGCACTTACAGTAAACACCCTATTTGGAGAAAAGCTTGTTATTGATTGGCCAAATGGAGTGAAACAGTCATTTCATTTTATTTTGTTCAGTGGAAGAACACAAAAGTGGTTACAAATTCAGAGAGCTCTCTCCTTTTATTTTGTATCCATCCCAGAGCAAAAATGGAAATGGAAGAAGAAACCCGTATAAATCTGCCATCTGTCTCAACGTTGAAATACACAGATCATTGAATTCAAGAGATCCTATGTGTAATATAATAAATACAAAAGCACATACATTCACATACACTTAGAAATAAGTATAAAACACACATATAAGCGTCTGTCTTTAAAATAATTACCTCACAATTAAGGACAAACTTAAAGTGTGAAGCAGAAGCCAACAACAGCTGACCAGCACACTGACTCCAGAGCGGGCAGCTTTATTTTCTGATTACTGACTGACAAGTCAAAGTTCAGTTTGGTATTATTGAGTGATTTTTTTAACATTTATATGAAATGTTTAGTTATTTTTTCAAAATTAAATCCCAAGCAAACATAAAAACAGCTGATCTGAGCCCCCTGAAGTATAATTTTCATTTTGTTCACACCAGGATAGCACTTTTAGCTCAAAAAATATATATATAGATAGATAGAAAGAATAAATAGATAGATTTAAACACAGTGTTGTCTAATTTCATGTAACAGTTACAGCAGATTAAAATAAATCTTGAAATAAGCACTACTATGTTACAGCAAGAGAGAACTGGTAACAATAATTAAAGGTGAATTTAATGTCGAAGTTTTGAGATGTTTAGTCTGTACTGTGCCACTAGATCATTTATAGAGAAAGTCTGAGCAGTTAAGCTTTCCACTTTGACAATTAACAACAAATAAGGGTGACCGTATGTCCTCTTTTACCCGGATCTGTCCTCTTTTTGGGGGATTGTCCGGCCTCGTCCAGTACGTACAAGTTACAAGCGTGTAAAAAACACTCGACCTGACCCGAAAAACTCTCAGAATTGACTCCGCCCCCCTGTAGTCGCCTCCTCTTTTTGAGGATTCAGAATATGGTCACCCTAAATAAATATTTGACTGTCAAAAGATGGCAGGAGGGAAATTTTTTCCATTAGAAGTGCAAGATAAGCAAAGATATGCTTTGTCCACAGGGGGCGCCAAAATAGACTCAAACCAAAAGTTCCTCATAGGAGCTTTAAGTTCAACTCTTAGTGTATTTTATTAACTGAATAAGCTCACCAGCCACAAGCTCCCTGACTTTTCCTCTTCTCTTCTTGAACTGTGAAACTGAACTGTTTGTGCTTTAAAGCAGTGTTTGTTTTGTTCATACCTTAAAAACTTTCCAGCTGAAAACTCTTGACCGTAAAAAATAAGATTAGACTGAACTACTTCCTGCAAACACCGAGGGCGTCCTCTGAAAGCAACACAAGCTCTGATCCCTCCAGAAGAATTTGTGGCTAAATTTAAACTTCAGACGCTGCGGGGCAGGAAAGAACAATGGGACGCAGGAAACTGAGGGGGTAGAGGAAGGTAAAGGGGGATGAGGTGGGAAGAAGGAAGAAAAGGAGAAAGAAAAGTGTGAAAATGGAGATAGAGCAGTGGGATATTTTGACCTATGACCCTAAGTTGAACAGAATTTGGGTGACTGCAAACACAAAATGTATGTGGATATTTTTCAACATCATTCCTTTATGCTGTAAAATGTTAAATGTTCATTAAATTCTTCCTTACAGGAACACAGAATCAAAAGTATCTTTCATCATGCTGCTGCCATTTTTGACCCCGGTTGTTTATCCCACCTCTGAATCCTCCTCAGGGATGACTCATGGGTGATATTAAGTTCACATAAAGTTGAAAGAGCCAAACATCAAAGTTGCGTTTGACCCAAATTTTCCCAAATTACACCTCTCCCACTGAAAAGCGTATTAATTTCATCTGGCTCTGGTAACTCTCTGAAATCTCGTCAGAATGCAAGACAATACTCCCTGAATTCATTTACAGTCCAACGCAGAGCAAATTTCCCAGAAGTTCTTTCCAAATCATTTCTGCAGTCATGAAAGTTAATTCTTGAAACCAAGGCCGAGCTCGCCTCTGTGTGTGAAAAGGCACAAAGCTCCCTGCAGACCTCCCTAAAACGGTTCAGTGTTTTTTCAGAGGAATGGTTTGTGTCCCATTATTGTCCAAAACCTACTTCTGTGGCTTTCCCTACTTTGACAAGAATATGCTGCGCTTCAGGAGAAAACACTGCTGAGCTAACTGAGCATGAAAAACTCAAGTGTTTCCAAGAACTTCCACCATCCATACCCTGCCCAACTCTCTGTGACTCTGCAGTCAGTCAGTGCGCTGAGGCCCTTAGCATGAGACGGTGACATGACGAGGTCAGATGCGATTGAAGTCGCACGTCCTTGAAGCCGTTCAGAAAAGCAGGAATGCCATAAACCTCTGTTTGTTTTCTTTTTCTACCCCCTGCTGCTGGGGTCAAGAGCCACTCTGACCACAAATTTACGGCTCTGTTGTTGTTGATGTTTCTGGAATTTCCCTCGTTTTTTTTTTTTCCACAGAGGTTCAGACTGCAGCACATCATGAACAAATATTTCTGTTTCAAACCAGCTCCGTGTGACACAAAATCAAAATCAGATGTTTCAGTAACAGTTTAATTCAAGAACTTCCATCATACATACCATAATTTGAGGGAAATTAAAAAGTCACCAGGATTACAAGATAAACAGTCTTTATCAAATAGACTTGTGAAAGTATTTGAACCTTTGTTTAATCAGGAAATTTCAGGGAGTTTTAAAATCTCTCTTGAAAGCAAGATTTGGCAAAGAAAGCAGCCGTACAGAATCCCAGACACATAACAATCTGTCACAAATAACACAGTCAGCAGCTCTGGAGAGTCAAAGACATATTGGGCTTTCAAGAAAAATAACAACCACATGGTCCTGTCATCTAGGGCTGAAACCATTACTTGAGTACCTCGATTACAAAAAATGATCGAGGAATTTTTCTCTGCCTCGAGTACTCATTTATAGGCTCAAATCGTCACTGTTTCGCACAGATTATTTTCAAGATGACAACATGCACTTTACGTCACCACAGTCGAAGGAGGAGTAAGCACAGTTTTTTGGTTTTTTTTGCGGAGCAGAAAAAATGAATGACGAGAGGGGCTTTTCTTCTGCAGAGCTCCTGTAGCTCATTAGCACTATACCTTTGAGTTATGGGCGGAGACAGCGCTGCTCTGCACACTCCTCTTCACGCTAGCTTGCAGCCTAACATTGCCGGTGTCGTAGCAGAAGCAGGTAACAAAGGAGCGAGTCAGCTCTCGGACACTACTGTCTTTAGGGACATGATGAAAGTTAATATCATAATTAGCTTTCTAACGCACACGCCTGTTCCGTGTTCATTGTTTCTAGAAAAGGAAAACAATTGATTGTACATTATTAAGTTAAATGTCTGATTTACTCTTGTATATTAGTAATTGCACTATAACTAAAAGAAAAAAATGTTTTATCCAATTATTCGATGGAATATTCAGTAGAATACTCAATAACTAAAATATTCGATAGCTGCAGCCCTACCGTCATCACATTTGCTATAATACACATAGATTTGTTAGGAAATATGAGTGTGTCCAATTTTAGCTCTTAGGGAGGCTTAATCATGACCAAGGAGGGTCCTCAGAAAGGACAGTAATCCTCAGCTCAGTTAGAACCACAGACTGAATAATAAATGAGCGTTGCATTGATGACGGCACACATTTGTTTTGTGAAATAGATTTTTTGAAGGCTTTTATGTTTGCTCTCAGAATTCTTGTCTTTTGGCTGAGTGTGTATGTGGTTTCTTGTGCTTCTGCAGCGGGCCTCAAGTGGACACTCAGGGAACTGCATGGGCTTCATTTCATAAGACTGGAGATTGCATTAAAAAATGTCCCTGCACCTTTCTCCTAATGAGGATTGTTCAGACGGTTGCAGATTGGTTCGTCTTATTGGTCACTAAATGCTTATAACAGCAAACCCATAAAAATGAACCGTCAGCCAAAAGTGCAGACTAGATTCTTGCTAACAGACTCAAGCAATCAGACTCATCTGCATCTCTCAACACATGCAGTTGTCTTTCAGGAGACCAGTGAACAAGTCTTACCCACTCCAGCTTCTGGTTCCCACAGAGACCATTCTGCTTTGCAGCCCAAGTCCCACCACGTCGAGTCTGTTCCTGATCCTGTCTCTGTAGAGTCCAGATGGTAGCTCCACAAGGTAGTGATCCTGCTTGTTTTCCACCTGTGAACACCATGCCAGACTTGGCCATCAGTGCTCCTATGGTGAGTAGGGTTGTCTCTTTAATGGATCAAAGCTGTTTTCATTAAACCCATTGCCTCGTCTGTTGTCATCTTTTATTTCCTCCTCATGTCAACATCAGTGAAAGAGACGGGAACAATCGTTGAAAGAACAGAGCAGAAAGAGGATATTTTGAATATTCACAGAATAAAATATAAAAGTAATGTGACAAGAAAAGGAAAATTGCACATTAAGAAAATATAGATGTTACATTTGGCTAATTTTCACATTTTGAGTAAAAAATGTTTTCCTTCTTAGTCTAACAAGCGGAGATGCTGAAGCGGATCTCTAGAGGTGCACACAGCCCACCATGACCTCCAAGTGACATAAAATCTTTGAGCTGCTCATGTTTACCCAAGTCCCAGGAGTATCGTAAAGTAGAGCTGCACAACTTTCCAGAGCTCAGAGACTCTGAATTTATTTCTTCTCCAATTCCTTCCTCTGTGGATGGAGGAATAACTCTGGTTGGCGTCATAGGAGTCAAATTAAAAGTCTAATGTAGATGAACTTTGCTCACAAAACCTGAGTACAACTCACCACAGTACATACGGAAACTGCTGAGAAAAACAAGTGTGAGGGGAGAGGAGAGCAACCTTTAAGAAAAAGAAAAAAAAGTGATTTAATGCGATGAATAAACTTCTCCATTGTGCAATGAAATACCCAAGTAGTCGAATGATTATTTGAATAATCAATGATTGGTTCATGATCAAAGTAGTCATTAGCTGAAGCCTTTTCCTCATGTGTGCATTAGGGTATTTGCAGATCATACTAGACATGAGTAAATCATGCAAAGCACACACAGGAGTAGGTATGAGAGCTGCCAGGGAGAACGCAGGTGAATCACAGCGCGGCGCTGATCCGCATTCGTTTCTGACAAGCTGATCAGGAGGAAGTTATAAAAATGTGACAACACAATGACCATTATCTTATATGAAAAAAGATTAGGGCCACAAGAAGAGACAATATTTACAGGAGGGAGATGTTTTTAATATCCATTTTGAGATATAGGTCAAAATTTGAAGATTAAAGTTGAAAATTCAAAAAGTCAAAATTTTGACTTTACTCTCAAAATTTAGACTTTTTGATCTTGAAATTCCGACATTATTCACGACAATTTTGAAATTTTGACAAAATTTTGACTTAATCCATGTCGACTTTAATCTCAAAATTTTGACTTTAATCTTGACATTTCAATTTTTAATTTTGAAATTTCGAGTATTGACATAATTTCAATTTTTTAAATCTGGAAATTTCAACTTTAATCTTGAATATTCAACTTTAATCTCAAAATTTCGACATTATTCACAACATTTTGATACTTTTAACCTTGAAATTTTGACTTTAATCTCGAAATTTCAACCTTATTGACATAATTTCGATTTTTTTATGTCCAAATTTTAACTTTAATCTCAAAATTTTGACTTTAATCTCCTTCCTGTGATTTTTTTTGTCTTCATGTGGCCCTCATCCTCTTTCATACATAACAAACTACTTTTTAACATACAGTAGAAAAATCAATGAGTCGTATTGATAACAGCCACCTTGAGCTGATAATTGTCAGTATCAGCAAAAAAGTATATATATTTAAAACTGTCAAGGGTGAAGATCATGTTGTTTTTATTCTTTTTTGTTGCTAACTGAGCGTCCAGTTATCACACATTCATAAACTCTCATTTTCAAAGGTTCTTTTGATAATAGGGTCACTTTTATTCTTCGCTGAAGGTTATAAGTAACATATTTGTGAGTCAAAGGAGCCTCAGAGGCCTCGGTTCATTCAGATGGACAAAGGAGGTAAATGGAGCTCATTTCTTATGCATGGGGACTTTCGTGTCGCCCCGGCCCTTTGCTTAAAGGGTTAATGGCTTTCAGTAGTCTCGGAGCAAAGCCTGGTCAGGCGTGTTAGTGGGGTGCACAAAACCAGGCGAGGTGGCATGACTTCATTACGGGCAGAAATAAATGAGTGACAGAAGGAGGTTAAGAGAGTGAAAAGATGGAGGGAGAAAGAGAAAATGAAGAGATATGAAGGTGGCTGTGTGTGTCACATACAGTGAGTCATCATCAGACATCCTCACCAACACAAATCTGTCTCTCCTCTCCTCCCCCAACAACCCCGGTGATAAATAATTGACTCTATCCTTTCCAGCCTGGTCCTCTGGTCTGGGGCGTTTTGCTCTCCGGACTCTCTTCACAAAGATGAGGCGATGATGGTTCTTTCTCTTTTTCTCCTTGGCTCTGTTTCTTTCTCTTCGCTCGCCTGTATCTCCCCCTCACAGAACTCTCTGCAGGAAACGATGAATAGTGAGCGTTTTTTTCCCTTTTTTTTTTTTTAAAGTTATCTATTATTGAGCAGCAGATAGCAGCAGCAGCAGCTATCTCTATCTACTCGGCTGCTAAAATAAATATGACACAGCGCTGGAGAGATTTGCACAGATCTGAACTGAGACCTCTTGTGCTCCGAGCATGCAGAGCTACACGTTTAGCTGCAAAGCAAAAGCCAAATCCAGGGAAGCCAGTTGCTCAAAGCAACTTGTAAATACGGTGTTGCTCTCTTTGTTGCTTTGCAGTAACACAACAACGGAGGAAAATAAGCACTCATTATGGCGTCTCAGTTTTGGAGAAAACACCATTATTAAAAGATTAAATGGGACAGAAGATATTGTCTGTTATGGTTAAAGTTTTAAATCTGGTTGGATGATTTTCATTCGCCTCATTCAGATTTAAAACTCTTGGAAACACAAATCCACAACTGCCTCGCAGCCCTTTAATACGCAGTCTTCTGAGGTGTTGGTTTGGCCCAGTGGTTCAGTTGTGCACCTCACCTTGAAGCATGTTTTCTACTCTATCTAGTGTCCCAAATAAAACAAAAAAAGACTCTTCAAAACCCTCAAACTGCACTCTTGCAAAAGCCATTTGAAAATGATTAGAATTTAATATAAATTTGTTAAAAATAAAGTCACTGAACTTGCTTTAAAGATCACCAATTATCCTCATTCACCTTTTATTTATCAGTCAGGGGCCTGTGCATGTTTGTCTCATACTGGTGTCCATGCAAATCCTCATTACAGCGGTTTCCAGCTGTTGCCTAAAACACTTTGTTTTGGCTGCTTATCCACTGATATAAAGTTAGATGTGTTTTGTAGGTGTTATTTTTTACACAGTTTTGTTATCATGAAACAAACCTGAAAGTTACGCCATAACATGAGCCTTTATTGCCAACTTAGCTCTCTATTCAGCCACCTAAACACACTTTGATGAGGTTGTTTTGCTCCTCTGTTTTCTCTGTTTTCTAGTAGCTTCATCTTTACTTCCTTTCTGAATCAGTAGAGTGGAAGGGGGTTAAAAACAGACTTTCCAGCATTCACGGTGTGCTTGTCTTTTTGCATTTTTCAAGTAGTATAGCTGACGTCAGGTTGAGGCCACTTTTCAAAACAAGAAGACAGAAAACATAACCACAGACTACACCGCCATGTTATGAAACTCTGCTGTGGTTTGACATGGATTTTCACTCTTGTAATGTACTGAAATACAGATAAACATAATGGATCTCCTTTAAAGTTTAATATATTGGGATTTGGGTGTGTTCACGCTCTGACGAGGACTGCATAATGAATCACAATTCTGCTGTTACTGCAAGAAAGACAACCTAGATGTCCAAATTCAAAGCTTTAAATAAAACAAGAGTGTTAAAGGTGAACTAATGAAGCTTATCTCACAGTATTGTCACATGTTACCTGTTGGGTGGAGGTCTACATGTACTGGTTGTGCCTTCAAACTGTTGGTGAAGCAGAACTATTTACAACCAAACTGATTAGTCCCAGGTAATCTGTTGGTGCAGATGAATGCTTATTTGTTTTAGAAGGGATGTCTCTAAATTAAGATAATTGCACTTTAATTGTTATGGCAATAGTGCACATTGTTCTTGCACTAAAGCATCTTGTTTAGGGCTGCACTGCACTGATTGGTACATGTGCTCTTTGACCGCAGAGTCAGGCAGATATTGATCAAAATGTGATCTGCTGTGAAGTCTTGAGAAAAGGTTTAATGAGTTGTTTTCGGTGAAGGCTCTGACACTTTTTGCTCATATTACACGTTTATTTTGATATTTCAGGCAGACTCTCCGGAGGCTGTGAGAGTCTTTTCGAATTTCTCTTGATCTGGACCCCACACATCTTCTCCCTCCACTGGCTGTGTTGGACCTCATTTCCAGCTTGTCCGGTAATTTCACTCAACAAATTTTCAGCCTTCACTCTCCTGATTAGTTTCAGCATGCTCGCCTGCCTCTTATTAGTCAATTACTGGAGTATATAAACCCTCCAGTGAGCACTCACTCCCTCTCTGATTATCTGTCCGCCCTTTATTGAAGCTTTCCAGCCTTCTGTCCTCTACTGTTTATCTTGTCAGCTATGTTTTATTTAGCCCGATGTCAAACGTCTGTTTTTGTTAACCTGGACCGAATTAGTTTCAAGTGAGATCGAAGTTAGTACTGACTGTGTCTCCCTGTTTGTGGGAAATGTCCCAGTGTGTTAAAGCTCCTGTGAGGAATTTTTAGTTTTTGTGAAATTTGGCGCCCCCTGTGGACAAAGTCTCCTTATCTATCTTGTCCTCTACATGCTTCATTAAATTCAAAATTTCAAATTCAAATTCAAATTCTATTCTTCTATTCTTTCCAATCAGAGCAAGCCTTCCTTTCTCTTCATCACTTCTCCAAACATGAAACATAATGCTGCGTAGTTCGTTCGTTTGGACCGACAAAGAGGTGGAATTGTTTTTAAGCATCGTTTTGGAGTATAAAGTCAACAAGACACAAGAAAGGTTAGGGTGTAGAATAACAGACAGCAAAGCACTCCCTCTCCTTTGCTCCTTACAAAAATATATATATTCTGTATATATCTGTGCCGTCCACTGCCTGACATAAACAAGGGCGCATGTATATGACGTTTATCTATTAGTTGTTGCAGACACTGACGTTTGAAGCATTTTTCAGGCATTAAAAACTGCAAAATAAGATTTGTCAGTTTTGCTGCTGGTGGTCTGGTTTGCTTTTGTGCATCAGAAAAAGGCATCATTACAAATTTGAGTCTGTTTCATCAGTGTGTAAAACTTCCCACAGGAGCTTTTTGAGTTGTGTTATTTGGGTGTCTTTATAAAAATGCTGCCTCTGAATACAGGGAAAAGATTGAACACCAGCAGTAAATTAATGTAAAGAGGCGGAGTGGGACTCACTTGCATGTGTTTAGAGAGGAAAAAGAGAAAAAGTAAAACTAAAATATAAACCAAATAAATCACACATGGTGTCAAATGTATGTTGCTGATGCTTTAATACATTTTCTAAACTAGTTCAGCGCCCCCTGTAGTCAAAAGGATGATTTTTCTATCTCTATCTGGCAAACAACCTCATCCCATTTTCTTTTAACACTCGAGCCGTCAGCTGTAGAGACATAACAGCTTATTTCTTTAAATCCTTTTCGCTGACCTTCCCTCCTCACAGCAGTTACAGGCGTCACAAATTACACTATAGAAAATGTCAGTGTAATTGCTGATTGTCTCGTTATAGACCATAAAGGAGTATCCCTGATGATTTCAGTCGGTTTAAAGCCAGTTAAAAACTTCTCACAGGGGCTTTCAGGTACACCGTCAGGTTCAGGGAACAAATGGATTGCACATTTTTATCTCCCAATCCCTGTGATGTAAGGGTTGCATTGTGGTGTTTTGGCCTGCTGGAAAGATGGAAAGCTTTCCGGAAAAAGCTGTCATTTATGCTGTGCAGTCACAAAAGAATGTACAATACGAGTGTGAGGAAGTTGCATCCGCCTCTCCCGCAGTGAACCCCTCTCTACTGTCGTCTTGAGCTGTATTTGTCCTTGTCATGTTTGAAGAAGACAAAAGTAGAGGAGCCAAGCTGGAGAGAAAACTAAAAACTGATATAACAAAAGCAAAAAGTGATGTTTGTTATGAATGTGCAACAAAAAATAAGAGCACTAAAGAAAACCAGGAAGTAAAAATAAAGACGTGAAATAAACACGAGGATATTCCTGGAAGCATCAACAAGAACAGAAGGAAATAGAGCAAGTAGATACGCACACACGGTAATAAATTACAGGTGAAGATGTTCGAAATTAATCACAATCAGCAGAGGGAAAACTAGTAAAAGTGAAAATAGTTATGAGTGAAAATAGACAAGACACAGAGAGTGAGAGTACCTCAGGGTAAAGTAGAAGAAAACAGAAGTACCAGGGTAAAGAGTCGCAATTTAACACAAGAAAAACTAACTAAAGGAAATAAAATAGTAACACAAGAGGTGGGATCTCCAAAATAAAAGAAAAATTACAGTTATGACAAAAAAAAGGGAATTTTAAGAATTAAGAAAAGCAACTCCTGAGGTTTCTTTTTCTCCACTTCTGATTATTAAAACAGAAAATAATCTCTGGACTCTGTTTTATTTTTAAGATCACGCACACAAATGAGTTCATCACTGCTAGCATCGCTGTTAGCTGGTATTACTCAGCATTTTTTATTCATTACAAGCTTTAAATGCAGCTCAGTGCGAGGACAATGAACGCACGATGAATTTTGGACTTAAGCCTGAAGAAATCAAGGTGCTACCAGTGAGCTCGACCTTGACGCAGATCAGGAGAAGAGGCAGGAGAGACTACATTAGCATGTCAGAGTGCTGCTTACTGCTCTCCTATCCTCAAAGTTTTATAGTTTTACAATGACGTTGCACTTTTGGCTTCAGCTGGTCAGCATGTGTCCTGCTGTTTCACGGTTTTTGACTTTTAAAGTTTTTAATCTGGCTTTGTAAACACATGAGTTTAACATAGATGTTCGTCCAGAAGTGTTAATGAAGTATGAACTCTAGCTTCTGATTTTAATCGTGCACAAATATAAAAACATCGCCTCGCTCGTGATGAAGTCTGATTTTACTCACGTCGGGGCTCGTTAGCCGCAGAGCTGTTTCATCTTTATAGGTTTCAGTGAAATATCTGGAGAAAGTATTTCTTACCTCTCACTCACAGGCCACACTTTGATGTAATCAAATCTCATTTGCTGACATTTAGCTGAATTCAAGAGCTCTGTATCAATTACTCTGCTAACGTGTGTTCACAGCAGTCATTACCAGTTTGCAGGAGCTCCTGTGCTGTTAATCTTTTTCATATAAATTAATGAGGCTCTGACTGCTCTGAATAATACACCGCAGCACACTCTATACGCTGACAGGTAATGAGTTTCTTTTATTGTAAATCTTGGTCTGAATGTGATTCAATAACGGCTGCTTTATGAGTTTTTCTACATTTTTTGTCGGCTCAGCTGAATTAAATGCTTTTAAATCTCTGAGGAGAATAAACTGCTTTGTTTCGAGTCGTTCTCACAGGTTGTAAACTTTACCATTCATCAACAAAGAGTTACAGTCCCAAACATGTCCTCAAAAAAAACTGACTCTGACTCCCGTGATGATTCATTTAGTCTGCTGAAGCTCATTATGGGGTTTTATTACCTTCCTTATTACTTTTCTGAAAGCAGTTGTCTTCTGTAATCTGCTCCAGGATTTATCGCAGCATGTATCAGGCGAGAGAGAGAGAAAGAGAGAGAGAGAGCGAGAGAGAGCCTCTTGTGCTGATTATCAAGCTGAGAAATATCACACATTTCTATAATCATTAACAGAACAGCAGCATGACCTACAGACATTTCTGTCAAGGCCACGCCCCCACACTCTATTTTTACAAAGACCCAAAAAGATTAAGACTAGGGATGTCCCAATCCGATATTGATATCAGCAAAAAAACAAATATCGGATTATATCGGCATCTAATCTCCGATATCGGCACTACGATACAAGCAGTCCATTCCAGACTCCACTTCGGCACTTCTAGCTAGCAGCACCTGGATCCAGCATGTCGAGCCCACAAAATCACAACAACAGTAGGTACTAGGGCTGGGCGATAAACTGAAAATTTACTAATATCAAAATTTATAATAATAACCAACGTCATTTTGCCCATATCGGTATATTCAGTGTCGAAAAAAATAAACAAAAGTTGGTTTTAGATGTGTGTAGGTAGGCTATGGTCTCATGTCCCTTTAAGACGCAGTCCTACGAGACTCCACCCCATCCAGTCAGTAACAAAGAGGGAAAAACAGGTGAGAGATGGAGGACGGTTCAAAAGTTGTAGCGGCTGAAGTAGACGAAGTTAATGTGGGAGGGGGTGAGCAGCTTGTGGAGTAGTTATCATCCGTTTATCATTTTCGATGTGAACTCAATATATCGTGATATCAATTTCAGGCCATATCACCCAGCCCTAGTATGTACTAAGGTACAAACAAAGTAGGGGTGATGTCGGCCGTGTGGCAGTATTTTTAGTTTAAGTCTGAAAAAAAACGTTGCAGCTGAGTGCAAAACTTGTCATGCATAAGTTTGTGCCAATATCGGATCAATATTGGTATCGGCCAATACTGAAGGCTACAATATCGGTATCGTATCGTAAGTTAAAAAAAGAAAGTTGTTTTGGGACACCCCTAATTAAGACTCAGAAAAAACTTTTGTAACTCGTAATCACATGGTTCACCTGGCGTGTAGTCCCAAGCGTAAAAATAACCCCCACAGCCGATCAGTTTGATTGATTTGTCCTCTTTATTGACAAACAGTGCATTGTAAATGTAAGACTCAGAAAGTTAACAGCTACAAACTCACGCACACACACACACACAATGTACAAACATTTTACTGTACACTGAACAGCACACACACATTATATTACACATACGCACGCAAACCCACGCACAAAGATCCAGAGGCGTCCGTTATTCCCGTTATATTACAGCATTATGATACAGTACAGTGGGATGCTCTGACTATACGAGCAGAAACACCAAGAACAGTATTGAAGGTAAACAGAGAAAGGCAGACTACAGCCGATTACTGAGCTGTTTTCTTCTTTTTTCAAGAAACCATATACATTAAATACATACTCAAAAGAATGGCAAGCAATAGAAGAAGAGAAATAAATTAAATAATTAAGAGAAGGAAATCTTTTTATGCATGTACAGAGAGTGTTTACAGCCAGACTTTTCAAGTGACGACTGAATGTGAACCAGAGAGGAAAGCTATTATTATTATTTTCTGTTTTCTTTCACAGTTTGGGATAAATTATCCATCAAAGCAAAAAAAGAGAAAGCAAGCGTTTTTGTGTTGAAGTGATATACATAATTTAGAAATA